TCTCCCACACTGAATTTGTTTTTTCATGCGCACTGAAATAACAACACAATAGAGAAAACCCCAAATGAATAACAAACAATATTAATAGATCATATATACTATTATAAGAAAATTGATCCAACGAAAACAATTCTTGCTTAACAATAATTATGAATTATGAATGATGAAAATAATGCCAAAGGATTATTGAAGTTGCCCCGTGGGAGGAGACGACGAAATCGAAATTCTTTGATCAATAAAGTTTAGCCAACCCATGAAGTGTCGACAGCCAGCACCACCACGTACGACTGCCGCCAGAACACGGCGGCCCCATGGCGGAGGGGGCGGCCGTGATGCTAATAAGTAGATCAATCAAAGGTGGCTAATATATATAGATATAAGTTTGTGAAGAGGTCATGATATTGGAATATTAAGAAAATTAATAGTGACAGTAGAATATGCTTCCTTTTTCTCCCATGTTTTTGCAAAGTGTATGGTATAATTATATTCCAAGGTATATGCGGCGACCACCTCCATTGCTCCATGTTTAATTTAATCGACACACTTTTTAAAGCAAATTACAGCTATTCCTGAGTTATGGTCAAATTATGAAAATCCCCTTTTCTTTTGGGTAATTACAGCCACCTCCTCAACTATGTATTATCTTACGAAAAAACTCTTCAAGGGTTAAATTTAGGGATGATCCCTAAATCGGTAAAACTGAACCGAAATTACGATACGCCAACATTTCATATCGTTTACCGAACTGAATATATGATTTAATTCGGTAAATAACCGATTACATAAAATTTATGTAAAATTATTTAAAAGGAAGGGATAGCTGCAATTACTCAAACATTATGGGTGGCCGTAATTTGCCCCATATATTCCATTTTTTAATTGATATGAATTTTAACCGACCGCGTGTAATTTCTTCGATCAACATCCGAAAACGTCCGTTAAATTGACGGGCCTTGTATGGGCTTTACTAGTTGTAAGCCCAAACAGATTACAATTTCATTTAGACATGATGTAATCAATCGTATTTGATCTGGATAGAAGATGGCCCATGAAGCAAAGCCCGCTTACTGGGAGATCTAGCCCGCTAAGGCCCATCAAAAGATACGGGCCCAGAAAAGTCAGCCCTTGCAAAAGACCTCTCCTCGTCACAATGTCCGAACGAAGAAAGCGTGTGACCTGCACGTTCTCGTCGGCGCATTAGATGTGTTGACACCAACAATTAATGCTTGAATGACCGATCGACGGCCCAAAAAATTTATAGCTTTCAATTAGTTTAGTGTGTAATTTTTTTGTTTTTGCAGTTTTTGTGTGTTCAAAAAGATTCACCTAAAAAAAATATACCATTAAAAACATGAAATTAGCTAATTAACAGTTAAAGATTCAATTTAGGGTGCAGTTTGAATGAATTATTGTGTTTTGAGTTTTTTAGGAATGTAAAGTGGAATTAAGCTAATAAAATAAATGCTTTTAAGATTATTTTAAAAAACAATTTACTTTAAGAGAAATTAAAACAAAAGTTGAATTTGCAAAAACAAAATTTGTATATAAAAAAAAAAAAAAAAACACTGGGCAACCCTAGAAATCCTAATGGTATTTCTGTAATTATTTATTTTAATATTTTTTTCTCTACTAATTTCTAATTATCATTTTCGACAATTATCAAAATTAAAACTAAACCGTGAAGAATCCTACCCTAATGGTACATATGTAATTATTTATTTTTAATATTTTTGTTCTCTACTAATTTTCTAACTATAATTTCCAACAATTATTAATCTCCTATTTTTCATCAATATATCTCAAATCTTAAGAGATAAAGATAGAAATTCAATTTGTTAAATTTCAATATGTAACATTTATAATACTACATTATTATTTTTTCTATGTTAGTGTACTATATTTTCTATTGATATTTTAAATTGATTATTTTTTTTCACTTTTGAAATAATATCCCGTGTAATTCGATTTGCTAAATCTTAATATGTAACATTTATAATACTACATTATTAATTTTTTCTATGTTAGTGTACTATATTTTCTCATTATATATTAAATTGATTATTCTTTTTCACTTTGAAATAATATCACGTGCATCGCACGGGAAAAAAATGCTAGTATATTATAATGCAACGTAAAAACACATGTTTGAATACCACACGCTGCAACAATATTATTTTTTTAATATTTTTGTCAAAACTGTATAGAACAATAGATTACATCATAAATCATAATTAATGTTAATTATTAATTATTAATCCATGACATAAAGAACAACTTAAAAGATGGTTTAAGTATACCTTGAGCGCCAAGCGATTCGCGCCAATTTTAAATAAGCAATTCTTTAAGTTTAATTACCTCTCCAAGACAAGAATATTCATCTTCCATGTAACCCTAATCTCTTCCTCGTATATTTCTTGAGTTTCATGCAAGAAATCACAGCTGTATATGTTTCTCTTACAACCCTTTTCACCTGTATAAAAATCAACCCCACAAACGATATCTAAATATTAAACCCACTTATAACTAACTAACTAACTAATATATACTATTCACCGGCCACCACCATGGCGCCGCCACCACCACCACCGCCACGGCACTCCGCCCTCTGCAGGTGCATCGCCGGAGTTCTGCTATCTTTAATAATCATCACCGGCCTCACGATCCTGATAATCTGGCTGGCGGTGCAGCCGAGGAAACTGAAATACTCCATCGAGCACGGCTCGATCGGCGGCTACAGCCTGGCGAAGGACGACCACCTGAACGCCAGCTTCCACTTCGTGCTCCGGGCCGACAACCCCAACCGGCGGATCTCGGTCTACTACGACAGGATAGACGTTACGGTGTCGTACGAGGACCAGAAGCTGTCGGTGAACAACGTGCACCCGTTTTATCAGCGCAGGAGGAACGTGACTCATGTGGATATGGATCTCGTCGCGAAGAACGCGGTGCTGTTCGGCGCGGTGGCCCGGGATTTGAAAATGGAGCGGGGATCCGGTGACGTGGACCTGGATGTAAGAATCCGGGCCGCGATCCGGATGAAGATCGGGGTTTTTAAAATACATCGCACGCTTAAGGTGCTCTGTGAACAGGTTACGGTGCCGTTTAATTCGTCGCAGAGTTTTACGAGGGTTTACTGTGATTCCGATATTGATTAATTATTCTTTCATTTTTAAAATTTTATTTGTTTATTTGATTTGATATTACGAGTGTCGAAGGTTGGATTGATTTTCCTTTTTTTTTTCTTTTTTTTTCTCTATCTGGTATATTTCGATTTTTCGAGTGTTGGTGTGACATTGCAATTGTTATTTAATTTGTCATGATTCGAACTTGTATTGGATATTTGGAAAGTATGTAAAATGTTTGAAGTACTTTCCGATTCTCGTAATAATTGAAGTTTCGATTATTCGTAATTTGTTGTGGAATTTTCGAAATTTTCGTGAAGTCATGGCCAGAGTAGTATCGGGTGAGGAGGACAAATATTAGATTAAATGTTTAATCGATTTTTTTGGTTCGGTTTCAAAAACGGATATTTCTTTGTGAGTACAATTATAGAAAGAAAATAAAAACTAAATTTCTTATTTGTTAACCAAAAATAATAAAATAATTTGTGTTTACAAAGAGAAGTTTGTGTACTAGTCAAGCAAAGTATGCAGTAGATTGAGTAGTTATAGTATACCTAAGGGCCTTAATGCGTAGTCGCACCGTTGCGGGAAATTAGATGTTACATCTGCTTATTTATATTCGGTGGTTTTAAACTGTAGATTTACACATAATCACATACATTTTATGTGCATGTGTGTTTAGTCCGTAGTTATTTAATGAAATATACAGTTCAAATTCACCCAATATACATAACCAGATGTAACTTATAATTCCTCCACCGTTGCAGTTGCAGTGTTTAAAATTAAGCACATAACCAAAACAAATATCAATAAAATCAATTTTTTTTGGTATAAATCTAACTAATATAATTGAAAGGGCAAAGTAATTAAAGATACATTAAATAATCGCAAATTAATTAAAGGGTAAATTACAATCACCCCTGAGGTAAGGTATATTACGAAAACTCTCTTATTGTTTTAATAATTAATTAAGGCACATTAACACCCTTTTGTAGGGGGGGAATGTAAGAAATCTACAAACTGCAGTGGCTATATGTAATTTCTCTAAAAGAATGGTTTTTTTCGTAATTACAGTTTATCTCAAGGAGGTGGTTGTAGTTTACCCTTAATTAAATGATTGCCTGCAGACCAAACAATGTGCATGCAGTACCAGGACAAGTACCGTGGACCAGCTCTGGTTTGGATTAAAAGTAAGTTGGTTGCCCATACAACTAAAGTTAATTACCCTTTTAGCCTTTATGGCTCATGGTTAGGCACCACATGGTACGTTTACTTGTACTTTCTTTTCTATTGTCCGATCCGATGATTTATGGTCCCATTTTTTGCTATTTCCAGTATTCAAAAGTTGAGGACCAATATGTCATGTGCTTAAAATTATTGGGCTCTTTGATTATGTGTTTATCTTCTAATATAATATGGCACAGTTTATGTGTGCTTGCTACAAATTTTTTTAAATTTAAGAAAATTACAAAATTATAAGTATATGTGTGCCTATTCTTTTAATAGCAACAATAAAAAGACGTACAATTAAATTTATATAAATTAATACAGTCTGGGCTGACAAAATTCTATTAATTTGTCGAAATATTAAATTCTTGAAATAATAATTTAGTAGATTTTTACTGAGTCGAGACCAGAAAAACTTATTAATTAGGCAAAATAATTAATTTATCAAGATTATATTAAGTTTATTCGCATTTGTTTATAGCTACTATATAATGACACATACGGCCCACATGTTTGGTGTTTGTCCAATAGCAGTGAAAGTTGATCATTGAACTTTTATTTTATTATAATTTTCTTTTATACCATGCTATATTTGAAACCATTTTATATAAAATAAATCAATTTTCCTCAAAATTTCTACCGAAAATCTTAAATATTATCTTATAAATAAAATATAATGAAAGTTATTAATGTACAGTATTTTCAACGAAGTTAGAAATGTTTCTTCTTCATTTTTTTCTTCTAAAGAATAATATATAGGAAAAATTACGGCTATACCCTTGAGGTAAGGTCAAATTACGAAAGAACTCTTTATGTTTGGGTAACTACAACCACCTCCCTCAACTATGTATTCTTTTACAAAACCCCCCACAGCTAGTAAATAAATTTGACACTATAAGAATGAAAATGTAAGACTATATATAGTTGAAGGAGGTGATTGTAATTACTTAAACATAAGATTTTTTCGTAATTTGGCTTTACTTAAGGGGTTGCCGCAATTTGGCCTATAATAATATTAGATTTAATTTATATTACTCAATTAGCCACAATTATTCGCCTTTCATGGGATGATCGAAATATAAGGTTGTTTGGACCCCATAAAAAAAGCGAAGACGTGATTACACTATTGGATTGAATTCCAATTATAGTTGTACTTTCTTTCAATTTCAACTATACCATCATATGATTCTGCAAGTAAAACATGTTTAATGTTTTACAAGAAAATAATTAGTTTCTATATTAATTGCAGTTAATAATAAATAATGGATATTATCACAAAAATTAAGTAACAGATCCATAGAATTTGTTTCATGAATTCATTGCATTTTAAATATTTAACTCTCATTTTGAACTGTAGTTTTTTTAGTTACTGTGATGGAAATGAAATGAAATCCACCAAGCTATATATAATCCTCCGAACCAATCCTTAAATGTATTTTATGAATTCATTTTAGGATTAAATACAAATTGTACTCCCATATACTATAAAATGCGACAAAATGGCCTCTCAACTCACCGATCAATCCACGAATCTCTAACACCGTTAGTTTGTGGAGCGCAGTTACTTTTGTGCCCTTACTTTTTTTTTTGGGCTGAAAATGAAATTAAAACTCTCTTTAACACTTCAATTTACTATAAATTCGAAATTACAAACTCTCAGCCTGAACTAATTAATTCATAAGTTGTTATTATGGGGATTGAATATCCACGTTATTTAGAATCTTTTTATAATTTTAAAATCTTTCCAAGTAATTAAAATCAATGTATATGAACCTATTTATTCATAAAAAAATATGTGTAACATTTAAAATTTAGATATTTTCTATTTAGATAGTATATGCCTTTGTATGTGTTAAAAGAGACACATGTGAGTATGGGAATATGCATGATGCCCATGATCCCAACATCAACTAGTGCCATGCATCCTATCAATGAATTTAATTTGCTTTCTTAGGTTTAGTCTACTCAAATAATTAATTTAAATATTTATCATAAATTAAATATTTAAATTTGAATCATAACTCGTGATTTAAATATTATTTTTCTGCTTTTATCTCGAACTCTGAATTTCATCAATACAAAGGGGCAAAGGGCCCATTCTCATATGTATTTGGAATGATCATGACAGTAATTATTAATTAATAAAAATAATTAAATGTTTAATATTCAAAAGCAAATTAAATGAACAATGGCTATGGCTATCCCTGCACGTCGATTAAAACCCCATTAATTTAATTTCTTATGATGGGGAATTGTGAGACATTTTACTTTATTTATTTTAATCTTTTCATATTATATATATGTTTTATTTTATTTTTTAAATATTCTACGACGAAGACATGATTTGTAGCATAATATAAATAAAGCCGACTAAAAGTTATTAGTGGATGAGCGTTAACAACATGTTGCTTTTAAATTGTGCCGTTAGATAATACTATATAATTACTAATATTATTGGAATTTTTTATATCATTTGACTAAATATATAAAGAATGTTCGTCTTTAATGAATCTTGAAGTTTTTCGTGGATTTGTTTGTTTATAAATTATTGCAATCTAGTGGTGTACTTTTTTAAATCGATATTAATTTTTAATATTCAAAATTGTGATCTAGACCAAGTAAATTTTACATGATTATACTCTAATACATAGATTTGCATAAATCAATATAGATATTACACAGGTCAACTTGTATGTACGTTCCATTGTGTGTAAATTAAATGTAAATTATCTCGATATATATTTCACCGTGTATTGAATCTACAAGAACGTCATCAAAAACATATAAGAAGGAAAAATATTGATATATTTGACCAAATATAAAATCTTAAGACGACGAGGACATATATTTCGTCTATCTTCAACTAAATTTACTCTTAAATCTTTTAAATTAGATACAAAATACTAAATTAAATTATCAAATGTTGGGAACAAGGGAAGTTGAATTAAAATATATGAGAAGAAAAAGAAAAAAAAATCATTCTTTTAATAAAGTAATTATATTCGAAACAAATTTAAAATTTCATGCTTGCTGTTAAACTCAATAGATTATTGTGGGGCTACTTTGGTAATTTCACAGAGGAAAAAGGAACTTTTCACACGCGGCGGTCGCTAATTGTTATTAGTCAAAAAAGGTAAAAATAAATAAAAAAATTAATAAAAGAAAAAGGGAAAATGAAAAATAGACGTTAGAGCTACGGCAAAATTTCCGAAGTGTAAATATATATATTAATTGGCGCCGCGGCCATGCCCCCCCTCCCCCCCTAATTTCTTGCTGTTACTATTTATTTTTCATAAATGATAAATCCCATCTTCGTCCTCTCTCTCTCTCTCTCTCTCTCTCTATGAATTTTCTCTGTAACTGATTCTCTCTCTCTCTCTCTCTCTCTCTCTCTCTCTCTCTCTCTCTCTCTCTACCCCATTACTCAAACATTGTTTTTTTGGATGTGAAGAAATTGGGCTGCACAAAAGTTGAAGAAAGGTACTATTTTGTCTGTTTTTTCTTGATCACTATGTACTATTGTTTGCTGTCTGTTCCTTATCGATGTAATCAATCGTACTTTAATTTGTACTAGATTTTCTCAAATCTATCTGTAATCTTATTTCAAACTGAGTTCTCTGTTGGTTTGACTTTGAATTGGGTTTTTTTCTTATGAACCAAAGAAGACTTTTTTATCAGTTTTTACTCAAACCAAACCCATTAGGTTTTGTTTCTTGATTTCAATTTAATTTTTTTTTAAATGTTTTATAAAAATCTGAATTTTGTCAGATTGCTTTGGCTTCCCCTTTTGGTCAGTTGTGATTGGTCAGGGACAAATTGGATCTGCAAGTCATCACCTTTTTTGCTTTTCCTTAATTATTTGTTTGTTTATTTTGCAAGCATTCATAGATTTTCTATTTTTCTGAAAGGGGATTCCAAAAATCTAATTTGACTTTGTGTTTGATCTCTGTGTTCTTGAATATGGATTCTTTCATTGACTTTACATTGCTAAAATCTGACTTCCAATTGTTTGATAAATGTATTATATATTGGATTTTCAGTTCGATTTGTAATAGCTTATCGGCGATTAATTGGTACGATACCAATCATCTTTTTTCGATAAATTTATATTCAGTTTCGGAAAAAATGGCTGTTGCGGGATTGAACAACGCACCCGCTTTCAGTGGTCCATCGTTCCTGCAAATGTGGAAGGATCTCGAGGGCGAGCACATGGCGAATCAGTATCGGTCGAGGGATGACGTCATCTCACAATACTCTTACGAAAACGAAGACAACAACAGTATCGTGTCGGAACATTCTAGCGACGTGGGCGGTGAGGTTGAAGGTGAAAAAGTGAGAAGAACTTCTCGAGAATGGATGAAAAGTAGCGGGCCCCACGCAAACAGCGAACTGAATGTAAAAAGAGAATGGCTCGGTGAGAATGAATGCGAGCGGGTTAGGATTATCCGAGAGTGGGTACAAATGACTACTACTACCACTACACAGCAGAGGAATAATAATTGCGGTTCGCAAATCGAACAAGTGCGCGACGGTTTAGTTATTACTAATCAAGAAACTGGATTACGGAGGCCGATTCGAAGAATATGTGGTAGACAGACTCTTCTTGATCTTCTCGTGAGGGCTCAAAGTGAGAGAAAAACCGAACTTTTAGCTTTGTCGGAGAAAAGGCCCGTGTCGGATTTTGCTCATCGAAATCGAATTCAGGTGTTTATTACATCGTTACGAGTCCATAAACAAGATTTAATTAATTTCACGTCGACCTAATCTTAATTAAACCCCACTCTGCAGGCACTGCTTAGAGGTAGGTTCTTGAGAAACGAAAGATTGGTTCTTGCTGAAAGACCGTCTTCGGTGGCTGTGACTGAACTCGGTTTGCTGAAGCAAAGAACAGTTTCCGATCTCAGGTAATTTTAACCGCTGCTCGTTTGTTGAGATTCGTCTTTGTATGGTCAACTATTTTGACTGATCCATTTCTTGAACTTGTAATTATTTACTAATAGTTAGTTTAATTCGTGGTTGTCGTACAGGGAAGGATTTCAGTCCAAATTGGACAGTTCTACCCCCACCTCGACGAACAGTACCGAGTTCGACTTTTCTACCAGTGATGGGGATAACGGTGAATCGGAGTCAATAATATGCAGGGAAGACGAGGTTTCTGAGATGTATACAGCAGCGTTGGATTCGGGAAGAAGTGGGGCCCACGAGAGCACGAACACGCAAGAACTTGAAGTACAAGTAACCGAAGCAGAGGATCCTGCTTCGGACAACGATAATATCAGCGAGCAAGATTTGTCCGTCAGAGAAGATACAGTTTCGGAAACTGAATCCATACACAACCACGTCACTATAACTAACGATTCGTTGTTAGTTTTGGTCACGGATTCGCCTGAAGAATTTAATGATGAAATTTATATTCGTGAAGAAGACGATCGTATTATTGAAGAGCAATATAATACGGAAGAAGAATTAAACGAGGACTGGCCGAGCAATGTTTTGCAAGAGGCTATAGATAGTTGGCTAGATATGCCTTCTGCAGACGTTGGCAGATTCGATAATACGCTTTATTTCCCCGACGATGATAATATTCGTACCATCGAACTTAGAGAAATTTTCAGCCGGTATATATACTATCTCATTAATTTTTTTTAATTTTAAATTATGTAATCTGCTGCATTAATTTGATGATTTTTCGATAAACAACTTTTATCTTATGTTATGTAGGAGAAGGGTTTCGAGTCTTCTTCAAAGCGGTTTTCGGGAGAGTTTAAATCAGGTGCTGCAGTCCCACGCAGAAAGGCTGGGCCATGTTAATGGTGATAATTGGGAAATTACGGATAACGCGTCTTCTTTTCCTAATTTAATCGAGGAAAATCGACATCGAATTAACCGTGATCAATCTAACAATGTTGCCGAGAGAAATTTATTTAACCCCTCTTCGACTCATTTTGAGGAGTTTGGCAGTGCTATCTGGACACCCCGGATCTCGAATCAACAATTTGAAACGGTAAAAGAAAAAAAAAAACTTTTTTAAGTATCCTCTTTAGTTAAATATTGTCCAATTTTTATTTCGTTTATTTAATTTTCTTGAAATTGAATTTACGATTTTCTAGGATTGGGAGGTGATAAACGAGTTGAGGGTTGACATGGCTAGGCTTCAGCAAAGGATGGATGATATGCAGAGCATGCTTGAAGCATGCATGGACATGCAAGTCGAGCTGCAGCGTTCGGTTCGACAAGAGGTTTCCGCCGCTTTAAATCGGCCTATTTTTGCACAAGGTGAATACAGAATATTCCATTTGGATATTCTCTCGAAAATATTATATATCAGTCCACTTTAATATCACATATCTCATTTTTTTTAATTTTCTCTTTGTTATAAAATGCAGATAATGCGTCCGAGGAGAATCGGGTTCGTGACGAATCATCTCAGTGGGACCACGTGAGGAAGGGAGTTTGCTGCCTATGCCAGGACAGTAAAATCGATTCATTGCTTTACAGGTGACGAGTTGTTCTGTTTATTTTTATCATATAAATATCGGTTATTATTCGAACATGTTTATTTATATATTGACATATGCAGATGCGGGCACATGTGCACCTGTTCGAAATGCGCGGAGAAATTGGTCGAAAGGATGGGTAATTGTCCAATGTGCCACGCCCCAGCAGTTGAGGCGGTCCGAGCGTATTTCATTCACTAATACGAAAAAACGAGGATGCTTTTTTGCGTGTGTGTATATATATAATATATGTATCGTATGTATGTGCAGCCGAACACTTTTTGGGCACAATGGCGAGATGAGTGTTGTGAATGCTGGAATTTGATACTAACCAACTGATTTTATCTAACTGAGAGTCACTATATTGGCTAATAGGTGATGGTTTTTTTATTTTTTATTTTTTTATATGTCTGTGAATAATGACAGTTTGAAAACATTAGCAAATAGAAGGTTTGATGAATTAATTAACATGAATTTCTTAATTAACACACACACACACATATATATATATTCATCCATGAATTATGCTGCATTTCTTGACAACTGCATTTAAGTTACGAGAATGTAGACATATCCAGTGCACGTGTATAGTTTGTTGCAAGTTCATTCATTGCAAAAAAAAAAAAAAAATCATACTTGTAAAATATTAGTAATATGTCATTACCAATCGTATTAGATCAATTACAAGGAAACTAAGTTGCTCTTATTAATAAATAAACATAATACAAATTTAATTTGAATTGGGAGTCTAGATTTGTCATTTTTGCAACATATACGGCTATTTTTACTTGGAATCGTACTTGATAGTGATAAATCTGACTGCAAACTATTATACAAGATTGTAAAAAAAAATTGACTATACGAGAGTGTAAAAAAAATTTGAATTTGAGTACTGCAGACATAGTAAAGATAATGAATTTGATTGATGTACATGTAATTACAATAAAGCCACCCAATAATACAAAATTAAATACTAATCACCTACAATAATAAAAACATTTTTGTGTTCGCTGCACCGCAGCAAGATTAGCCTAGTCAGATCAATGACGTGTCAACCAAACTCCAGCGGGATCCTTTATCACTCCACGTGTCACTATTTTCCACCGTGGATCGTATTATGAATTATTATCAGACTTCCTCAGCCGTCTTGAACAGCTGGGTGGACCGACACAGGGGGCAGGTCACGTACGAGAATAGCCACGTGTCAATACATTTGGAGTGGAACACGTGACCGCAGTTAGGGATTAGCTTCACCGTCTCCCCCTCCTGGAACTCGCTCAGGCACACCGGGCAGTCGTCGGACATCCGCCGGTGCTCCGCCGCCGCCGCCTTACCGTAGGCCACGAGGGGCAGCGAGTTTACAGCGGAGGGGTCGAGTCCACCACCCCTGCGATTGGGCGGCGGAGGGGGGCGGCGCGGGGAGGAGGAGGAAGTGGCGGCGGAGGGAGGTGGGGGTTCCTCGGCGGCGGTGAAGCGGCGGATGTAGATTGAGAAGAATCCCATGAAGAAGAGGGCGGTGAGGAGGACGAGGATGGTGAGGGCCATGGAGGAGTCGAACTGTGAGGTGGGGTTGAAGGGTCTTCTGTCGGCTGCAGGTGAGGAGGAGCTATTGATGACAGGCCGGAAGCCGGAGTCTCCGTCGGCGGCGGTGGCGGATGGTGGGAGAGACCGGATTGCGGAGGCGTTTTCGACATGTGCTAGTTGGAGGAGGCTTTTCCGAATTAATAATGCGGTGGGGTTCATTTTTATAATCTATTGAAGCGGCAACGATAAAGATGTGGAATTTCTGGTTTTTGTAATGTTGACGGTGGCGGCGGCGGTGGGTGTGGCGGATGAGGATCGGAAGAGATAGCAGAACGAAAATGAAAAATTACAATGACTGAAATTCACACTCTATTATATCTTTTTTGTTGTTAGTGATTGCAATTCACTTTGTCGGTGCTTCTTGAGTTAATAAAATTTAATATTATTCCCAAAAAAATTTTATCATAGACAATAGATTTAGCTCAAGTATTATCCTCTCGTTGTTGCGTTAGCTTGTGAATCGTACGGATCGGATTGAAATTGGCCCTTAAGTAAAAAAATCTGTTTTTCTTTTCTGATTCAGAAAATATTGGTAAAAATCAGATTTCGGAATTTCATAATGTGAAACTTGTTCCAAAATTGAAAATTTTCAGATCGCCATCGATTTCGATGGAATTTGGAAAATTTCATCTGTGCTCTCTTTAAATATAAAATTAATAATAATACTGGTATTTTAATTGTAATATTCAAAAAAAAACTGTAATTTTTGGAATTATTGTTGGATGTTTAATCAGATCGAAAATCGAAATCCCGTATTTATTCCAATTCCAATCCAAATAGTTTCGGAAAAATCGCAAGTCGGGCTTTCAAAATTTTGATTGAAAAAATTGTTCTAAAATAAAAAAACATCAGGATTGTACGTATTCGGCGAAAATCAAAAACTCCGTTCTAATTTCCACCCTTAATTGCTTCAAACAAAATATTTCAACTCTATATTTCAACTCTAATCGGTGTTTCCCATTTTCTATCAAAATTCTGCAATCATTTTGCTACTTGCAAAAAATAAAAAAAATTAACCTATATTCCTCAATTCTACCCTTCAAAAAAAATCCAAACCAATTAATAGATTCGAAAAGTTGTGTGAATATAAAGATGATGACGTCACTGTTTATATTTGGGTATCATCTAAAAAAAATCAGGTGGTTGGTCCTAGTTTAGCTGCCCACGTTATCCATTATCCATGAACTCTCACTTGATTGATGTCAATAAACTCTCTGTTTTAGAATTTCACATTAATTCCTACCTAATTAATAAATGCATGATTTAAAATTCACAATAACGTCAACAAAATCGAGTGGGAATAATCCTAATTAGGTCAAGGTGTACAACTATACATGCATAACGTACCACTCAAATTAAACCTAATTAAATAAACAAATACAATATATCTTACACCACTAGTTATATAACTACCAACAACCTAGATAAATCCGAACACCCAACCTTCCAACTTCACAGTCAACCCACAAAATTGTGCCACAATTGGAAGCCAGGCCACAATATATATATATATATATATATATATATATATATATATATATATATATATATATATATATACTATTTGATTATGATTTTGGGACGTAGGAAACGTAGTTGGTGACGGCCTTGGCACCTTCGGCGACGGCGTGTTTACCCAACTCGCCGGGAAGAACAAGCTTGACCGCCCCCTGGACCTCCCTGGACGACATCGTTTTCCTCCCAGTGTACTTCTGCAGACGCGCCGCCTCCTCCGCGAACCTCTCGAACATGTCCGTCATCAGGTTGTTCACGATCGTCATCGCCTTCGACGAGATCCCCATCTCCGGGTGCACCTGCTTCATCACTTTGAACACGTACCTCTTGTACGATTCTCCGGCGCCGGCGCCGGCGACGCTCCTCCGGCGTCTCTTTGGACGTAACTTTTCAGTAGTAGCCTTCTTCTCCTGACCCGCTTCTTTCGCCTTCTCCTGGAATTTCTTTTTCCTGGTTTCTCTCTTCTCCGCCGGCGGTGGGGTTTCGAGTGGCTCCGACGATTTTGGCGGCGGCGCTTCTTTTCGCGGCGGCGTTGAAGCGGTTTCGGGCTCTGAGTAGGGCTGCGTTTCATCTTCGTCTTGTTCTTGTGGAACAATATCGGGCGCCGGAATCTGCTCCTCTTTGTCTTCAACGGGAATGGTTCTGAGGACGTGTTCTTTCTCCGGCGAAGAAGTGAAAATCTCGACATTTTCAGTATTCTGTTTGGTGGAAGAAGAAATCATTTCAACACTCTCGTTGTTGTCGTTGTCATCATCTTCGCCGCCGCTTCCTCCCGGAGTAACCACCACTTTGACGGTTTCCTCCACCACTTTTGTCGACGTCACCACCGTTTTCTTCGCTCTACCCGGCCGTTTCTTCGGTGCCATTTTCTCCTTCTTTGATTTGCAACTGAGTTTTTCCGAATATGTATTTCTTTTTGCCTGCACAAAATATGATTTATTCAGTTGTTCTTTCAAGTTTAAAAAGTAGAGCGGTGAGGGTTCGGGAGGTGACCACGAGGATAACACGTGTCGATTGATTCCCGCATTACTGCTACGTGGTTAAAAAGTAAAGGTAAAGATATTTACCTTGTTCGTTAAAAGAAATTGACGGGCCCATTTTCCTTTCTTTATTGGGCTGATTCAGCCCAAGTCTATATTGGGCTCTTCACAGGGCAATCATATTTTTAAGAATAATATTTATTTCCTTTGTTTTTTTTAATAATTGACGCACTGGGTAAATTCACACTCTTGTATGATAACGTATAAAATAAATAAAAAATGTAAACTATACTAGGCTAACTATGTGCGACAAACTCCATTGAACGATCGTTGTCTAGGAGATTCGAATGTGAGTAAATTCGTTATATAAAAAAGTTGTGGATGACTATTTCATATTTCAAAATCTCTATATTCATCGATATTTACATTGATTGCTCAATTAGTATTTATAATCTACATACTTTCTTTATCTGTGTAGAGAGAATATCTTCGAATCCTCTTCTTCCAATGGACTCTCTTTCAGCCTTCTAACCCATCCCTCCATCGTCTCTTGCATGTTCGGATGAGATATTCGAGGGGCATCGTTTAGCGAGTTTAGTACTAACGAACTTTGTTCGGTCGAGCTTCTAAAGAAACCTCGTTTTTTAGGTATATTGGGTCGGTGGACCCAGTAAATCTCTTCCAGCCCATATGTATTATCCTTATACAATTTAATAAGCCCAATATGAGGAGTTTGACACAACGTTACCAAACTAATCCTCATCGAAGATGCACATATTAAATAATAAAATTTTATTCTCAAAAAAATCAGTAGCCAAATATATCTAATTTTCTGAAATCAACCTTAAATTTGGAAAATCGAATCCGATGAGACTCGTACCTAGTAGTCCCATCGTCCCATGATTGATATTACAAGGATTGATTAAACATTGCTACCAGCTGTTAACAATAGAATCAAAGGACACGTAGTTGATAGTCATTGGATCCTTTTTGGACAATTAATATAGAATATTCTCTCTATACTCTATACATAGTCTATAATCTATATATACACATAAACATTAATAATGAAATACTAATATTCAGGTAAAATATTCTCAAATTAGTAGAAATACTGTGGCGCTTTTCATTATCCTGGGAGTCTTGTAATGGGCAATGCCCATAATTATAAGAAGGTTTTAAAAAAAATATTAAAGGAGAGACAAAATTATAACCTTAATTTTATTCATACTTCTATTTAATTTATTTAGATTCCCCCCCTTTTTTTTTTTTTTGTCAATTTTCTTTTGACTATTTTTTCCCCCAAAATAATATTAAAGGTTCATTTATAAGTATATAATAAGCTAAATAAACATGTTCAGGATGCATATAATATAACAAAAGATTTCATGACCAAATTAAACCAGAGAATTGTTTCAAGTAAAACCAGAAAGAATGTAACAGATATTAGATTTATTTATCAAATAAAATAAATCATTTAGTTACTAATTAGGGGTGTGAACGAGCTGAACTCGACTATTTATACTTGAGCTCAACGAGTTGAATTTTTTTTGACTCGAGCTCTAGATCGTCCGAAGCTCAAGCTCAAGCGAAAAACTCGAGCTCGAATTCGAGCTTTTATCGAGTTCACGAGCCTGATCAGCTCATTTACCACCCCTACTTTTAATTTGTGACAATTGTATATAACCTATATATAAATCGCATTCAAGAAAGCAAACTCCAAGTATATATTATGCACAAGCTAAGTAATGTAAATTGTTGAATCTTAGCCACATATAAAAGTATTTAAGAAGAAAAAAAAAAAGAAAAAAGATGTCATCTGTCATGAGTCTGTCTCTTCTTGGGACCGGTAATCGGGCCGGGCTCCGATTGAACCCTAGATTGCTTGTCGCACGATTGGAAGAACAATTCCAACTCCGCCTTTATTCTGATCATAATCTCATCCACCGCCTCCGCCGCGTTTGGAGCTCTTGATCTCCGGTGGCAAGTCACCCTTCTCCTCCGCTTCCTCGGCGGTGGAGGCGGGTGGCTCAAATCCACCGGAGGAATTCTGTGCTCTTCAGACGTCGGCGTTTGGTACCCTTCTTCGGTGTCGCGAGCTGTGCTCGACGACCCTATATCTTCTTCTCCCCCTCCTCCTTCCAATTCCTTCTTGGAAGTTTCTAGAACTATAGTACGAGAATGTTCAGACATGGTTTTTTTTTTTCCGATGGAATTATTAAAGAAAGAAAAATTAAAGAGTCGCAGTACAGATTATTTTATGGACGAAATTTGTAGGTTTTTAACTTTTTAAGGTAGACGATGAGTATATATGGGCAGTATTTTTTGTATGTATATATATTTATATATAATAATACGAAAAAAGTAATGGTATCTTGTGTTGTAGTAGGATTGGGTAACCTTCTTCTCATGCAACCCACCTAGATTTATTATTCTCTTTGGATTTACCCTAAGATAGAGTGAGAGTGGGGTGACGGAGATATTTTCCTACTTTGTTGCCGTCTTTTTCTTATGGAAATATCTGAATAATTATGTACCTCTCTAATAATTGTTAATTGTCACTATTTAATTATTTCCACGCGGTTTATTAATTATTATGGCTATTGGCATCTGACATATAAATATTGTACACCTGGTGAAATACACTATTAATTTTAAACTATAAATCTACATAAATAATTATATTCACTGAACACACATATATATACATGGATATATTTTATTATCTGTAAATTGATGATTTAAAATTACAAAACCATTGACAACTGAAAAAGAATTGTATAGTCTAAAAAAATTTCTACGTCAAATAATTGAAGGAAAAAAATAGATGTGTGACAGTGTTAGTTCTTTGAAAGCTAATAAAATAGATGGTTAGCTTAGCTTCACACGCTAAACTATTAGTCCCCTAATTTAATCAAACTCAAACTAATCACAAAGTCAACATATTATATTATAATATAATTAAATACAGCCGTGTACTTCTTTCTTACTTTAAATTACTCATTAATAATAAATTAAATCGAATTTTTACATTATCTTTCATACTTTTTTTTTTCCCTTTCTTTTTGATAAGAGAGTATATATATATATATATACTGTATATTAGCAAATTAAAAAGAGGTTGTTATCTAAGACAGACAACGTCCTCCGAGTCAGACGGGCTGTGTAGGATTTGTCTTCTCTCTCTATCCACCAATCACGTCAATCTCTCAATCCAAATTGTCCATATACGTATGAACTTCTTGCATAGGATACCATTCTAGAGAGAGAGAGAGAGAGGCTTTCATCCCAGCTTTCAATTGTATCTATATTACGCGCCTTTGGAATATTCGGGAAGTCTTAATACAACTATCAACTTGCCACATCGTGTATTAGTACATGATAATTCAATGGTTGAAGTTGCGCCACGAGTTTTGAGGAAATTTGCCAAGATTTTTGATAAATATTGGCAATGTTATTATTTTAGAAATTATTTAAAGTCCATATTTTGTATAGTTTTAATTATTTGGGATTTTATTATATCTCGATGTAATTGTTTTAGATTACGTATCTTTGTACTATATTAAGTGTAGAAATTGTGTATGATATATTTTCTTACGCTTGATTTATTTAGGTTCAAACTAGGATTTGTAGAGCTTATCTCGTATTTATAAGCCAAAAAAACCAGTGGAAAACGTAGGGGTTTTATTGAAGAAAAAAAATCAAAGTATTGGGCATTTGTGGAGCAGTCCAATATTATATTGTAATATGTCTACGTAAGATTGATTTTCATGCTTTCCGTGTAAAATTAACTAGCATTTTTTCTCCCGTGCGATGCACGGGATATTATTTTAAAAGTGAAAAAAATTATCAATTTAAGATATAATAAGAAAATATAGTACACTAACATAGTAAATTTAATAATGTAGTTATTGTTCATATTTTATATAGCATTAGTTTAAAAAAAAAAAATCTTATATATTAATATTTATAATCCAAAATATATAGATTAACATTTAACAAATCGTATTTCTATCTTTATCTCTTAAGATTTGAGATATACTGATGAAAAATAGGAGATTGATAATTGTTGAAAATAAATAGTTAGAAATTAGTACAGAAAAAATATTAAAAATAAATAATTACAAAAATACCATTAGGATTTTTTTGGGTTGCCCAGCGTTTCTTTCTTTTATATATAAGATTGGCCCTTTTGGGCCCACATAATTATACACATTCATATAGCTTTCCCTTTTCTATATTAAATTGTAGGCCCAATTTTATATATCACATCGTAAGCCCAATCTGTATAACCCATAGCAAATTTGCAATACCAACAATTTTGAGACAATTCTGAAATATTTATTACTCACAAGAACTAAATTGTTATTATAATTTATGAATTAATATATATATATTATTTATTAAAAGTAAACTCGTACAACTATTAGGATAATAAAAATGGATTTAGTGATAATAATATAATTAACACTAACTACACACCCCTTAAATTTTATTTATAAATTCTTAAATATTTTATATAAATATTTTAAATAGCTTTACATATTTAAACAACCATCTTTATAATTTATCTGTGACTTGATTAATCATAGAAATCATATTTAGGGTCGAATTAGTTATCCCAAATCCCTAATTATTATCATAACGACTACTTGACTATTTTCTTAATTCCTGATATATCCCTGAAAAGCCTGTAAACAAATCGAAATTACATCAAAGGAAACCCCGATCCACCCCGGCCAGATCTTTTCCGGTATGTCGCCGAAGCCATCGGAGAACGGAATGGAGGGAGACGACGAGAGAGAAGAGGAATCGGAAGAAGATAATTCGGAAGCAGAGGTTGACGAGGAGGAGGAGGAGGATGAGCCGCGGCTCAAGTACCAGCGGATGGGCGGCAGCGTGCCGACGCTCCTCCAAACCGACGCAGCTTCGTGTATCGCCGTTGCCGAACGCATGATCGCTCTCGGCACCCACTCCGGCTCCGTCCACATTCTCGATTTTCTCGGAAACCAGGTGAGTACTCGTGATTTTTTTTGGTGTAATTTGGTTAGTTTTCGTGGTCGTTTATTTGATTGGATTGTGTATTTTGCTCTAGATTGATGATTTTGTAATAATCACGAGTAGGATTTGATTGGACTTGACTATTCGTATCTGTGGTTTGAGTTTTGTTGTCTTCAAGTTAATAGCCGCCTAAACATGCTGCTGTTGTGATAATTAAGGGTTACTTTGAAGTCTTATCTTGTAATTTTAGTAAGAGAAGCTGGACTTTGAGGAACGTATGAGTCTATAACCATAAGAAGCTATCAGATTTTTTGTTGTCTTCCTACGTTCAGTTAATTAGAGCATATTTATGCAGATTTTGATTGCGCTGAATAACATGGCATCAGGTAAAATAATTTAAACAAGAAATCAGGCATCAGGGTAATTAGTGTTATACTATTGAAGTTCGGGAACATGCTGAAAGTTCAACAACTGTAAAAGTAGAGGCATATGTTAGCAAAGTTCAGAATTAGTGGTTATTGCAAAGGTCGTATATGTATTAAGTCAATAGTTAGGAGTACTTAAAGCTTAGTACTTGTTGACTAAGATTTCTTTCTATTGCATACGGATACCAGAAGTAGCTCCATATCTAATTTTCTTAATCGATCACTATCAGATGATTGAGCTAAAATCTTGCTCTTTTTATCAGTTGATACTCGAACCACTGTTCTATTTGTATTACCTGGAATGCATCATGCTTCTTGGAGGGTTCTATTCATGATTGCTTGTTTGGGGCGATCTTAGCAACTATGTGAATATTAGTACTATTGAACTCATAAACCGTGGTTTAACAGACCATGTGAATTATAAGCTTATCGGATTTGCCACTATAATGTTTATTGCCACCATAAATCTGTGTGTTTCCATAAAACACTTGGGAGTTCACCCCTGTCTGAATTTTGAATCTTCTACCTCTTAGAAATAATTTGCAAACATGTATTCTCAAGTGTAACAATGTAAGACCATAATGTTCAGTCTAGGAAGCATAACATATTATTAACTTCGTTCAGGTAATTTTAACAAATGAGTTCATGTGATGTTTTCAACAAATTATTTACGATTTTCTAGTTTGACTGAATTACTAGATCAAGTAGTACACTTGGCAGTTCAGTTGAAATAACAAATTTCGTTTTTCTTCAGGTCAAAGAATTCATTGCTCACACTGCTGCAGTTAATGACCTTTCATTTGATATAGAAGGTGAATACATTGGAAGCTGCTCTGATGATGGTTCTGTTGTAATTAGTAGTCTTTTTACTGAGGAAAGAATGAAATTTGAGTATCATCGCCCTATGAAGGCCATTGCTTTAGATCCAGATTATGCGCGAAAATCATCCAGGCGATTTGTTACTGGAGGTTTAGCTGGCCATCTATATTTTAACACGAAGAAATGGATAGGCTATCGAGACCAGGTTTATTTAGGTTTCTGACACACTGCACTTTCTAAAGAACTCTGAAAAGCTTTTGAAACTTTGACCCCTCCCACTGAAGGAATTTTCTTGTTCTAGGTCTTACACTCTGGTGAAGGCCCAATTCATTCTGTGAAGTGGAGAACTAGTCTCATTGCCTGGGCTAATGATGCCGGTGTAAAAGTTTATGATGCTGCTAATGATCAACGTATAACATTCATCGAAAGACCTCGAGGAAGCCCACGCCCTGAGCTTCTGCTCCCTCATTTAGTTTGGCAGGTTAGTAGATTACTAGTATTGATTTATCCGTAAAAGCCTGTGATAAATGGTAACGGTTTGAAAAAAAAGAGCATAACTACAGATAGTGGTGCTTTTCCTCACATTTTTTACACTTTATTCAGGACGATTCTATGTTGGTCATTGGTTGGGGAACGTCTGTTAAAATTGTATCAATAAGAACCCATCCGAATAAAGGCGCGAATGGGACTTTTAAGCAGATTCAGATGTCTAGCTTGAGCCAGGTGGATATTGTGGCATCTTTTCAAACCAGCTATTTCATTTCAGGAATTGCTCCCTTTGGTGATTCTTTGGTTGTTCTAGCATATATTCCTGTGGAAGAAGATGGAGAGAAGGAATTCAGTAGTACTATGCCTTCACGCCAGGTATTTGCTCTATCAGTCAATTCATTCTTAAGTATAGTGGATTGCATGTTGATTGTCAGGTATCCTGGTTAGAAGTTTTTGTACTAATATAATGTCTTTCAAACCTTACATTATAGTTTTGAGCTAGTTCTTGGTGTACCGTGTTTGTGATAATTATGTGATATTCTTCTTGATATATTTGATTCTGATTCATTTAAACCAATGCAAGTGGAATTTGCATATCGGTTTTCGTTTTGTTTCATGGAAATTCAACATCCTACATGTAAGTAAGAAGAGGCTGTATCTTGTCTTACTGCTTACTTTCCCTTATTGGGTTTCGTTGCCAAGTAAAATATTGTGCAAGATAGTTTATACTTATCGGGGATTTTGGGTTACATGTGGGATAAAACTTCTTAGTTCATCCAAACAACCATAGTTCTTAACACGTGGATCAATGATGAATGGATGAAGTAGTCAATATGAATTGGTTGGTTAGAAGCAAAATAGTTGCTGGTTTTGATGTTTGTCATTTATTTTGTCTTCATTCCGATTTAATAAATAAATAAATATTAAGCATATGTAGTCATATTTAGATGTAGATTAACCTGTAAAATGACAAATGATAATTCAACTGCGATGGATTTTGTTCCATAACATGGTTCTGTTGCTTTATTTTCTTATTATTATATGCGCCATTACTTGCTTTGTGTGGGAGTACGCTATGATGCTTCCCCTACCGATTTTATTGCATCTGTTTCTGTATGAATTATCTTTTTGGAATTCATTGTATTTGACTGACCTAGTGGCTTTGATGAGTAGTTCTTTAACTCGAAAGATTTTTTACTTTCCCTATGATGCAATTGGGCTATTCAGAAAGGCTGAAACACGTTTAATCTCGCTTGAAAAAAATGTGTAGTGATGTATAAAATATTACTCACTCGTTGCCTCGCAAAGTAGGCTAACTTCTTATTGTTAATCCGTGATTACAGGGCAATGCTCAAAGACCTGAAGTGAGAGTTGTCACCTGGAATAATGATGAACTGGCAACTGATGCTCTACCTATAAATGGCTTTGAGCATTACAAGGCCAAGGATTATTCTCTTGCTCATGCTCCTTTCTCGGGTAAAGCTGTTTTTTTTCGTTTTTTTATCCCAACTTAAAAAACGATGATTGTCTCATTCCTTTTTGGGTCTATTAGAGTTGTATTATCGTCAAAAAGACATTTGCAATGGAGGTAATCACATTATGCTCTTGGTTATAGGTAGCAGCTATGCAGGTGGTCAGTGGGCTGCGGGTGACGAACCCTTGTATTATGTCGTGTCTCCGAAGGATGTTGTTATTGCTAAGCCTAGGTCAGTGACTGTTCTTTCTCGTCTTTTGTCAAATGTTACCTTTGATTTCTGTTCACTATGTTTTTTGTGATCATGACCAAATAAAATATAATATTTTTTTCAGTATCCTCCATTCCTTGATATTTTACATTTCTTGTTCTTCATGTTTTATCCTTCTCTTGATATAGCTATATGCTGATTCTAGTCGAGATAACTAAATAGAACAATTTGAAATTGTTTCACAAACAAAGCCATGTGGATGGATGTATGTGCTTTTTAGCTTGCTTGTTCAGTCTTCTTATTTCTCACGGCATTTAGCTCGAACATATCTCAGAAGACTATTACTATGTGGTTTTGTAGTTTAAATGCGTGGTAGTATTGATGCTTTTTCCTTTTCCGAAAACGGCAAATGTTGGTTTTTGCGTATATTTTATTGGATCGACCAAATCCAAAATGATTTGTTTTTGGTTACTTCGTATTGAAGGATTTGTGTCTAAAACTGTTGTCTTCTTTTTATATCATTTTTAAACAGTTTCAGTTTCAGTGTTTCTACATGGCTTGCAGTTTTCTGACATAGCTGTATAACTCTCTCCTCAACCCACTCTTAATAAAAAGGACATGAGAATTATAAAATTTCGCATAATATTCTGTTGTTTCATTCTCATGCCTTATCATACTGTTTTAGGAAGTTTTTTTAATCAGAGGTTCTAAAATACAATTATTTACTTTTGAATATCAGGGATACAGAAGATCACATAGCTTGGCTTCTTCAACATAAATATCATGAAAAAGCCTTGGCAGCAGTTGAAGCTGGTCAGGGTCGAAGTGAGCTTCTTGATGAGGTAGCCTGGTTTTTTATTTTCTTGGGTTTTAACTAACAATAAATATAATGCAGGTGGATTTGTCTCTATAGAATCTTAAGCTAACTATATATTTTCTCATTACTTCCTTCTTTGTGTTTATTTTTTCTGTCTGCCTTTTGATATGTTGCTCATCACTTGTTTGTACATTCTTAATTTGAGCATAATTATGGTGGAATTTTTCTGGAGTGAGAACTGACTGCTAACTTCGCATGCTTGTGATCTTTCCAGTATAGATTCTCATCATCAATTATGTTATTATGTTTTCATTTAGTAACCCTAACATAGAAATCTGATAATATATATGTCCTTGAAGTGAGAAGAACGAACATAAAATGTTGACATGAGAATAATTTACCTTCAAAATAAAATAGAGTGGCATAGTCAAATGCAAGGGTGTACGTAACATAACCAACTGATTGGAACCATAACTCAAAGGATAGATCTCTTATGCTGCTCGTTGGCCATTAACGAGGAGCTACCCCCCAAAATTTAACAACACTTGGTTTTTACATTGAATTGCTAAAGAGGATTCAGTACAATCCATAATTTCAGTTATAGTCGATAGTCACGTTTAGTTGTAGCAATGTCATTTGGCCATGAACAAGACCATGTCCCGATGCATTCTTACAAAGTGTTTACTTGAATTTGTCTGATTTAAACAGGTGGGATCTCGATATCTCGACCATCTGATTGTGGAGCGGAAATATGCTGAAGCAGCATCTTTGTGTCCCCAATTACTGCGAGGATCAGCTTCTGCATGGGAAAGGTATTAATGTACTTTTGTACATCTGCTCTGCACACACAATATAAAAGAAGTTCACAATTTACTGTCGGTTTGTTTCCTTTTTTCCTTTTTTTTTTTTCTTTTTCTTTCAATTAACTGGGGGTTGATTACCTCATTCAGGTGGGTTTTTCATTTCGCTCATCTACGTCAACTTCCTGTATTGGTTCCTTACATACCAACAGAAAATCCTAGGTTACGTGATACTGCTTATGAGGTGTGTACTTCTTGGTGTTGCATTTGCACTCACCTCAAATCTTTTTTCGTTTTTTTTTTCCACTGTGTCAGATCGGTGTTTGACGCCTGGAAAATTTGTTGCCCACTAGGTTGCTCTTGTTGCTTTGGCAACAAATACATCATTTCACAAGGATCTCCTGTCAATTGTTAAAACTTGGCCACCTGTTGTATATTCTGCTTTGCCCGTAATCTCAGCTATAGAACCTCAGCTTACTACTTCATCATCTACCGATGCTCTCAAAGAGGTTAGTGCCTGGGAATCCTATTTGGTTCCTGCTTTTATTTATATACTTAATTTACATGGCATGGTTTCTTTCAGGCTCTTGCTGAGCTATATGTTATTGATGGACAATATGAGAAAGCCTTCAACCTGCATGCTGATGTAAGTGCCCTTCCTTTGGATTCAATTTTTTAACCATTCGACAGAATTTGCGCCCTTATTAACTATTTGGAAAGGTGGTCATGGCATTCTTTTGTTTTATTCTGTGGTCCTCTGTTTAATTATTTTATTCTATGTATTTCAGCTTATGAAGCCGGATATATTTGACTTCATTGACAAGCATAATTTGCATGATGGCATTCAAGAAAAGGTACTTTGAACACTATATTGATAGAGTCTATTCAACATTATAGTGTGAGTTTTCTTTTGCTGCTTTGCAACATCGTTTACTTATTTGAAAACTTGAAGCCCAGCAGCCATATATCCAGTTTCATAATTCCATCGTGGGATTATCCTCAACCGAGATCCTCTTTCCTCTTCCTTCTGTAGTTTTTCATGACCTGAGAAAAACCTGACATCTGTTTTTATTACGCTCAAAGCTGCCAAACATTGATTTTACATCCTTCATGTCTACCCATACATAATATAATGAACAACGACACAGAACGACATTTTAGTTCTGACCTAATGATTTTACTCAGTAAAACTCTGACATTCATCCTTACATGAAACAAATGTTTAATTTTTTTTACTGATCTCACGTGGCTTTGCAGGTTGCTCAGCTTATGATAATAGATTGCAAACGTGCTATTCCATTGTTTATCCTGCACAGAGACGTCGTAAGCCCATCTGACGTAGTTTCACAACTCATGGCTGCAAAGAAGAAGTGTGACTACCGGTACTTTTTGCATCTGTATCTCCATTCGCTGTTTGAGTCAAATCCCCATGCTGGCAGGGATTTCCATGACATGCAGGTTTGTAGAGATTGGCCATTCCATTACCCGTGAATCGTGATTATCTTAAGAAAGCATAGTCAGTAACAATGTTTTGCCATTAAAATGATATTTTTAGTAAAGTAAATGAAGGGCAGCGAATGTGAAGGTCTTTCAAATGAAAATTGATTATTTAACTTCCTTTGTGGAGTTTCAGACTGCCTCACTATTTATTAGATTGTCTTATTAGATGCATTTAGGATTGTTCCCAGACCAGGTTGAAGAGATTGACATCACTTATGCTTAATTTGTCAATCTGCAAGTTCAATTCCAGTTTGGATGGACTTGCTAAGTGTGTCTAATTATTGTTAATAGTCCTCGTGGAGATATCTGGAAACTCAAAACAAGTCGAGTAATCATTAGGGAAAGAAGGGGGTAGAGAGTGGAGGACAGATGATCACAAGAAGAATAGTTAAACTTTGTGTATTCATTTTGTCTGAGTTGAATGATTCTCCATTTCTCAAAGCCTCTTTGTGAATTCCCTTGCCGATTTTCAATTTCATTGATTATTTCTTTTCGTTTGTGCATGCATTTGAAGAGCCTCAAATTGGCGTTATTTTGAGTTTATCACAAAGCAAGTAACACTACTCTTTGTGAACAAGATTTCTCTTTAACATTTGGTTATTGTTTCTCGTGATTGCCAACAGGTTGAGCTCTACGCAGATTTTGATGCGAAAATGCTACTCCCCTTTCTTCGGAGTAGTCAGCATTATACACTCGAAAAGGTATATTCCATAAGTGGGTGATTTATCTGGAATTTTCTACAATCGTTTGGTCTTTGACTCATGAAAATTGGTCTCAGGCTCATGAAATTTGTGTAAGAAGAGATCTATTACGAGAGCAAGTCTTTATTCTTGGAAGAATGGGAAACTCGAAGCAAGCATTATCAGTAATTATTAATAAACTGGGGGATATAGAAGAGGTACTCACCTTGATACTCAAGTTACCTGAGTTTTGAAACAATTGAGATTTGATTATGTCTAATCAATTTCTGCAGGCCATAGAATTTGTAAGTATGCAACATGATGATGATCTCTGGGAAGAGCTGATTAGGCAATGTCTGAACAAACCTGAGATGGTATGTTGTAATCTGAGCAAATAGACAAATCCACATGAGATTACATGACTATGTATTATAAATTTTCTTATTCTGGGTTTTAGCTAATACATTTTTTATTTTGGCAGGTAGGAATATTGTTGGAGCATACTGTTGGGAATCTCGACCCCCTATATATTGTAAATATGGTGCCCAATGGCTTGGAGATACCTCGGTAAGTCTTTTCTTCCCAACTCTGTTCTGGTGGTCAATCTGCATGTTTTATAACTTTTGAGCTGGATCACTATTCACTGCTAATAATTGGATTAATTGATTTCTTGGTTTAGTTTGGGCTCAAAACTAGACAGTCATATACTAAAATGAAAAGATTAAAATTATATGTTTTTGATAATATTGAATATCTACATTTTCAAGAATAAAATGTTATTCTCTCTTCTCTAATACCGAGACCGAAAGGCCATGAATGTGAAATTCGGGAGTTCTGTTCTCCAACTTTATTCTCTTGGGATCCGGAAATGTATAGCTAAAAAAAAATTGTTTTTGTTTTTAATCCATTTAATGGGTTCGCCAAAGATTTTAGCAAAATAAATTGGATCTTGAGTGAAGTATTAGGCAAATTCAAATTAGGGGCAAATGAAGTGCTTGTGGATTTACCGATGGTCGTAAAATGCTAATGACTTGATGTCATTACATTTGCTGTGGATATATTCAAGTCTCAGCCTCAAATACGTTATCTGCAATTCCCGTCTATTCTACACTGTTTGAATCCAACCCCCACCCACACAGTGCTACTTACTCTATAGTTAATGTACTGAAGTAAAATGCACTTTGTTTCAGGCTGCGAGACCGTCTTGTCAAAATCATCACAGACTACAGGACCGAAACTTCTCTAAGACATGGGTGCAATGATATACTCAAGGTAATAATAATCTCGCATATGGCCTCGTCTGGGAATGTTCATGGGATTTATCAGATTGATTGAAATTGGTTAGGATTACATTCTCCATAATAATGTAATATGTGATTATCTTATATTTAATACAGTCTTTATATGGGAAAATATCATTTGTATATTATGTGATAATAGGAATTGAGTTTGATTAAATATCCTTCATATGCTTAATCAAAATTTGGGCACATTTTTAATTATGGGCTTGAATCATGATTAAACCCTGCAGGCTGATTGTGTTAACCTGCTAATCAAGTACCACAAAGAAGCAAAGCGAGCCATATACTTAAGCAACGAGGAAGACGGGTCCCGCACAAAAAGAGATGAAAACGGAGTTTCTCAGTTATCCGAGAGATCCACGAGCATAAAAAACATGGAGGTGAAGTCAAAAAGCAGGGGAGGCACAAGATGCTGCATGTGCTTTGATCCTTTCTCCATTCACGATGTGTCCATATATGTTTTCTTCTGTTGCCATGCATACCACGAGACTTGTCTTAGGGATTCCATCGACTCCATTAGTAGCAAAAAGAAGAAGCCAACTGTAGCACACCCTAAAGAAGATTTATCGTATTATAATTATGATAATGGCGATAATGATGACGATGATGATGATATCCATGACGAGGATGATGCTCGGGTACGTTGTATCTTGTGTACTACTGCAGCTGCCGGTTGATTATTTTTTATTGTTATATTTTTTTAATTTGGTGTCTTTTTTCTCCTGTATTTATGTATGTATAATGATCTTCGGCTGTGTGTGCATATCTTATGAGCACGATCTCTACTTAGTTGATTTCACGTCGAGCAAGTCTGCGTTTTGTATGTTAATATTATAATATTAACCATCGATTTTATTTTTTTTGTTTTTTTCGAAAGCAAAGTGTATTTTACCAGGTCAAAATGTAGCTTCTGTTGAAAGTTTTTGTTGGTATGTAATTGTATTCAACAATTGGACAATCAATACTTCTCATTTTTTAAGATTCTTTTTTTCTTAATTTTTTTTGGAGACTTGGATAATTTATTTCTTCTTATGATAATAACAACTGTGTTGGGATGTTTTTGTCCGACTTCTAGAAGAAGTTTTGGAGGTTTATTTAGATAAAAAAATAGTCCATACGCGTGAAGATATCAATAATAAATTGGACCATATTGAGAAAAATTACAAAGTTTTTAGTCTTCGCCTTGAAAATTAATTGTGGATCTAAATTAAAGTGTGACCAACCATATGGAGCATTAAAATTAAAATGATTGGGATATTTTTAACCTACTACCATTTTATGATATGAAGAGAATTGATTAACAAACTTCTTATAGGCATTTCATTAGGAGTTAGATGCTACACCTGGTTATTTATGCCGAATGATTATTAATCGTAGATGGAATTATACTCACTAAGCACATATACATACGGGTTTGTGTTATTACGTGCAATTCTACAATTAATAATCATACAGTGTAAATAACCAAGTGTAAAATCTAATTTGCGGTTGATGTCAATCAACCGCCAAGGCGCCAACAAATAAATAATATCTATTAAAATAGGTTGATTGACCCCGTCCGGCCATTAAGTAACCAAATCAAAATTCGACCTAATTAATAATTAATTATCTTCCAAATAGATGTCTATAAGTTGATACCCACTCATGGATCAAAATCTTGAACAAGTACAATTCACAACAGCCATGGCACCACCAAGAGTACCTTTATTCCAATTCTACCCTCACCTTCTTCTTCTTCTTTTCCTCTCATTTGTACTGATCATGCAAACTGTAACACCATTGCCAGTACACAAAGCTCCGAGACTATCGCTACATAATAAAGACGCGTTACTAATCTCGAGAAGCCGGCCCGGCGGCGCAATATCGGCCAATGCTTTACTGGATTTTAAGACATATTTTTACAGACAAACACTTGATCATTTCAACTATGCACCTCAGAGCTATGCAACTTTCAGACAAAGATATGTGGTCAACTCTAAATACTGGGGTGGTCAAAGTTTTAATAACTCCCCGATTTTTGCGTATCTTGGAGCCGAGGCGCCGATCGATAATGACTTAAGCGTTGTTGGTTTTCTCAATGACAATGCTCCTTCTTTCAACTCTCTCATAGTTTTCATTGAGGTATATTAATTTCATTTAAGTTAGTAAAATTAACGAATGATTGCGTACGTAGGAAGGTAACGAATGCAATTATATTTCTTGGTGTGATTTAATTTGGTGCGTGTAGCATCGATACTATGGAAAATCGATCCCCTTCGGGACGATGGAGGAGGCGATGAAAAACGAGACGACTCGTGGATATTTCAACTCGGCTCAAGCTATAGCTGATTACGCCGCGATTTTGTCGCACATCAAGCATCAATTTTCAGCGCACGATTCGCCAATAATCGTCGTTGGAGGATCGTATGGTGGAAGTAAGTAATCAATATTTAATTAAATCAGGATTCAATTTTTTTTATATAAACTATTACAAATTCATATTAATAATTTTCACTAATAATAATAAACCTACAAAATTTCAGTGTTGGCTTCGTGGTTTCGACTAAAGTATCCACACATTGCTTTAGGTGCCCTGGCTTCGTCAGCCCCTATTCTTTATTTCGATAATATTACACCACAAAATGGTTATTACTCTATTGTTACCAAAGATTTCAAGGTAGTTATTAATTTTTCATTTAATTATTTTAATAACAATAATAATGCATTATTTATTTATTATTTTCTACAACCATTAATTAATTAATTGTTTTGTATTATTTCCCAGGAGGTTAGTGATAATTGTTACAAAACAATTCGAAGATCATGGGCTGAAATCGACAGAGTAGCATCGAAACCTAACGGCCTCGACATTCTTAGTCAAAGATTCAAGACTTGCTCGTAAATTTTATAATACTTATTATATAATGCATGTCGAATTTTTATACGTACTAGCTACTAATTAAAAAGTTAATCGATAATTGGCGTTACGTTGTTTAATTTCTCAGGAAATTGAATAATGCGGAAGAGCTAAAGGATTATTTGGAGACGATATACGCGGTGGCGGCTCAGTATAACCGTCCGCCGAATTATCCAGTGACGATGGTGTGTAGAGGAATCGACGGAGTTCACAACGGAAGCGACGGTGATGTAATTGGCCGTATATTCGCCGGCGTTGTTTCGTATAAGGGGAATAAGACATGCTATGATATGAATACATATAATTATCCTTCTGAAACTAGCATTGGATGGCAATGGCAAGTGAGTTATCTATATATTTAATTTATTAATTATTATTATATTTTTCCCACTTTTTTTTTTCATAAAATAAAATTATTAACAAGGGATGGACGGCCACTATATGACAAACAGATCACGATTCACAAGTATGGGTAATAAGGTTTATTTGATGCTACGACTCGTGAAATACATTAGATAATTTTTAATCGTTGATCTGCACTGTGTATTTGTGCTTAATTAGTGATTATTTAATTCCATCAATTATTAAAAATCACCCGGTGTAGATGATTAGGTGTAGCGTCTAATAATCTGTGAAATATTTTTATTAACTATGATTTTTTTTATTTTTTTTGACAATATTATTGTAGAAAATGTGTATGAAAATATACTAATAACAATATAATAAATTGGTAGACTTGTAGTGAAATGGTGATGCCAATTGGGAGAGGGCAAAACGAGACAATGTTTCCGGCAGCACCTTTTAACTTAGATGAATTCATCAAAATTTGTTCAGAAATATATGGTGTCCCACCTCGACCACACTGGATCACTACTTACTATGGCGGCCACGTAAGCTGTATTAATTACTAATTACTAATATTAATTACTTCTTTAATATTTCAACATGACTTTTTTTATAGATTATTTTAATTAATTCTTTCTCTTTTCAGGATATTAAATTGGCTCTTAACCGGTTTGGCAGCAACATAATTTTCTCCAATGGCCTAAGAGATCCATACAGTAGTGGAGGGTATATATATATATATATATATATACATATATATAAAATACACACACTTCTCTTATTTTTTTTTCCTGATAATTATTTAATGATTTAATTCAGTAATTTAAGCGAATTACCCAGTGCACGTATATAACTATCATTGCTATATGATCGTAGGGTGCTAGAAGACTTGTCCGAAAGCGTCGTTGCAGTAACTACACGTAACGGTAAGCTTAACATCAAACCCTAGCAAATTCAATAGTACAATGTATTATTATTGACTTTGGAATTGCAAAATATAAGTGAAGTAGTTAGCATGCTCTTAATTACATGAGAAAAAAAATGTTAAATAATCCCAATTCACTTTTATACACATAATGGTGTGTGTAAATGTGTGTTAAAAAGGTTGGTTGGATGGATATTTAATTTGCAGGTTCGCACTGTCTGGACATACTTCAAGCAACGAAAACTGACCCAGAATGGCTGATCATGCAAAGAAACACAGAGCTTCAGATTATTCAAGGATGGCTCACTACATATTATGCTGACCTCAAATCCTTAAACAAATAGAATAAAAGAACAAGCTTTATATATAATTGTTATATAAATAAATATTGATGAAGATTGAATCATCAAATTAACGTATTACCTCTGTGTAATTCAAATCTACTGTGTGTTTATTGTCGGAAGACCGATTTTTATGGAGATGTATAAATATTAAATGATTCACATCACTTATAATGACTTCAGCTTTTGATTAAGATGGTCATTCAACATACATAAATATTTAGCGGGTAGTATATTAAGGAAAATCTGCACTTGAAAATCGTATTGTATCATCGATCAGAAAGCTCGATCTCGAAAAAATTGAGTTCCAGTACGAGCTTTTGTCGAGCTGGCTCAGCTTGTGTTGCTTTGTTGTATTATGTACATTACTTTTGTAGTTGGGAATCTGGGATGTAAAATCGGCCACATACTTCCATTCTTGTTGTATTTACCTCATATTCTAATTTATTTATTTATATATATGTCAAGTGTATAAATTAAATGAATATATAATAAAAAGATAGTTTGGGCCTTGGGGATATATTAGTAATTAAGAAAAAGGCAAAGCCCACTTTACTTTTGAAGCCATATATTGCAGGGTTTCAGTGACTAAAAAACAAAACCACAAAAAAGGAACAACCAAAGTGAGAAAAATAAAAAAAATAAAAAAAAAAAAATAATTGAGGCACCAAAGTATTCTAAAGTGCAGAGTCAGAGTGCAAGATTTAAAGCTGGAATCTAATTTATGCTCCTTTGCTTTAGTATCTCAAACGGATATTACAAAGTTATTTAAAAGATAAGAATTATATATATATATATATATATATATATATATATATATATATATTAATAGTACGAATTGTTTCATTTCTTCTCAAAAAAAAAAAATTGTTTCATTTATTTTTAATAGCTACCTCTATATTAATAAATTAGAAAATGATAGATATTTGAAGAAGAAATTAAATTAAGTTAAACACGTGGTGTTTGAAGTTGCCAAAGTTGCAATTATTAAATTAAGTACACTCAATGAAGGTTAAATGATTGTATTGGAAGTGGAAATTAAAGTCGAATGTACTTTTTAGTTCCATTCTTAATTTTTCATTAATATCGATATATTATTATTTTAATATTTGCCATTTGCCCAAAGTATTATTAGCAAAAATTCGAATGTGACAGACAAACAATAGAAAGGTACAACTCTTTGTGCGTAACGTATAAGCACGTGAAGCATTGTATTAGTTTATCGTTTTACATTGGTTGTATATCCAACTTCCCCACATATAAAACGACAAACGTAATCTGATTTCTTTTCCAAAATCAAACTCTGTTATCAGCTGCTGCTGTCCCTCTCTCTCATCTCTCTCTCTCTCTCTCTCTAGAAGAGAGAGACTTGTACGTATAAGATATGGATACATATATACATGACCTATAGATACATGGGTGTAGACACCTAATTGCATAAAATAATATTATTGTTGCCCCCATAGCTGTAGTAGTGTTGTTGCTTAGAGGAGAAGGATCGATTCGCAGCAGTACTTGTTTCAAGGAAATGCCGCCGGTTAATATTCCGCTTGTGTCGGCGGTGTTTATGGTGGCGACGGTGGCGGCGGTGGTTGGCGGCGTGACGTTGACTCTGGAGAGGGCGAATCACGAAGGAGTGGAGCTGAGTCGACTCAGAGAGAGTGACCGGGTTCGACACGGCAGATTCCTGCAGCAGCAACAGCCTATTGGTGTCGTTGATTTCCCTGTTGAAGGCACCTACGATCCTTATCTTGTTGGGTATATTAATTTCTTCATTTCTCTATTTAAAAAAAATCAAAATTAAAAATGTATGTATATTATATATATGATGTGTAGTGTATGAATTTGCAAGTTAATTTTGGGAGTTTTTAATCACTTGGTGCTGAATTTCTTATTATTTCTTTTGATTTTGATTGTAGACTTCGATTTCAGTCTCCGAAAATTCGATTGTTGTGTAAAAGCCCTCTCGAAGGAACTGATTTACATGTCGAATTAAATGATTTCTTTGAACTGCAGTACATAGTACATATATCAAATTGTTGATGATTTTCTGCAGTACCCTTCCCTCTGGTAGTAGTTCATTAGTTGAGTTATTATATGTTCTTATGGAGGCGGTGAATCGTTGTTTTATAGGCTATACTATACAAAAGTAAAATTGGGGACTCCTCCAAAAGAATTTTATGTACAGATAGATACCGGAAGTGATGTGCTGTGGGTGAGTTGCAATCCGTGTTCCGGTTGCCCAACATCGAGCGGCCTCCAGGTAAAACATACCCTTTGTGTTTCTAATTTCTCCGTTTCTCGTAATTGTCTCAAATTTATACTTTCTTGCTTTTATATTTGAACAGATTCAGCTAGAGTTTTTCGACCCTTCCAGCTCATCATCCATAGCACCGGTTTCATGTTCGGATAAAAGGTGTGCTTTGGGAGCACAATCATCCGATTCTCTTTGCTCCAATCAGAATCAGTGTGGATATAGATTTCAGTACGGTGACGGTAGTGGCACTTCCGGGTATTATCTATCCGATTCGATGTATTTCGACTCGGTAGTTGGGGATTCGTTGACAACAAATTCTTCCGCAACTGTTGTTTTTGGGTGAGGCCCTATATATTTGTATTGCACAATTGTTAGTTTTTTAGTCCTTTATTTAATTGACCTCTTTTTTGGTTTTTGGACACAGATGTAGCACGTCACAGACTGGAGACCTTACGAAGCCAGATAGGGCGGTTGATGGTATATTTGGTTTCGGGCAGCAGGGCTTATCTGTAATTTCACAGCTTTCTTCACAGGGAGTTGCCCCAAATTCATTTTCTCATTGCCTGAGAGGAGGAAACGGGGGCGGCGGTATATTGGTGCTTGGACAGATTGTGGAACCGAATATAGTCTACACTCCACTTGTTCCATCCGAGTATGTATTTTTTCTGCTCTGCACCTGTCATTCTAAGTTCAACATATCTCCAAAAAAACAGAGTTTTTTTTTTTTTTTTTTTTTTGCGTGTGTTATATGTTAGTTTTACGTTTGTCGAAGAAGTGGCAAATTCCACTGTTTCAGTGAGCAACAGACTCCGTAATTTGATTTATTCTCTCTGATTCCAAACTTTAGGCCACATTACAATGTAAATCTACAAAGCATTGCTGTAAATGGACAGATACTTCCCATTGATTCATCGGTATTTGCAACATCCAACAACCGAGGAACAATAATTGATTCCGGAACAACATTGGCGTATTTCGCAGAAGAGGCCTACGACCCATTCATCAATGCAGTAAGTTAGTGGAAAAATAGTATTCGACATTTCTTTAACCATACCGTTTTGTAAGAATATATGTTAATTAGAGCCCAAACAATATGGCATTTGTTCCTTTCTACAGATTATGCAAACTGTTTCGCAATCTGCACGCCCTCTTTTTTCCAAGGGAAACCAATGCTATCTAACTACATCCAGGTTTTTATTCCGTGTTTCGGTATTCTTGTTTACATATGCTTCTACGAATATGCATCTTCTCATTGTTTATGTTCATTCTTTCTTCTTTCTAGTGTGTCCGAGATTTTCCCTCAAGTTAGTTTAAACTTTGCTGGTGGTGCATCAATGATACTGAGGCCCGAGGATTACCTTTTGCAGCAGAACTCTGTCGTAAGTCCACATCTCATTTTCAGCAGTCAATAAATGATTGTAGTAAAATTAGGAAAATTCGAAAATGCCATGCATAAGAATATTTATTACTGCTATTTATTTTTTAAGTTTATTACTTTTTGAACTGAAAACGAGTCTAATATTTAATATGAAGGACTCTTTTCTCCTTGAAAGATTGTTTTACGCGATGTTTTTACTTCAGTTTTCGTGAGGAAGATGAAAAAATATCAAAAAGTAAACATGAGTATTACTAATTTACTTTCAGTTGAATTTAGGAGAATCCAAATTGAAGTTTAATTCATTTGGCTTTTGTTCGAGTTGAAATAGTTTTACTGCACACTCCGTAATTCTTAGTTAAGATAATTCTCTTGCATTGTCAAAGCTTTCCATCAAGCTCGCGAGTTTCTTGATAGATTATTTTATTATTGGTAACGTGCCATTTTTTTCTTGTAGGGTGGTGCTGCAGTGTGGTGTATCGGCATTCAGAAAATAAGGGGTCAAGGAATTACAATTTTAGGAGGTACGAAGCATATATTCTATCATCGTGACTGCTCAAATATGGAGCATATAATACGTCATCTTACGTTTCTTTTTTCTCTTGGATCCTTTATGCAGACCTTGTTTTGAAAGATAAAATTGTTGTATATGATTTGGGTGGCCAAAGGATTGGATGGGCCAACTATGACTGTAAGTTTTCTTTACCATCTAACTATACAACTATTACTACAAACAATAATTAGACCAACTGTCCCGTAAGGGATAGCCTAGCGGTTGGATCAAGTGAGCTTGTGTCAATTTAACTCGGGTTCGAATCCCCTTGCCAACGATCGCTAGGTCGAACTTGTCACACATCGTTAGCCTAGTGTGGTTTAACTTCTTGGATTCGAAAATGAAATATTTTGTCCGACTGATTCATTCAAATTCATTTCTTATAGGTACAATGTCTGTAAAAGTTTCTACAAGTAATACCGGTAGAACTGAATTCGTCAACGCGGGACAACTCGACAACAATAGTTCACCGAAACACGAGCCGTACAAGATTATTACACCAAGTACCGTTTTAACTTTCTTGTTGCATATAGCATTCTTTGGCGTTTTTCCATTTTTATGATAACTATCGATATTGGACGGTTGAGATTTCTTATATTTTTCCTCTCTTTTTTTATTTAGCTATCTGATGTTATTATAGAAATTTAGTAGGTTATAGTTATACATAGCTGCGGATTTTTGTTCTAGTGATTGCATCTTTGTTTGTGTTCTTAAGAAGATCGATTCATCCTCAGCCACAGATTCAGTTTTTCTCCATGTTGTACAAAATTAAACATCTTACAGGAATAGTATATTCATTTTTATACACGAAAAGAGGTGTTATTATTTATGAAATTTGGACCTTTGAGCTAGCTGATTACCGCTACGTTTAATAATTAGAAAATCACAAGAAACGAAAGTTGTAGCAATCGTCAATATCTCTTTTATCTCTTCCAAGTATGCACTATGTGAAGATGCTGAGAGTTCATCTTGTAGTGCATTTATAACTTGTATGCGACTAGTTGCCTTCCAACGCAATCGTTCTCCCACCGCTTCGTTTGGGCCTTGGAAATTGCTTCCAGAGTTGCATGAGTCTCACACTCAACTGCTTTCGATTGCCCCGTAAAATTTCGAACTGCCCACTAGCAACCTTTTCGATGCTCGTTTCTTGCAACCATGGACACCATATAGTAGCTCTCCCCATTCGGAATTGTCGCATCAAAATTGATTTTTATTGAGCCTGAAAGAGGTGGTTTCCATAAAGTGGGAAGAGCCTGCTAGGAAAATGGCCGATTTTATGGGTGGATATCAGACAAATCGGATCGAAATTATCACTTTTGAAAAAATTCAATTTTTTTCAGAAGTGATAAACTAATTCCAATTTTGTTCACAATAAAATTGGGAAAAAATTCGGAAATCGGAATTTCGAAAATTAGAACGAATTTTTTTTTTCCAAAATCAGATTTTTTTTAATCCGAATTGGCGAAATTCAGAATTTTCATATTTTCAGTCACCTATAATATAAAATACAATATTATATTACTAGTGTAATAATCTTCATAATGTTTTTTTCTTTTTTGGCTTATCGAAGATATTTTCGGAAATTAACAAAAAAATGAATTGCAAATTGGAATATAATATTTATTCCAATTCGATTAAAAATTCAGAAAAAAAATAAATAAGAAATAGTAACTCTTAAACTCCGAGATGAAAAATATTGTTCCAATATCGTATATCTGACTCACTTTTCTGCTAAACAATTTGGAATTTCTGATGAATATGAATATGACAATTTGGTCATCCAATATTGCACGACCGACACTTGAGAATGTGAACAGATAAATAAAATGACATATTAATTTCATTTTATGTTTATTTATTTATTTTATTACTATCAATTATATTGTTTCCACGAAATCTACCAACATATTGTTCATGGGATCCCATTAATTCCTCAGTTTGCAAAGTCAAATGGTATTTTAATTTGCTCTACCAATTATGATCCTCATTATTAAACATTCTTTATTTATTATTACAATTATCATTATATATATTTCTTGTTGGTTTGTCGGTGATATATAATAAATTGATCCAAGCATTCATGCATTCTTCATTAATTTTGTTTACCTTTTGTTATTTATTATTAATTTCTCCAATTATAAAACTTCAATATTCTCTGTCCCATATGTCCAAATTGCGACGTGCCTTAATTAATTTGTCAATTTTACAAAAGGGGCTTTCTTAATTAAATTATTAAGCTCCAAATATTAATTTATAAATATTCATTTTTGAGTTCACACTTTAAAACAACTTATACAGAACAACTTATACTAAGAAGAAATAAATGTAAAAAGTACTTTTAAACGTCGAAAAATAATTTGTTTTTTAATAACTTTTACAAACACGTAGATGACCAGGAAGTTAGTTATAAGAGTAATTTGATGCTAAACCTGGTTATTTAAATTACCGTTAACATAATCATATTATGGCTAACATCACTTTAAATAGTCCATAATAATTAATTAATCATCCCAAACTACGGTAATCAGTTTTAAAAAATTGTATTCTTAGGAAAGTTCTTGATTATAATGAAGAAGCTAGGTCAACTTATTTTTACCATATAATAATAGATAAGCGCATATTAATTACGAATTAAGAAGGGCAAGAAGTGGGATTAATTAGTAGAGGATTAGTCCAAGGTTAATATAAACTCTCTGGATGCCGCTTCCCACGTCGATTTCATGTTAGTTAATTGACCATAGTTTTAGTACATCGCCATTAAAATGTTAATCAAATATTAATCTCCCCATGCTTATGATAATGATACTCCATTTTAGTTTCCACTCGTGAAAATTAATAATTAAATAAATAAATAAAGACCTTCGACTTCCTGTGAGTTTAATATATGTTACGTAGAACTGGAAATCATAACATTGCCACTATTAACGTAAATTAAGTGATAAGAAATTAAGAAGTAAGAACTACAATATTATTAACTTAAATATATATAGTTATTAGTTATAATTATAATATTTTTTTTGCAATATTCAAATAGTGACAAAATTATGTTTCTGTTATATGCGTGACAAATATTAATTAACTAATCCAAAAGTGTAGGCCCTTGGACAAGGTTCAATTTCTCATCTTCTTCACCTAACCAAATTGTCGCGTCACAATAGACCCTGAAATCTGGCCTTATTAATTCCCACACAATTGATAATTCCTTCACTAACCACAATTAATTAGTCAAATCATTAATAAAAAAAAAAAAATCTACCAAACCCCAATTAGTAACAGCTGTGTCAAAAGAGCCAAGACATGGGGCGACTTTTGAAGTTTTATTAACATCCATTCATTATTATGCATTGGGACAAAAATTATTTAAATGGCATATCCCAAATCTTCTGTAGCAAACAATGCATTATAGGCAAGTACAGTTTGAATCAGCATAATTAATTAAATATAATAATTATAGATTATGTATAATTGTTTATTATTTGCAAGTATATAAACCCCTGATATGCCCTCCACTAAGTTCAAACCAAATTTTATTTTCATTTCCCTATTGTCCAATTAAAAAAAAAATAATGAAAGTGAAAATTGGGAGTTCAAAACTTGTTCAGCCTTTGTATGAAGGCAATCCACCCCCAACAACAAACTACATTCCTCTATCCGTCTTTGATAAGGTCACTTATGACCAACATGTGGCCATTATTTACGCCTACCGCCCTCCGACCACTCCGAACGCTACAATCGAGCTAGGGCTAAAAAAGTCATTAGCCGTGTACCGCGAATGGGCCGGTAGGCTAGGCAAAGATAGCAATGGCGAGCCCGTAATTCTCCTCAATGACGAGGGAGTTAGGTTTGTCGAAGCGTCGGTCGACCGCGCACTCGATCAAACTGTGTCCATCGGCCCCTCGGCCTCTCTCTTGAGCCTCCATCCTAGCTTGGAGGGTGTGGAGGAGCTCGTTCAGGTTCAGGTTACTAGGTTCTCGTGCGGCTCGATGGTGGTGGGGTTCACTGCCCACCACCTTGTGGCTGACGGCCACGCAACCAGTAGCTTCCTGGTTGCGTGGGGCCAGGCTAGCAGAGGGCTTGAAATTAGCCCACTGCCTTTCCACGACCGTACAATATTCTCCCCGCGGGACCCACCTATTCTCGATTTCGAGCATAGAGGGGTGGAGTACGTGAGCAAGAATATCAAAAAAGTATACCCTTTGATCGATAATAGCGTGGACGATATTGTGGCGCACAAAGTGCATTACACGGCGGAGTTTCTCTCGAAGCTCAAGGCTAGGGCTTCGTCAATGAACGGGCCCCACGACAGGCCCTTCAGCACTTTCGAGAGTCTTGTGGCCCATCTTTGGAGGGCCATAACTAGGGCACGTGGCTTAAACGGGCAAGAGAACACGCAAGTGAGAATCTCGGTTGACGGGCGTGCCCGGCTGAAAAATCCTAAAGTGCCGAATGGGTATTTTGGTAATTTGGTATTGTGGGCGTTCGCGAAAGCTAGGGCGAACGACCTCTTACGGGAGCCTCTGCCCTACGTCGCTAAGCTTTTGCACGACGCGGTCGTTAACGTGCAGGACGATTATTTCAAGTCGTTTATCGATTTTGCCAACCACAAGGCGAAGGAGGAAGACCTCGTGCCGAATGCAGTGGCGGACTCGAAAGAGTCGATATTGTGGCCGAATTTGGAGGTCGATAGCTGGCTTAGGTTTCCATTCTACGACCTTGATTTCGGAAGTGGTGGGCCCTACATTTTCATGCCGTCGTTCTCTCCGACGGAGGGAATGATATTCCTTCTACCGTCCTTCACCGGAGATGGTAGTATCGACGTTTTCGTTCCTCTATTTCAACAAAATCTCCCAACTTTCAAACAGATTTGCTATTCTCTAGACTGATTATATTGATGAACATTAAAATGAGTAATTATATATGCGTGCATGTTTTTAATTTCCATATTTTGGGGGCTTGAAAAGATATACTAAGCTCTAATTTCATAATATTATTAAGTTGTAATAACCTTGTCAATTATATTACAGTATTCTTGTTTTACTATACTACAAGCAATAGTATAGGGATTCGTCTTTTTTTTGTTCCTCTGTTTTTTTTTTTTTTAATTACAATTAATGATATATAAAAAAGAAAAAGGATTCTTGTTGAATAATAAGCTCAATTTATTTGGTAGTTTGTTCCTGTATATTAGTTGGTGTTATGTGGCATATCCTGTATCTGGGGAATTAAGCAAGATCTCGTGCATGATAAAATAAAATAAAATAAAATAAATACAAGTTTGGTGGCCTAGCTATATATAAATATAATCATTGCCAACTCAATCTTCCATGATCACATTGAATTGAAATATCTCCTTTTTATATTATTTTCTCTCCCAAATTTAATTACCATTATATTTTTAATTATCAATCAAAAGGTGACATGATTTTTTTTCTGCAAAAACGCAAGGACTTATTCTTGCAGTGATTTACCTAATTACTAATAAAGAGTAAAAACAGGGTATAAGTTCATTATTCAAACATTTTTATAAAAAATAAGACGTGACACCTTATCAAGCTTTTAAAACGGCTTATCAAACATAAGAACTTATCAGTTATTAAAAGAAGTTTAGTCCAACAATTATTTGGTACCAACCGTTAAAAATTATTTGCACATTATTTATTTACATTAAAATTCAAGATTCTAATTTAGTTCACTGTTTTCCACAGAGTATAAATAAAATTGCGCTAGAGATCAATTCAATTAGTAAAAAAATAATAAAATAACATTAAAAAAAATTAAACTGCTCAAACTCTATTAAATCCGGTTAATAGGTTGGATTAATCATCAAATTGTAATTTTTAATTAAAGCTCATAAGTTGGCTCGACACCACTCGTTTACACCAATAACTACAATATATTCTCGACCTTGTATATATCGATCACACATCGCAACACACGTGCTCATCGATCACCAAAAGAAACATCAAAACATTCAAAATTGACGGATCGAGTCACAACGATATTGGCATGTTCTTAAGAAATATAATTGTGGTGATCGATTTATTTTGACCTATAGAAAATATCTTGCATGGTAGGGATGACGTCACGTCTTACGTCTTTCGAACAAAAGTACAACTCTTGTAGTACAAGGTCCCATGTGAACTAAATCTCAACCTGTTTTTATCGCTTTCCATTTCCATCTCACAAATCCCACAAAATTTCAATCGGTTGGGACAGCTAATTAATTAGTTTAGCATTTTCTTAATTTTTTTTAAATTTTTTAATTTATAAAAGGGAATATTCTGATCCAACATTAATTATTAATTATATATATTTTTTTCCTCCAGCGTAACCAATGCCGTGAAGACTTTGAACTTTGCCTTTGAAAATATGACATACATTGTTTGGTAACATTTTAGTTGGCCTGTCACAGCAGAAGAATTAAATATAAAAAAAAAAAACGGGAATGAATAAAATTGTGAATTAAATCCATGGGAATTAAATCCAGGTAGCGAGACATTTAAATTCAATAATATATTTGTAATTTGTAAGTACTCGAAGTATTTCTATAATCTACCTAGTCAACCATACAATATCAAGTAATAAATTTTGAATATAATTTAAAAATCCAAAAAAAATAAAAAAAAAAATAAAAAGATAAAGGATACATGCAAAAAGTTAGTCCCACCGATTATTTAATAGTAAATCAATAATCATGGATTTGTTAAATGTGACAACTACTACATAGGTTCAGAGAAGTCAATTAAATGTATATTTGAGAGCTGCAATTATCAATTATCGTTCTTTCAAACAAAATCTCTTCTCTTCTAAGAGAGGGAAAATTAAACATGTGTACTAGTGTTAGTGTAGTTGTTTTTGTATCAATCAAAAAAAAAAAAAAAAAAAAAAAACGTAGTTGTTAAAAAAATCAACACTCACGGGAGTGGATAAGTGCTAAATCAATCAATTATTACTTTGAAAATGTGTTCCAACCAATTCTTTGTCCATCATTTATTTCCATTTCTTTTCCCTTTTTATTAAGTCAATTTTTCGTTGCTTTTTTAGTTAGAATGTCAGAGAAATTTGGTAGTATGCATGGCTAGAAAAAAATTGGTAAATGATTTTGAGCAATCGTCGTTGTCATTTGAGTCTTTGGAATGTAGAAAAACCAATGGCTATGATTGTTACCGTTTTCAAATTCTTTTCACACTTTTCCCAAAATGAAAATTATCTTTTTACACTACTTTCAAAAACTTTCCTCAAAACAAATTCAAATATTTCTCTCTCTAACAAACATGATTTGACCGCTACAGTGAAAATTGTCTTCACTAAAATACAAAATCAAATCACTTTATCTTTTAAATTCTTCTTCCAAAATACCTTTTCCCAGCACCTTTCAGACATGATTTGACTTGCTACAGTACAAATTATCTCCTCTCAAAACACAAATAAACTTATATTAATTTTCAAATTCTTCTCCCAAAACATCTTTCTCCAAAATAAAATGGAAATGAAAGCCCAAAAGCTTACCAAACAGAGCCAAAATATATTTTCGATTGGTAGAAATTGAAAATCAAATTGGTTTATTTAGTAGTTGATTTGAAATTGTTATTTGGGCTGAGTTTGTTAACATAATGAAAATCAAACGTTAGGTTCGAGCTCGAACCCGATTAAGAATAATAATTGATACAATAAGTGAAACTAAATAAAAAAAAATAAAGCATTCTCATATAGCATATAGCATCTAATAATTTTGATCAATCAAACAACAAATGACTTGCCTTTAATAATATAAGTTATAAGCTCACATCCATCGTTACATATATCATATGTAGCACGAAAACTTCAATTTTTAACATTTTCGTGTTTCGGACATATTTTATATCTGATACTCGAGGACACCTACCATTCACCTTATGAGTCGATTTACGGTTTTTAAAAAGCTATAAACATGTTTGAATAACAGATTTCCAAATATTTTAATTATTTCCCTAATTATTTACATGATTTAATGATCAATTGCAAATTGATAATAAAAATTATTTCAAATATGTTCATATGAAAATATATAAAATTTATAAATATGCCCCTATACATTTAATTACGTGCCCCCAAACTCCCTTTTTTTTTTTGTTGATATGACGTTTTCCCGTATCATTGTTTCCATTGTTTCCGTGTTCATCCTCCATAGCATATACCTTTAATTTTACTAAATTTTTGGGCTCTCTCTTGGCCCATTAATCGGTTTACATACTAGAAGCGTGGTCCAATTACTGTGGCCCAATAAGAGTGTCTCATTTAGGCATATATTGATTAAGCTATATAAAAGACTTTCCAAGTTGTTACATAATGATAGAATTTTATAACTTATAAGTTGTTATAATTTATTCTAATTTAGATAAAATAACCAATGTGTTATGTTATCAGAAGAATGTTCGGTATGAAATCCTCGCGTGAATTGTTTTTTTCTTCATCAATAACCTTAGGGAGACAACAAAAAACTGTCATTAAGGTTTGAAACTCTAAAAAGTGTCACGTGTCAACATATTATGCCCATGTATTGTCGTCTTTGTATATATAGAAAGATAAGATCTAAAAGTGATAGAAATTCAAAACTTTGCAACGTTTAGTTAGTATAAATGAATTTATAAGATTATAGCATCATTTGAGGGTTTATAATTTTATTTATAGAAAGAAAAACAATAGTCAATGTCTTTCTTAAGGATGATAAACGAAGCCAAGGATTAGGTTTCGGATGGCTCATACTCTTCGCTTCGGAATCGATCTATTTATGATTTAATCTCGATTTTGATTAGGCCCACATAATCGTTGTTTCCCCATGGCAAAATGGTATATTTAGGATTAATTATAATCATATTTTCCCAACAAAAGAAAAGGATTTAATCCTCTATATCTTTTTTTTTAACGGATATCCTCAATGGTTCTAATATTACATGCAATAATTGTAAATTTAGTGTTTTTTTATTTTATATTTTTCCCTATTTCACCATTTTTTTTTCTTCATTTTACATGTTGATTACTGATTAGTGATTACTAGCGTGACGAATTACCAGTTAATATAGACCGCTTTCGTTTCAATTAAAAAAAATCCACTAAACGAATAAAAAAATAAAGAAAATGAATGTCAATAATCAAATAGTACATTTTAAAAAGGAAATGGAATTCCTTTCTTCTCCAACTCAAATTAAGAAAGTAAACCCTAACTTCTCTCTCTACCAGAGTCTCCGACGGTTACAGACACAAGTCTGAAAGGCTGCGAGCTGATTCTGTTACAACTATTTGATTTCTACAGCTTTTAATTCGTCAATGGAGGTGGCGGCGGCGGCGGCGGAGAACGATAGAAATGGTGGCGATTGGAGCGATTCGGAAGACTATAGCTCGGAGGATGAGGGCACGGAGGAGTATCGGCGCGGAGGATATCACGCCGTGCGCATCGCCGATACATTTAAGCACGGTAGATATGTTGTTCAGAGGAAGCTCGGCTGGGGCCATTTCTCCACTGTCTGGCTAGCTTGGGACACTCGGAATTCTGTGAGTTTTTCCATTTATTCTTCTCAGATTTTCACGTTTTCGATTGAATGTATGTACAGTTATGTATTATTTGTTTAACTTTTAATCCGCGATCATTTTCCGGAAAACTTTGTGATCTTCCTGTTCATGCTAAGTTATGTAGCTTAGTTCTGTGTAGATTGCGTATATTAACAATTTACAGTTTATATTAGAATTCTTCTTCATTTAATATGCAAATAAATGTACTTTGTGAATATGATTTGAGGTGGATATTGTATGAGATTGTTGATTCTGTCGCCTGTTGGCATAAGTATAACTAAATCATTTTTTCGAGTTTTTTGGAGATTTTTTTTTTTGGCAATATTTTCCAAAAGCTGCGTATTATTATGCATCATAGGGCGGGAATTAATAATACGTGCACGCAGTGAGATAGGCTTCGTATCTTTTCAGAGGAAAGTATGCAAGATAGTCAAGTTAGCGTAATTGATGACGTAGTAATGTATTTTCCTTTATGAATATGTTAACAGATATATGTAGCTCTGAAAGTTCAAAAGAGTGCACAACACTACACTGAAACAGCAATGGATGAAATCACTATTCTAAAGCAGATTGCTGAAGGTGATCCAGAGGACAAAAACTACGTTGTGAAGCTTTTGGATCACTTTAAGCATTCTGGACCAAACGGGCAACATGTCTGTATGGTTTTCGAATACTTGGGGGACAATCTTTTAACCTTAATTAAGTATTCAGGCTACAAAGGTATTCCTCTTCACATGGTTAAAGAAATTTGCTTCCACGTTTTAATGGGATTGGATTATCTGCATCGTCAACTATCAATAATACACACAGATCTGAAGCCAGAGAATATTTTGCTTATGTCGATGATTGATCCATCTAAAGATCCAAGAAAGTCAGGGGAGCCTATCATTCTACCATCCAATAAAGGCAAGATTGCCTCAGAGACTGAGGCTTCTATAGATGTTAAGGGATTATGTAGTGACCTAACTAAGAACCAGAAAAATAAATTCCGAATAAAAGCTAGGCAAGCAGATCGTAAGTATGTTGGAAATGAATCTTATGAGGAAGTTAAGCTAGATAATGAGCGCAAATCCATTGGAGAGTCCATTGAAGAGAAAACTTCGGTTACTGAAGCAGCTAACAACTATGGAGCAAATGATGTGTGTGTTGTGACTAAAACCAATAGGAGAGATAGCCGCTCTGCGAGGCGAAAACTATTGGCTGAGGTCGACCTGAAGTGCAAATTAGTGGATTTTGGAAATGCCTGTTGGACTTATAAGCAGTTCACGAGCGATATTCAGACAAGGCAGTATAGATGTCCGGAGGTTATTTTGGGATCGAAGTACTCAACGTCAGCTGACATGTGGTCGCTTGCTTGTATTTGCTTTGAGCTGGCCACTGGCGATGTTCTTTTTGATCCGCATAGTGGTGAAAATTATGAGCGTGACGAGGTAATCTTGTTTTCGCTTAACTATTATTATGTAATCTTGGTTGGTTTTTGCTTTAACCTTTTCTTTCATTTCTTATATATTTGCTTATTGTCCAATGTCCATGTAGGCACTTGTATTTACTTTTTATTGGATTTTTGCTCTTCATCTGTAAGTAGGTTGAATTTTCTTCTCATAAAATAAATTTGGGTGCGTGAAGTAAGCTTTGATATGGCACAATAAAATTGTCTACCCTTCATGTGAATCTTAGTCATGGGTACCGTAGAAGTTGGCCAAATTCTATTTAGTTATAACTTACTTGTTGACATGAACAATAGGTTGTTGGCTTTAGATATATCACAATATGTAATGGATTAAGTTCATGACAATCTCTGTAGATCACTTGTCGGTTATTAAATTCTTTATAGGCTAAAATACGACACTAATTTTATGTGCAGATGCTGATGTGGGAATCAGATGTCTTCCCTCAACTGATTCTTTTCAGTTTGGGCTGAAGTAGATAATGCAATTTCTGCTTTTTTGGTTTGTTTTCACTTTTACCCTTTCTAAAGTTTTCATTAGTTTATCTTTTACCTTCATAATTTGAGTGCAGAAGTCATGTCGTAGCCCTAAGTTTTCAACTCAAATTTAACAATCGTAATAATTTATTTATCTGTAATATAACTTGGTTATTCATTATCTTTCTTTTCATTTGTAGGATCATTTGGCCCTGATGATGGAGCTTTTTGGAAGGATGCCACGCGAGGTGAGGAGTTTACTCTCATGGCCTTTGTATTTTACTCGGAAATAAATTCTCTTGATTGACATGAACAACTCCAGGTTGCCTTAGGCGGGCGTTATTCACGAGAGTTCTTTAACAGATTTGGAGATCTGAAACATATCAAAAGATTAAAATTGTGGCCTCTCCATAAGGTGCTTGTTGAAAAATACGAGTTCCGTGAACAAGATGCGCGTGAGATGGCAGATTTCCTTGTTCAACTACTAGATTTTGTGCCGGAGAAAAGACTGACAGCAGCGCAATGCCTTAATCATGCATGGATCAGTGGCGGCCCACGCCAACCTTCCCATTCCTCTATTTCTCAACTCAAGGAAGTGGAGAATGGTAGTTGTGAAAAGAAGAGAGAGAAGGATGAGAGAGAGGCAGTGGAGGTCAGAGTGGCAAACCTGACTATTGATGAATCAACATAACCGACGAAGATTCACATTCTTTATCAACCCCACTGGATCAATCAATGACGAGAAAGGTGGATGGGGGTTTAAATATTTGTATAGGTCTAACACACGACAAATATTTGACATACCGGCCTGCATCAAGACCAAATATTGTCCTTGAAGTGCAAAAGGTTGCTTTCATGTATCTCTTTTTTTTTTCTCGGGAAAATGTATCTGAATTTCCCTCTTAACTGTTGTTGTCACATGATTTGTTGTACGTTTGATGGTGCAATTCGTTTGTCGGTCTGCCGCTATAAGGGGGACCTCGAATTTTTCCCCAGCTCCAGAAGAAATTCTTTGCCACACTGTCAGGTACTATTTTTTATTATTTTTTTGGTATTTGTGTACATAAATAATATGCCTGTTTTATGATGTTTGAATATTTTAAAAGTGCATCTGTTCTCACTGTTTGTACACTTGTCTGATGGGGTTGTCCTTCAGAGCTTTGTTTTTATCGCACTCTGGAATCCTTGAAAACTGGGGATTGTTATTTCACAGGAAGAAATGGAGATTCCTCGTAAATTAGCCAACCTAAATTGCAAAGAGAAATTGGCATTCTGAAGACTTAAGTAATGATTAATAACAATTAAAAGCCCCTTGTTGAGATTTTATGATATGGGAAACAACAGCAGATTCATCATGTAATGCAACTCATTTTTAACTTTATGAAGAAAACCTCCCTGATACAAAGGAAGCCACCTAAATGCTACGCCTACCTTGTTAATAATTGAAAAGGAATCTTGCAAGCACACTGGATTATGCCCTTAACCTTCATATAGGTGGAGGACATACGGGTGTGCTTCTCATATTTCTTAACCGCTAAATAGCTTTTCAAAGTTACGATTTTATCCGTTCATCTGCGGACGTATGTATGTTTCTCATGTGACAGATCCATGGACTCCTCCAATAAAGATATAGATCTATACATCCATAGCCTTCTGTGAAATATCGAACGAAAAGTAGCAAGAGTTGAAGAGGGTATTTGCTTACGTATTGAAGTGTCTGGTCGATGCTCATAGAATTTTCTTTTTCCTGAGGTATAAGTACATGAGAAAAAACCCGACCACAGCGCCAAAAAAAATTCCTCCCGTTGTGATCCAAAAGGCAAACTGCAAGAGCAAATTAACAAAATAAAATTCTTTCGGTTAAAATGCACACATTTCAGGAAAATAAATGTTAAATAATGGAGATCGGGGTGGGGAATGCATACGTACCACTTGTTCCTCAAGATATGACCTCAAGTTCATGCCAAATATACCTGCCAATTAAGTTCTTATTATGAGCTTGAAAATTGTATAATATGTTCCCTAAAAGTCAAATTGAAATGCAGACAATTGTACTGCAGATTTATTATTATCAGCAGACCATATTAAACCTTGGAGAGCAAGAAAAGACTTCTGCAGCCCTACCTCTAAATCACCTCCCAATAGAGATTTTATATTTCAATGAGGGGATTGAAATTTGGGAGTTAAAACCTTAGTATAAATTATAGACGCATGTTCTCTCTCACACACACACGCACACGCATAACATGCCTGGATAAAAGAGATGCCAATGCAAAAGAACTGAATAGGTCTATCAATTATCATCATCATCAACTAAGTACCTGCAATTAAGGCACCCACTCCAACACAAAGTGCTCCGACCTGAAGTAGAAGTTCCACTCTACTTACTTCAAGCCTCCTGGAGCTGAGAAGAGAATGTTATGGGATTCTATTAATCACACCAAGTACTGATGATAATAATAAGGTTATCAAATTCGTTAAAGTCAGCATTGCAAAGAAATGAACCTAATGATCAAACATCAAACCTGAGGTTAACAGCAATTGAATCTTCCATTTCTCTTGCTGAATCGAGTAGCCTCTCTGATTGACCATGACAAGATTCACATCTGCCGTTGCATGAAACAATTATTATACTGACAAATTAGGTCAAGGATTCAATGACCTTTGGGTCCGGTTGTAGGTCATTTATAAGGCCATTTTTTTAAGTGAAGTGAAGTGAATGATAGCTGTTTTGTCAGAAAGGAAAAACTTTATCCAGTGTTTGTTTATCCCATGCTTTTAGATAAGTGTCCTATGATGCCACATAACACAATAACAGGCACCAAAATTTGTTTGCACTGACTGAAAGATGTCTCGGACTGGCTTACCTTTGGAGATAGTTTTCCAAAAGCATTTCAATTTCTTCCTCTTCCTCTGAGAAACACGAGTTCCAATATTCAGAATTAAATATATATATATATATATATATATATATATATATATATATATATATATATATATATATATATATATATATATATATATATGATCACAAGAGATGTTCTTGATTTCTTGGTATGAGATAACCTATGTGCCACTTACCATCAGCTGTCTCCTTCTCCAAGGGAACAGGGCATTCCATCTCATCGTTTTTTGCAAGAGTGCAATTTCTTCCCATAATACAAATCTGTCGTATTTCATGAGTGTCCTCAAGAATATCAAGCAGCATTTGTTTAAGAGCCCCAGCCTTTGAGCCCAATTCAACCTTTAATCAAAGAAATAGAACTAGATGAATAGTGATATATTAAACAAGTGGTCTACATCACGATCACTAGAATAAAGGGGAGGGATTTTCTATATATACCAATTGCTGCTTGCTAATTCGAAGTTCTTCCAATACATCGGCGGTCAATCGATTAGGAAGAACCTCAAGTAAACCTTGCACCTGCAAAATAGTAGCTAGCACATATGTAAACATGGATTTTTTTTAGCTATATAAGACCGAAACATATACCTTTTGTATGCTGGTTTAGCCAGTTTTCGTTAGGGGAGCAAAATAATCTTTTGTTGAGCACAATGCCAGGTAAGTATCTGAACACTAATAACTATTACGACCAAAGCAAAATGTGATCCCAATCCAAGCTGTTTGTAAAGGTAAGGACTTGAGAATACCTTTATCTAGGAAGTTGGAGGACATACATTATGTATGTAATTACGTTTGCTGGATTACCTTCAGACATAAAATTTAGGTGTTGTTTCTCATGTTATCCTAATTCCTATGCTTTGGGGGTAACTATTCAAGTTTTCCAGTTACATGATTACATCCTATTAATTCAGTGCAGAACAAAAGAATTAGCGGACATTTGAGAATAGTAACAGTAACGCAGAGATGACCACCTTTTACTTTAACGATTTGCATAGCTCCACCCTTTCCCATCAATTACTATGCAGAAGTGCAATAAAGAAATCCCTACATATACCCACCCAATAAAAGACAGGCAGAAGATTTCAGAAAATATACAATCACAATGTTCCTTGCTCACCCGTGGTTCCAAACCCATTAACAGCTTCTCCAGACGTTGTATTCGGGAATGTAGTGCCGCCTCGACCACCTGAAAAAAATTCACAATGTAGATTTGTCAGGCTCTTTAAAGTGAAGGCCTATGATATCCGAAAAGCAACACCACCACAAATGACTGGTGCAAAGATTTTGATGCAAGGGATAACAAACCTCAAGAACAAATGGCATCGAGGGCCCTCCATTCATGTTCTTTGGATTTAATCGGGGTAACAATGTATCTATAAAAGCTTTTCCCCCTTTACTGTTGATAGCCATAATCAAATATTAGTTCACGGAAAATATGTGAGAAATATGTTCTGAATTGACAACAAAATACATATAATATATCAGGAGCAAATACCGGTTATAGTTGAATATAAGAACACGCTCTTGCATTGCAATTGCCCGTAAAGAACCCAAATTCAGCAAAATTGCATACTCACGTACCTTAATAAAGTTCAAACATAAGATGTATGATCAGGAACAGCCAGTTGCTTTAGTAAGAGGAACTACAGAGAGAAATTTCAGAAAAGTCTTCTTATGATTTTAACATTTTCTAGCTAATATTGGTCCTAAAAATGTCAAGTTAACAACTCATCATGATACGGTGGAGAAACAACTAGAACCAGATGGCATAACTGCTGCTTTGTTTGATAATTGGTACGGTTCACTATCAAAGAATTGAGTCATAGAGCAATACTGAAGCGTCTTTAAAGTGGTTTATTGTCCGAATTTCATCTTTTAAATTTAGAGGCTAAATGTAAGATTTTCTTTTATGCAACACAATTTAGGCAATACCGGATTTAAGACTTTAACATACTATATAGGTTAAACGTATATAAGAGTGACACAATGATGTTCAGAGACAGTAATCGCAATTCCTACCAGCAACGAAGGCATTGAGTTGGTTAACCACAATGATGGATCAACGCTTCTAATATCTCGAGGTCGGAGACCTGTAAACATTATGTTCGGAGAAAAATAACCACAATATTATAAGAATAGTTCAAGAAAAAGGATAAAAGCAAACACACTGTAATCCAAAATAAAGAATCAACAGACTATTTGTGAATAAGAGTGACAGAAAAAAGAAGACGTAATCTAAGTGAGAGAATATGAAATGATTACATGCTGATCTTTTCTGATATCAAAAAAGTAAGTGAACCATGTCACCATCTTCTACTTACCGCTCGATTTTAGCAAGTGTCTTCGATTAATTTTCCTTGTTGATACCATCGCATTAGATCTTACTTCCACAACCTGTTGATGGGAAATGGATAATATGAGACACACACGATCACACTTCTCTACTGGTCTGCATGTACAGTCTACAGTGAACAAACAAAACGGGGGGAAACGCAAAACATCACTTCTCGATTTATTTTATTTCTCTCTCTTCTCATCTGCTTTATTTCTTATCTATTTAATTAGGAATAAGTCCCTCCATAATTCAATCTCTTTTACTTCTGCTAACTGCTCCACTTTTCCCCGATACTAACAAACTACAAAATATTTTGTTCAGTAACTGTACGCATCAATGGCAAATTACAGTTCGGAGATAAATAACTAGAAATTGCTGTTACCGTATCAAAATCAATCAAATTCCGAAAACCAAACTTAAAAGAAATTAAAAAATGGAAATCAGTTAGTCCAATAAGACGACCTCATAGACAGGTTCCCGAATCCCAAGCGAGAGAGAATCACCGGAGGCTGGAATTCTCTGAGAACCATTGGAGAAATCCTGACCAATCGCCTCCTCAACCGTGACGCTATTCCCTGCCACGTCATCCACAATTTTATCTAAGATAACTTCCCCAGCTCTGTCACTCTCCTCCGCTGGTTCCGGAAAACACCTGATCCCAACTTCCTTGGCTGCGACGGGCCGCAGGGGATCCCAGCTCCTCTGCTGCTGAAACAATAACAGTTTGCGCGATAAGTCACATTTCGATCGCGAAAGCGAAATTCCGGCCAAAATTAGGCGAAATTGGGGAGAGTGGAGCGGCAATTGAAGGAGATTCGGCGAATGCTGTGAAGAGAACGGAGTGGAAGTCGCCATTACGAGTACATCCGTGTATATATCGCTCACGCTGTGAAGAAAAAAATCCGACTGGAATGTAGATTCGCGAGATTTTCGTAGAGGTGTATGTGTTAGCGTGTATGTATGTATGTATGTATGTGTGTGTATAGGTGGGGTGGTGTTTTAGAGAGAGAAAGGGACGATGAGGCTGGTGGTTGAGAATGGTTCGTTAATTATTGTGAAGAAGCTGCGTCCACCTATTTTAATTTATTTTGTTGAGTCTAATTAAATGCCGTTAAATGGTTTTATCGTTTTCATATCTAGTTTTATTAAAAAAATTATGAATCTATTTTTTTAATAATAAAAAAAAATCTGAAACTGGAATTTATTTTCTGAAATATCTAATAGAAAAAAATAGCCATAAATTTAAAATAAAAATGTCTATCAAAATATGAGTCACACTAGTAAACATACATTCACATATAATAGATTGGTCAAATAATTCGAACTTGCGTCAATTAACGCAAGCTCACTTGATCCAATTGTCCGGTCATTCCTTGCAAGATAGTCAAGCTCTAGATTGTAAGAAAATAATCTTGAAACTGATATAACTCCTTGTCAACTCTTTGTTGGTACAAGAAGATTTAATTCAAACTAGCATAAAATCGACTTTTTTTCTTTTTTAGCCAAATGGCAACCGAGTGTAATTGAGAACAAAATGGTAATGTGAACTAGCCGAAAAAGAACAAAAAAAAACCTTTCGATTAAAATTCGTTCAATCTATAAACCGAACTCTAATCAGACTATAAGAGCTTTCAGGGCCGAAAACAGAGTAGATATGATGCTTAATGAATTTCTTCACCACTCTCCTTTACAATCTCTTACTCATATTGAGGGGAACAATATCGACATTGAATCACGTACAACTGCAGAAACGAGAGGCGGTCAATCCCTTTCTTCAAATAGGGGCTGGTAAAAAAGTTTGAAGACCTCCATTACTTCAAGATACCACATTGACTCCCTATCTGGAAACGGTGATAGATCGACAATCTTGTGAACCTGAGAATTCGACCACATTATATTCGTTCAGCATACATATTGATTCTTGAAATTGCAATAATGCCAAAACACACACACCCACACACACACACTCCCTTTAGTTTGAATCGCGAAGTGCTAGAAACGAAAGGTTACAACAATATGATGGCCTGATGGGGGCCTTATTGTATAACGTTTGCATCGATATACTTTATCACAATTCATGGCTAAATAAAATATGCAGCTGTGAAAGTTAATATCAGTAACTAAAAATCCCAAAGTTATATAAGCAAAAGTAATACCAATTCGATCATCGACGAGTACACAGCTTCAACATTCATATTCGTAAATTTATCAATGGATAGAAAACATCAACTATCAGAGAAAACTAATATAAAAAAAAAAAAAAAAAAAAGCTTAAATCACCACAATTACTCAGCAAAGAACCCTAATCAGTTAGCAGTGAAGCATGTGCCTGAAGAAAATAATAATTTTACCTTAATCATTGGGGCATCACCAGCACCGACAAAATATCCACCAACCACCATTACATACATCCCTAGAAGAAATGCATAACCATAATATAAGCAATCAATTGCGCATTTTTTTATTAATTTTAAAAAAGATGAGGAATATTGATCGGACCTATTTCCCAACTGCGGTTAAGAAAGTCGCCGGAGAGGAATAAATCGGCGACGCCGGTTCCATCGTCGAGTTGTAATCGGGCGGTCCGACCACCGTCGGAGAAGGAAGGTGTGGAGACGAGAACTCCCTGAAAATTTCGTCCGTTTAGGGTTTAACGGGGTGAAAATAAACGGAATCTACGCGCACAAAGTACACGCACCTGTAGCCACGCGCGTTGGAAGAGAATGCCGCCGAGAGTGAAGGCGTTCTGCGACGTCGTTTGATGGGCGCTTCCCAGTTGTACGCAGAGCAGCTTCAATGCTGCTAGACTGTAATCCATTTTTCCCTCTCTTTCTTTCTCCTTTTTACCCTTTCTTTTCTGGCAAAATGTAGTAAAACCCCCTCACTACATTTCAAAATTAGGAGAACACCCATATTTAACATTATGTATTTGACATAACCCCCTCAATTATATTAATCCAATTCCACGCTTTCATATATTTTCCCACGCTTTCTATCTTTTTTTATTTATTGGTCAAATTACGGCCCACCCCCTTAGGTAACATATAATTACGTAACAAATTCCCTCTTGTTTGAATAATTACAACCATCCCTCAACTATGTATTGTCTTACACATCCACCCTTACGATGTCAAATTTACGCACGAGTGTTCATCCGGTCGGTAACCGATCGAACCGAACCGAACGAAGATTCATAAATGTCGATTTCCGAATCACTAATTCGGGGTGGTATTCAGTTTTTTTTTTTTTTTTTTTTTATGCATTTATTCATATATGTAATATTAGTATTTAGGTGGTGTTTGCAAATGATTATTTAAAAGCAAAAGTTAGTGATTGTGATTTAAGTTAGCTTTAAGTGTTTATTTCTAAAAGTTGGGGGTGTTTGCAAATATTTCGGAAAATGAACTAAAATTGAAAAAGCAGGGTTAGGGGTGCTTTTAAAAAAATAGCTTAAAGCAGATTATTTTAAGAGAAGCAAAAGCAAAAGTTGATTTTGCAAACACCTAAAAACAGATTATGAGCAAAAAAAACCGCATAATCACTTTCAAAAAGCATTTGCAAACACCACCTTAAACTAAAATTAATTAAAAATAAATTAAAAAAAAATCAAATTTTAAAATACTTTTAATAAAAGTTTGTTATTTCGTTATTTAATGAACCAAATGCTAAACGGTATGAAATTTTGGCATACCGCAATTTCTAATTTTTTTACCTAATGAATGTCCCTAAATGTATCAACTTGATGGATTTTTTTGTAAGATAATACATAGTTGAGGAGTACTGGGTGCATGTAATTATGCAAACAGAAGAGTTTTTTCGTAATTTGGCCTTACCTCAAAGGTGGTCGTAATTTGCCATCATTTATTTGATACAACTTGAATTCACACCAGAACAAGAAAATTACAATTACATGCAACAGATCAATTGAATTCAAAAGAAAGACACTGTATATAACCAAGATCAAATCAAAGTTGAAGTAGAACAATATTATTATTATGTGGAATTATCAATTACGAGACGAGGGAAATTCCGGCAGCCAATAAATCATCGGACAAAACCTTGTTTGCCGCCTCCGACGGATGAAAGCCATCCCAGAAAACATACTCCGTCGCGTTTTTACATGTTCCCGGTGACTTCTTATTACACAGTATAGATGTCTCAATCAATCCTGTCCCGCAGCACGCCTTTCTCGCTTCCAAAAACCCTGCAATTAATTTTAATATTAGAAAATTTAATTGAATCCTGCACTAAGAAAATGTCTTATTTATTACCATAATCAGTTGGATTAATGACAAGGTTATGAAGAGGCTGGTAAATATCCAATACAACAAGGTTGAGATTCGAGAGATTGCTCTGTAATTTCTGAGATGTTGAATTCAATTTATTATTAAATAAAATTGCTGCTCGGTTAATTTTTTCGACGCAGTTATTGTTGTCTTCGCCGAATATGGTAATAACTGCCGGTACGCATCCTAGTGGTGGCAATGTCGTCACTCCAATTTTTCTCGCTCCTAAATTGTACAGCTCCTGTATATAATAAACGTAGTTGTAAATGTGCGACTAAATTTGATCTTGGTTAATTATTTAATTAACTACCTGCACAAATTTGGTGTACGATTGCAAGAGAATGTCGGAGAATTGATCAATTGCGTACGTGTTGTACAACAGAGGATTGATGTAGTAGTTCTGGATAAAGTCGCTGCTGCCGGCACTAACGAAATGGATCGAACTGTTTATTATTGACGAAGCGTTGGTTTTTCCGACAAGTGTCGCGAGTTTTTTCTGGTAATCTTTGTACAACTCCACCTGTTTGCTTAATGAAATAGTGTTCTAACAAAAAACAAAAAAAATAAAATTAATCTTATTGTTTTAAAGGGTTCGAATTATTAGTCGCATAATTTACTTAAGTTCTTACGTAAATTTCTGCTGTGCTGTCGTAATAACCCGAAGAACCCGAGGCGAAATTAGCTCCGATCAAGAGGTTTTTGCCTTTAGCTTGTTTGTTGAGGTAGGCCAGTGGATATGACGTAAATCCGAGGTTTTCAGCTGGAGGAAAAAAAATAACGAATTAAAACAATCGCTTTCTTACTCTTTGAATTTCTAAAAAAATTGTTAATTCATAAAAAATACCGGTGTAGTCCAAGGCAAGTTTGCCATTACAGAATCTGCCGGTTGATTTGTGTTCGATAAAATCTCTTCCGTAAGGCGGGAAATTGGCTTTGACGATTGTTTCGAGATTGTTGTTATTGCCTGCATCAACAACCGAGTCCCCGAATATGAAAAGCGCAGGAACTAAAGGTTGCGCCTTTACTGTGCCGATCACGAATAAAACTACAAGAAAAACGTAGTAGTTCATCATAGGAAAAATTGAAATATTCTTGATCATGATTTCTTTTAATTTGTATTCCTTGTATGTAAAATATGGTGTTTGAAAGATCAATTTAAATGAGTTTTGCATTGATACAAATAATTGGCATAATTGGTTGAAATGGCAACATCTTGTTAGATTTTGTGCCAGCAATTTCAAATCCATGCAAGATATCAACAAAAGCGAATAAAAAAAGAAATTGGGAGATCCCTTCTTCTTGAAGATTGCCATTTCAAGATTTTTTGTTCAAAGAAATGGACCAAAGTATGTGGCGTGTGTTGCTTGTGTTTTATGAGCTGGTCTGGCTTGTGAGAAATCTTCTCTCGTTTGGTACTTAGTCGTTTAATTAGGGTTGCCACTTTATAATTAAATTTTAGGTAGACGACAAAGTATGTGCGATAAACTCAACCTAAAAGTATTGAACTCCAGTCATTAGATGTCTTGCTCTCCTTACTTCACCAACTAAACACCTTAGAAATTAAATATTTCATTCTTACTATTTTATATAATTGATTATTCATTATTATATTTTATTCTACTTATCATGTGTCGGCCATATTTTCTTTTTTCCTAAATTAAACGTTGTTTTAGATGTTTAGGTACGAGAGGGCTTTTTTTTTTTTCTCTCAATTTTGCCCTAATATTAGTAAAATGCTAAAGAAAAAATGAAAAGTACAAAAGGATAAATTCGTCAAATATTTTTTTTTCCCACTAAAATCAAAATAAATTATTAACTTGGAAATATTAGTGAGATTCCAAAGCTTTAAGCAAATTTTAAAAAGATGGTTCTAATTGGGCCTCTGGGCCTCTTACTCTGGACCCATATGTTTTCACATTGAATGGATTGGGCCCAAAATTCACATGGTTTATATCAGGGAAATTTACAGTTTTCATCCTTCAAGTTTTCAACGATTTCTTATTTGGTCCCCATATTTATAAAAACATACATTTAGTCCATCATGTTAATTTGACCACTTTTTGTCATTTTCATCAATTTATCGTTAGCCTGTCAGTTACGGTAGCAATGGAAACACGTTTAATTCCGTTAGTTTTAACGGAAAATTGACCAAAAAAACTAAAAATGTTGAATTTTTGAAACATAAGAGACCAAATATATTATTTGTGAACATGGGGGCCAAATATGAAATTTGAGGTTGAGGTTGAAAACTGCATTTTCCCATTTAAATCATTATTATTTTTCACTTTATTCTTAAAAATAAAATAAAAAACATAATTAATTACAATCATTAGAACTTTAAATTTAATAATAGGGTAAATTTCACTTTTCTCCTTTACTTGGCTCGGTATCACTTTATCCCTTCTACTCTTGATTACATCGATTTACCTCTGTATTTGATAAATTGTCTCAATGTGACCACCCCTATTAGTTGTGAGACATTTGATCTTAACACTATTTGATTTAAACTCTGAAATTACAAATTAGGATTAAATAAATAAATGAAAAATAAAATAAAAAATCACTATCACTACTCCCAAGTTTAAAATCGCCCACGTGTCACCCGAGAACAGCAGTCATAATCCGTGCACAGACACCCTCCCTCCTTTTTTCCAGCTTTAAATACCTCCTCCGCTCTTCCCTTTCAACTTCCCCGATTCCAAATCCCCAATTGCATAATTGATAATCCACGCGCATTATTTCAAAATCAAAAACCTATCGAAATCCGCATAGAAAATGGCGAGTTCGAGAGCAGATCTGGACGGAAATTCGATTAAGCCGATGACTATATGCATGATCGGCGCCGGAGGTTTCATCGGCTCACATTTGTGCGAGAAGCTGATGGCGGAGACGCCGCACAAGGTGCTGGCGGTGGATGTGTACAATGACAAGATCAACCACCTCCTCGAGCCTTCCTCCTCGCCTTGGGCCGAACGCATCCAGTTCCACCGAATCAACATTAAGAACGACTCTCGCCTCGAAGGCCTCATTCGCATGGCGGATCTTGTAATTTTCCTTCACTTTTTTGGCTCTTATTTTCTGCATTTCTGCAAATGTGTTTGGTTTTCTGGTTGCGCCTCTAAATCGGATCTCGATTGTGATTCTATGAGTTTTTTTTTGTTGGTGATTTCCTTTTTCATCTTTCCGTTTTGTTTTGCTCTCCTTTAATTTTAATTCTGTAATTGAGCTGAGTTTTGTGCATGCTAAGTTATTGCATTCCCCCCCCCCTCTATTTGGAGTTCATTTAGATCTTGATTTGTATTCTTTGTCTTGGCGGATCTGAATTTATATTTGTATGCGATAATAGAATAATTGTTTTACAGTCTAGAGATTTGCTTCTTCGACCATATTTGTACTTCTTTTGTTTTTTATATATACCAGTGGAAGTGGCTTGGTTGTTTGAATAATATAATACATTTATTAGACAATAAGATTTTGACCTGGTCTGACTCTAAATCTTGAACTTTCCTTGTGGTGTAGACCATTAACCTTGCTGCTATATGCACTCCAGCAGATTACAACACGCGACCTCTTGACACAATTTACAGCAATTTCATTGATGCTCTCCCTGTGGTAAGTGTTTTTTTCTGTGTTATTACCAATTTGCACTCGCGATGTCTAATTTGACTGATAGAAACACATCTGACTGAGTGTATGTCGATCATTTCGAAATTGATTTATTCTTGTGGATTTAGGTTAAATACTGCTCTGAAAATAGCAAACGCCTCATACATTTCTCGACTTGTGAAGTTTATGGGAAAACGGTTGGTTGCTTTTTACCCAAAGATAGCCCTTTACGACAGGTAAGCTTTGCTCTCATTTCCTCTTAGTTGCTAAATTAGTCTTGCAAGTTGAAGATGTGTGGTTTGGGGATGAATCAATTTGAAAGTTAAAAACATGAACATTGGTGAAATAACATGAATACTGGCCCAAATTCGGTAGAGGGGCTTTACAAGTGCTAATCAATCGTATCATGTATTCAAGATAAATGTCGCTAGTAATGGAACCTTTTTGGTTGACTTTTAACTTCCATTTACTAGTGAAATCACTGAAGATGTTGATTAAATATATCTTATGTGAATAAATTGTCTCTGTTAGATCATCCAATATGTTGAATAATGCATTGATTTTTAGTTTCTTGTTCATAGCTGGTGCCTCCATATATATGATCTGGTGGATTTATTTATTTGATGGACAGAGCGAGATGCATAATTAACAAAAAGAATAAGCAATCTCTTTGGCTAAACTAAGTGGAAGAAAATTCATCGAAAGTTGAAACTTCTGAGATCTGATAGTGGAGCTTTTCAGTGAGAGTTGATTAGACTTCTTAATTGTAGACGAACATTGAAGAGACGTGGAAATTGTGCAGAGAAGTTCACTGAAAGTTGTGGGATATTATAGTGTACCATTATGTAAATAAAACTTCTATTTAAACTTGCAAGACTTATTCCTCTTTTCAGGAAGATAAATACATCAAAAGCATTATATAGATTTTAATCCGTAGTTCGAGACTGATTCTAGTTGTAGTTTTTTTATTTGTTTCTTTTGGTATGTGCTGATAATACTTCTACTCTTCCAATGTTTCATTTTGATACTACTGTTATGCAATTCATTCCCTGACCGAACGTCGTAGTATTGTGCTTCTATTTATAAGTAATAACCAATGAGACCTTGTAGATTATGATTCTATTTGACTCGGTTAAATAGTTTGTTGAAAATTTTCTGAATCATTATTCATCTTCATCAGGAACCTGCTAATTACGTTCTGAGCGAAGATACCTCCCCTTGCATTTTTGGCCCTATTGAGAAACAGAGGTGGTCATATGCATGCGCAAAGCAGTTGATTGAGAGGCTGATCTATGGTTAGTTAATGGTCTCGTAGTCTATTATAACAGTTTTAGAATTGAAGCTGCACCTTATATTGTTCTTATATTCCTTGTCCTACAGCTGAAGGTGCTGAGAATGGTCTTGAATTTACAATTGTGCGACCCTTCAATTGGATTGGTCCCAGAATGGATTTCATACCTGGAATTGATGGTCCAAGTGAGGGTGTTCCGAGAGTTCTGGCCTGCTTTAGCAATGTAAGATCATTTTAGCTCATGATTCGATTATTCGATATTATTTGAGCTTGTCTCATTCCCATTTTGCTCTCTCTTTTTTGTCCAGAATCTATTGAGGGGTGAACCACTGAAGCTTGTGGATGGTGGCGAATCTCAGAGAACCTTTGTTTATATTAAGGATGCCATCGAAGCTGTTCTTTTGATGATTGTATGCTCTACATTGTCTCCCTAATATTTTGAGTATGATATTAACCTGTAGAATTTTGTTTAAGTGAGGTGGTTTTTCTCAGGAAAATCCAGCCAGGGCTAATGGTCATATATTTAACGTGGGCAATCCTAACAATGAAGTTACGGTCAGACAGCTTGCCGAAATGATGACTCAGGTAATTTGAGTTTTTGCAACTTTCTTTGTTATTTTTAACTTTTCATGTACCTTTCGTCTTTTTTCTTTTTCCCACAAAAGAGAAAAAATCATCCTCCATTGAATAACTAATTTCTCAAGTTCCACTTTGTTTGTTGCACGCATGCAGGTTTACACGAAGGTTAGTGGAGAGCCAGCACTAGCATCACCTACCATTGATATAAGCTCCAAAGAGTTCTATGGTGAAGGATATGATGATAGTGACAAGAGAATTCCAGACATGACGATAATCAACCGACAACTTGGTAAAGAATCATCATTGAAGCATGCAAAACGTTACTTATTTTCTACTTGTTCTAACCTACTTTATTTAATTGCATATTTCCCCAGGATGGAACCCAAAGACATCACTTTGGGACTTGCTTGAATCAACTCTTACTTACCAACACAGAACATACGCCGAAGCCGTAAAGAAATCTACTTCAGTACCGGTTTCAAGTTAAAAAAAAAAGTACGAAAATAATTTTTCCTTAATTAAGTAGTCTTGTATCTTTTGAGAGATCACCCCGCTACTTATGGCTAAAGCAGTATCCTTTTTAGGGGTGGTGGTGGTGTTAGTTAATTTTACCTATTCGTACCTAGTTTGCCTAAAATGGAGCATCTTGTATTACTGTTTCCACAGTTTTAAGTCGAAGGTATTTTATATATTTGGTTATTGATTGATATATTTTTTTCGTTATGGAATGGTTTTTGTTGTGTTTTGGTTATGCCTACCTGAACTGTATTTGGTTAGATAAGTGAATTGATTCTTATTTTTCAGTAGAATGTTGAAGAGAGTTAGCCAGGTTGTTTTACTTGTGTATATAATAGCCAGGCAGCCTTTAACAGGTTCTTCTCTTCCTCAAAAATAAAATAAAATAAATAAATAACAGGTTCTGGTCAGTAAAATAATTTGCATGGTTTATCAAAAAAAATGGAGTGGGCTAAGTTGTTGAGGCCGAAGCATTTGGGGCTTTGGAAATTCGCGATACCAACAAAAGCTTCAATAAAGTCTAACAGGATCCAACTCATGAATAATTACCCCCAATATTTTAGAATATAATTTTAAAATTTGAATCGAAGCTATTTCTTATTTCTCACTCAAGTTTAAAAGAATATTTTCATAAATGAGATTGTGACGTTCTTCTTTGTTTCTTTCCCAAACTATAAAGCAAAGTGACATTTCCTCTTATAAGTAGTTTTGTAATTACTAGTGAGAGTAGTGGTGAGAGTAGCGGTTCCGTAATTACTACTAAATGACAATCCTTTAATTACTCTTTGAGAAACGGTTTTGTAATTATTTAATGAAGGGAATTGCTATTTGCGGTTTGAAAATTGCTATTTGCGGTTTATTACAAAACCCTCCAAAAAAATACTTTATTTCACTAAAACCCCAAAAATTTCCAAAAAAATCCAACCCCCCCCCAAAACGCGTAAAAGCCCAACTTGGGTGCCCGTTCATGCAGTGCACGTCCAAGTTGGGCGTGCAAGCTGCATTTGGGCGCCCGAGTTGGGCGTGCAGTGCAATTTTTTTTTTTTTTTCTTGGGCGTTCGAACATTTTTTTGCGAAAAAAAAACCCTACAATTCGATTTGTAGGGTTTTTTACTTTTTTAACATGAAATTGGTTCCGTAATCGACCTACCCAATGTATATTACACATAAAAGAGTCGAAATTACATCAAAAAATCGAAGCCCAACCCTTCTTCAAGCTTGATTTTGAATTTTCGATTTTTTTTTTTTTTTTGCTATTTGCAGTTGGGGGTTTTTTTGATTTTTTGAAAAGTTTTGGGGGGTTTTGTGAAAAACCGCAAATAGCAATTTTGTAACCGTAAATAGCATTTCATTTAATGAATGACAGTTATGTAATTACTGGATAAGTAGGAGTTCTATAATTACAAGGATAATACTCACTGTTTTATTTAAAATTCCTTTTAAATTGACTTTGGTAAATAACTAATAAGATTTTACTCAAAAAAAAAAAAAAAAAAAAAATAACTAACAAGATTTAATACTCGTTGGTTTAAATAAAATGGAACCAAGATCTTCTCCTCAGATGCAAGGAAATCTTTTTTTTTTTTTTTTTTGTAACACATACACATGGAAGGAAATCAATATTCAAAAGCAGTAATATCTTAATGGTGGACTATTGTCTATTGACTAATCATCACACTTGCTGAAGAATATCTTGACATTTAATTTTAGTTAAATCATATAATATACTTTACTAGATTGAAGTGTTTAATACAATAATATTTGAGCTGATGTATATATCAATTAGTAGGAATTAACTGAAGACGAAGTGTCGTAATTATCTTGGATCCAGGACCTCTGTGTTCATGCCCACCAACTGTTCGACAAAAAGCCTCACACAAATATTATATTTTTACTCTCTCTCTCTTATGATTACTGATGTTTACTTGTCTGTCTGTCTTTAGATGAATTGTTCCTTTGGCCGGCCCGAACAGCGTGTCAGTGTCAGCACATGCAAATACCCAAATAGAAGGTATCCATCCATCCATCCAAACACAAATGACTGAAAGCGTATTGTGGACAAGTTCGAATCTTTTTAGAAACTAATACCTTTTCTTTTATTACAATTTTTTATTTTTTTATTTACGCCGGTTCTTTGTCACCTTCTCTCCAGATTCGTTTCTTTTTTATAGCCTGTATTTTTTTGTCTATAACTAGGTGTTTATATATTAATCTAATTAATTTATTTATTCTTTAATAAAGTAGACTTGAGTAAAGCCGGTAAGGTATGGCCCGCCCATGCTGTAGATGTGTGTTTAGGAACAATGGGTGGGGCTTTATTTTTCATAGGTAAAAAAAATGGACAGCAGGCTGTAAAGGTAGCGTCTTTATGAGTCATAATTGCTGTTTGTTTTTTTTGGCTTTGCTGATGAGTATGACGGAAGTTGACTCGGTAAACCCCTGTTCTTTTTTCTTTTCTTTTTATTTTTTATTTTTTATTTTTTATTTTATTTTTTTGGGTGAAAAATTGGTGATTTGTTGTTGAAATGGTTGGTGGGGTGGTCTTTTTCTGTTCTGGAGTATGCTCTTTAATGTTTGTGCTTAATTAATGAAGTGCTGAGCTGTGAGAATAATTATGATGATATCAGGGTTTTCTTATGAATTGAATTGAAGTGAATTCAAATGAAGGGACCCCTTTTTTGGTTTGAAGAGTGAGAGAGAGAGAGAGAGAGAGAGAGAGAGAGAGAGAGAGAGAGAGAAAGAGAGGGAATTTGAATTGAATTCAATTCAATTGGGCGTTTATTAGTGAAGAAGAAGAAGATTTGGTAGTAAATTCAATTACAGAAAAGAAAAGATTTGCTAGTGATGCCTCCTGCTGGGAAAGTTTCTGGATTCCATCGTCAAGAAAATGACTGGTATCTCTCTCTCTCTCTAGATTTACAAGTATTAAGTTTGTGTTAATCTTTAAGTCTAGATTTACACTCATTGGAAGAAAAAGCATAAGTAAATAATCACAAAATGAGATGTTATGGGCAATTTCACAGTATGAATTATTTGTTTCATGTCAGGTTCTGCAATGCAAATTTGCCGAGCGATATTCTAGTGGTGGTGGATGAAGTAAACTTCCATCTTCACAAGGTGAAATATATATATATATATTTTCTTTTCCTTTTATGGTTTTATGCTTGTTTCTTGGACTGTTTTCTTGTTGATTTCTATTATGTGGAGAACAAAGAGTTTCAAGTTCTTCTGTCGGTGGCTGTCTTTTGCATTTGATATCTGTTACCATTTTAGTTAAAAGTATCTTTTCGAAGTTAAGGACTTCGTTTTCATCTATGTCGTATTGCATTTGAAATCTGATAGAAGTATATATATACATACATGTATCCTCCAGTTTCCACTTATTTCAAGATGTGGGAAAATAGCAACTATCGTCGAAGAATCTCAAACCACCAGCGACAAGATACTCACAGTAACTCTCCAAGAATTCCCGGGTGGGGCCGACACATTTCTCACTGCAGTCAAATTCTGCTACGGGGCCCGCATAGAGTTAACACCGAAAAACATCGTAATTTTATACTGCGCAGCAGATTACCTGGAGATGACCGACAATTACGGCGAAGACAATTTACTATCCAAGTCCGAGAATTACTTCCACAAGCACATTTTACGCCACTGGAAAGACTGCATTTTGACCCTCCAAAGCTGCAAACCAGTTATTATTACAAGAGCAGACAAACTCCAAATCATAAACAAATGTACAAATGCTCTGTCTGTGATGATCTGTACAGATCCGTCTCTATTCGGATGGCCAATGATGATGTACGGTAGTTTACAGAGTCCAGGTGGCACCATCCTTTGGAACGGAATAAACACCGGTGCCAAAATCCAAAGCAACGAATCCGATTGGTGGTTTGAAGACATCTCGTATCTATGCGTTGACTTATTCGAGAGGCTAGTTCTTACAATGGAAGCAAAAGGGGTAAGGAAAGAAAATATCGCTCGTGCGATAATGTACTACTGTAAGAAATACCTTCCGGGATTGGACAGGAGGCAGGGGGTGGTAGTGCAAGGGGGTGCGTCGAGGGCGGTTGCCAGTTTCAGCATGACACCTGCCAATGTCGATCAGAGCGCTCTATTGAAACGGGTCGTAAAATTACTTCCCGAGAAAAAGAGTAAATCTTTTTGCCGTTTTTTGTTGGGGCTTTTACGGGTTGCATTGATTTTGGGAGTTAATGACACGTGTCAGGATTATTTGGAAAGGAGAATAGGTGCACAGCTGGAATTGGCTAGTCTTGATAGTTTATTGATACCTAGTTATTCGGATTCGGATACTTTGTATAACAGTGACTGTGTTGAGAGGATGATTGGTCATTTTGTATCTTCTGAGCCCAATGTGGATTCTGTATTGTCTCCGTCTTCGTTTGACTTAGGGGCATCACCGTCATTTGAGCGGTTGAAGAGAGTTGCTAAATTGGTGGATAATTATCTGGCCGAGGTTGCTTCTGATGTAAATTTGAAGCCTGGAAAAATACGTTCTTTAGCAGAAGCGTTACCGGAATCTTCTAGATTGTTGCATGATGGGCTATACCGCTCACTCGATATATACTTCAAGGTTCTTTTTTTATTTTACAATGATGTACCTCTGATTTTTTACTTTTTCTATTTCTTTATTAGTTTTTTTGACAAATTTAGATTGAAATGTGCAGGAACATTCGTGGCTCTCGGATAAAGACCGAGAGCAGCTGTGCAGCATCATCGATTTCCGGAAGCTCTCGATCGATGCTTGTGCACATGCATCTCAAAACGAGAGGCTGCCACTCAGAGTCCTACTACAAGTCTTGTTCTTCGAGCAGATCCAGTTGAAAACAGCTCTAGCTAGCTGCCTCAATGTTTTCGATGCCGAAAATGCCCCTGCGCCTCCCCTCTCTGCTAATCCCCACGAAACAGGCGGTGAAATAGTCCAGCGAGATCGATGGGTACATGTTGTCCGCGAGAACCAAGGTCTAAAAATTGACATGGAAAATATGAGGTCTAGAGTTGGAGAGCTCGAACAAGAGTTTGTTCAAATTAAGGAAGAGATGAAAAGGGTGAGCAAATCACACAGTTACATCAGTTCTTCTCCTCGATTTATTGCTAAAGGCCTTGGATGTAAATTGCTTCCTCGGTCTTCAAACGTCGACATCCTCGAGAGTTCATCGCCCACTCCAAGAGCATCTGTCGAGCGATCTCGGCCGTCCACCTGTCATCATCGGCATGGAAAGAGTTTCTCTCTGGTTTGAGCATATTTTTTCGTCGGAGAAATCTCAGGTCAGGTTTTTTTTCTTGCTATGGAGAAGTTGGATATTTATCGGAACACACGAGCTTATTGGGTTTATTCTGTGCTACACCAGGTAGTAGTAGCATCTCACCGTAAATTTACATATAATTACGCACATGTACATGTGGGTGTGTGTTTGAATATCACCTGGTGCAATGCACCAGGTGTAGCACAGAATAAATCGAGTTTATGATGCACGAGCAGAGTGTTGGTAGTTTAATACCGTTGCCATAGTATGTTGTACAAGTAAATTATACGCTTTTGGATCCAAAGAAGGTGAACACATTGTCAGTGTGTCTCTCATATATACATGTTATTACAGCTATGCCCGTTTCTTTCAACGTTATAGTGTTATATTGTATCGGTATGCAGCGCATATAAATAGTACGATTGTCGATTGTTGGTTCCTCTTGTTCATATAATGTACCAGTTGATAGGGATCTCGGGAAATACGAATGTGTCTACGTCCAAAGTTTCTTTTTTCAATGTTCTGAGGATATAATAAGTCTTGACTTAATAAATATTCTACATTTAATATTAAAGAAAATAGTAATAACTACAAAAAATAAAATAAAAGAATAGAAGTTAAAAATGGTTGAATGGCCTCTCTCACTCAAAATGAAGCCATTTCGTATGGATATTAAAAGAGTGTGCATAAACCACAAATGAAGTAAGAGTTTCACAATTGCGATAGCGGCACCTCAAATGCCTACTATCGCCACTCACGGCAACTGCCACACTTCCACCCATCTTCCCAAGACGACGATTCAAACCAGGGTGAACAACGGCTATGTATCGATATATAACAAATACGACACGAGAGATCTGGGCAAGGTTCTGTACTGGAACAAATCTTACACTTCACTATCTTGGTAGCTTTTTCAACAGACGTGATTGGTTCTTCCTGGTTGCGCGTCTTCTCAAGTGCTTCGTTTTCTGCTGGTATAGACGAACTCTTGCAATTTTCTATTACAACATTTTCAGGTGATTCTCTGTCATTTGCATGGCTACCATCATAATCAAATTCAAGCAACTCATCAAGAGAGAAATAGGTCTGAGTTCCGAGTTCCATATTATCATCAGAATTCTCCTTAGATGCAATCGGTTGAGCTTGAGAGGAAAATAAATCCGGCATACAGCTAACACCGTTTGCTTTTGAAGGGCTGCGCACTTCAATCTCGGAGAATTTCTCAGACGAGTTAAAGACATTTTTTGCTTCAAAAGGAGCATTCTTATTTTCTTGATTGATATGCCTTCTGAGTGGCAACTTCTGAGGAGCAGGACTAGATACAGTGGCATTATTCCCTCCATTATTCACTTCAGAGAATATACCAGAATCAAATTCCGTGGCTGAAATCTCTTGCTTCGCAGATTGTTGAATCTCCATTTTGCCCTCCAATACCTTCTTTTTCTCTGGATCCAAGTAAGGACATACAGGAGATTTGACCTTGCGGCACCTGCAGCATTTGAATCCAACCAAGGTAAAAATCTTGGACTCGTCTAATTCTAATGCATCAGCATGAAACCAATCTGCAATGGGCACAAAACAGAACACATTGGCATATTAATCACTTCGCGTCGGCATAAAATAATCTGAAATGAAGAATTCGCAAGAGAGATTTACTCTTACATTGGCATGTTTCGCAGTGAACGTACATGAGATCAGCATTGTACGGCTGATTACAAAGGCGGCAAAGAGGGTTCTTCAAGTTAATATTAGGATTGCCCCTCATAAGAATGTTTCTCAATCTGAAATCAATGCCAGTGTCTTCATAATTCTTCTTCCTCCATATCAGACCCCAGTTCGATTTATTACCTTTTCCCTTCGCAGCTGCAGAGCGATTGATTGATTTCACTTTAGAGGAATGCTCCAAACTTCCAACAGATGCTGATGGTTCCTTATGACCAACTAATTGCACACCTTTGGTGGGTATATCCGGTTTTAGAATGTCTTGTCCTGGAATTAGCAGAGGAATTTTCGGGGATTCAACTCGAGTGGCGTTCTGAGTCTCACAGCATTTCTTGCAGGTGATTTCAACTTCCTCGCTTGTATTGACAGCTGTACTAGTAGCACATTGCTCATGACAGAATTCTGGCAAATAGAAAAAATATATTTATAATGAATTAGCTTTTGTGCTTTAAGATAACTACGAATTTAATTTGCACCGGGATACTTTATTCTAATATTGATAGTTAATTTCTTCTAGTATTATAAAATTTCAATTTTGAAAGTATAACAGGCAAAGTGGTAGTTCGGACGCGTTTCATGTGGATGCAAGTATATGGTTTATCGTCGCAGTACCTTGGCATACTCTGCACTTGACAGCATTCCTGAATAACAACAGCATCCAAAATAATAGTAGTTAATAAAAGGGGGAATAAAAAGGTGAATGTACTGGAAAATAAAACTGTGTGGAGTAAAATACCTAGAGAATACATCTTGATGACATGAACAACAAACCATGCTATGTTGCCCGCAGAAGAGATAAGATAATATATTTTTACGGTTATTACCCTTGAACTTTCTCCTCTGAAGTTTGGTCAACACATTCACAGGATTGTTTGTATGCATTTTTGGTTCATATTCTTTAATTAGATACAAAGGGATGCATGTCTCTGAAAACCAGTATCTTTCCTTCCCTTCCATCATTTGCTCGATTTCTGCTATATTTTTCATCACACGAGAGGGCAGGTGCTTCTGATTACCAAAGGCAACACAGTATCTAATTTCATGTCCCACTACTTTCTTATCACAAATACAAGCATTTCTAAAAGCAGAAGCTTCTGTCTCGGAGGTTTTTCCATCACAGTTGTTCTGCTCAGGACGAACAAGATCGCTCCACCTCACATGAAAATCAAGGTATCTGACCTGAGGCAAATACCAAAAAGAACGCGATAGCTCCCCAAAGTAAATGTTTGCTAGAAAAAATCGAAGTGTATATACAATTTCAAAAAAATATACGAATCAACAAAATGGCACCTGAAGTGCAAGTTGTGCCGTATTCCTACTCATTTCAACTGTGGAACGCCAGCAAAGCTGCCTGCTGATTTTGGGAATCTCGTTTCCTTCAGTGTAATGTATACCGGGTATCTTTTTCAAACCACCTGATATGCTTATACTTGTCAGTGAACTAGTTCTAGAATTTTAGATCATCGTATATAAAAAGGAACATCACAGCCTTCTCAAACAAGGAATATTTTTTTTTTACCTTGGCGGGCTGATTTTTTAACAAGTGAAGATGGAAGATTCCCTCTTTGGAACATAAGCCTCGACACTGTACCTCCTCGCCACCAGGTGAAGTCAGTTAACATATCTTTGCGACCAACAACCTCAACTTCATGCACAGTAGAAGGTTTTCTGCCACGTCTGCCTGGTCTGCGTTTCTGATTTGATTTAGAAGCACTTGCTGCAATCTGAGAAGAGCAAGATTTAGTAGAGCACCCTTCTAGAAGCTTTGTCCAATCTCCAGAAAGGGCAATGCTACGTATATTCTCCTCAAGCTGTAATCAAATAAAGTTATGCAATTAGAATTGAATGATTAAATAGCATGACCAACTGTAAATAAGCAAATATGAAGACAATCAACCACGATAAAACAAATGCTTACTTCAAGCAAAAGGATCTTCAATGCATGGCAAGTGGTGGCCTGTTCAACTTCTTTGCGCCATTGTTTCCTAAAATTATCATTGACGAATGGACCAACAAGCAATCCACTTAAACTCTCCTGCACAAATATAATGTATGTTGCAATTCCTGAAATTCTCCCATCCCCATTCTTTGCAGTACGAACACCGGCAAATACTTTCATAGCACCTCTGATCGCATTTGAAGCAGCTGCATTTAACAAGCATCCTTTCTTGTTTGTTGCATGAGCCTTACAAGAGAAACACCAGCTACATCTTTCCCTCGGGACTTCAACGAGCTTCTTCTCTGTATTGGGCCAGAAAAATCGCACAGCGGCTGATGAGAAAGCTTTTACCTGAAGTGCAACACTGGCACATTTAACTTTCCCTTTGTTATCTGAAGAGCGAGACTCGCTAACTTGATTTTCTTCGGATGAAAGAAGTGCTAAATTAGTAGCAGCAGATACAGAGAAATCTCCATGCAAGTAGTAATTTATGTAACCAGATGTTTTGAAGGAAGATCCCATGTACGAGCAATAACTTCCATTCACAATACCATTGTATTTAACTGGGGTAGTACATTCACCAAATTCCTCTTTGTTTGCTAACTGCAAACCAACTTCAGGCATCTCATTGCAGGGTAAGATGTCTAGGGGTATTTCCCAATACTTATTTATTCCTCTGCATATTTCTGAATACGTAGTAACATGCTCAACTTTCGAGTGGAGAGTACGGACCACTCCACGAATGTCGTGCCTGCTGTAGTATCTAACACAATCTCCAGAGTTAATAGAGGCCTTCAGTCTGCAAAATTATCTCCAGAAAGTATCGAAGCAATATTAGTAAAGGTGAGAAATATCTAAAGGAAGGGACTGAAAGTAAGAAAGGAACAAAGCCTAAATGAAATTAGAAACATACACAAGTAAATGGTCACAAGAGGCAACAAAAACTTGTTCGTACAGATCCACGCCTAAAACCTGTCCTCCCCTCAGAGACGTTCCTCTCAAAACTCTGGGTTCAGTTGCATTTATTTTACATTCGGGACAATACCATGAACCATCGGGCATAAGCATCTTGTTCAATCCTAAGCATCTTGAGTGGTAAGCTGAAGGACATCCATCACAACAAACCAGCAATCCATCCATCCCACAAAGGCGGCATTCATCACCATTACCATCGTCATCAGTGAAACTCCCAACTTGAGACTCCATCGTAGAATGACTACCAAGAGAACACTTTATCTCACTATGTTCTGCAATTCTCGGTTCACTTGCCCCCGCTGCAACCATTGTACTTGCATCTATGTCTGTTCCTACTTCTGATTGTTCATGCATATCCATTACTGTTCTTAGCTCTTCAGAATCCAGAACATCTTCGCATATGATCTGCAAAACTATTAACTTCTGACCAGCTGATAACGTGTAATAATCTCTCTCCAAAGAATGGATATAAAATCCTTTCCAGTCATGTTCCTTTTTATAACCCATCAACATTAGGTAGTGAACCAAGAAAACCGGCCAAGTTAATGTATCAAGCAAGGTCCAATCCAGACACCTACAAGCAGTAAGAGCAAGAAAGTTCAATTTTACTGCAGTAATTTAATTTGATAACAATGCAAATAAAAGTTGAGTCAATATATAACTTGCATAAAAGATAAGCAAACATTACTATATTTAAGATAAACCATCATCAACTGGAGCAACAATGGCAGGACAATCAAAGTACACGCTACTATGATTACCTAGAATGCTGTTCCAAGATTCAGTTACTCACACAATGAAAAAGAAACCTAACTGAAATTTCACGATTCTATTCAACAAGGATAAAATACCGAAAGCCATTGAGAAGTACCTCAGGCATTTTGATGCAAGTTCAGAACCATCTGACGAGAGCCTCTCGAGATGTCGCTTTAGCACACGCATTAGAGCAACATGAACAGAGTCCAACAATGTATTCGCAACAGGGCAATTGAGCGCCCCCACAAAATCATCTAATCCAAATGGGTGTAGAAACAGCGTTACACTAAACGAACGCAAGAAGCCATATACAGACAGAAGGTGGGAAACATACTCCTCCGGAACACCAATATGCCCAGAAGAAGGAGGCAATTCCAGTGGTGGAACAGGTGGCAATTCCAATTCCACCACATCACCGCCTCGAATATCCTCACATGAATCACCCGAAGAATCAGCATCACCGTCGATCATTTCACTCAAAGGTGACGAATCAACACGATTGGCATCTTTCGCATCGAATCTGTTTTCAATCTTCAAAACCTCGACATCCACATCATTACTTAATAACAGTTCATCCAATTTCTCTTTCTTCTCAGACCATTCACCAGTTAAATCACCATCATCAACAAGGATCTCCTTCACTTTGCCACAGTTCAAACTCTCGTGATGCCCATTCTCATAGTTTATCCCATAAGAACCTGAACCATAAAGCACAATCTTTCCCAATAAAATCCCACTGCCCTTAAACTCTCTCTGCACATAACGGCCTACTAATTTCAATGCCCTAGTCACCACTACCTTATTTCTGCCATTGCAATCCGTCGCATTTTGCACGTTATTTCTCTTCCGTTTTCTCCCCCGACGGCTCTCCGGCGCCATTCGATCCGCAAAATCACCCCAATCTCCCAAAACTAGTATTCAATCAACAATCCTTTCTGCAAAAAAAATCAACAATAAAACACAGTCGCTACCATCAACAATCCAATCACATTCCCATCAAAACGAATCTCAGAACCTTCGCATCTCATTACACGCAGCCAATAAGAAATACAAACCGCCAGAAAATAAATTTTAATCGATTGTTATTCCGGCAACGTTACGGTTTCTGCCTCAATGTACGTACTTTTGTGTGTAAAGACGATAATCAATAAAATAGTGAATACAAATATACAATGAACGAGTTGGATGAACTCAGAGTACTGTTTCCCCCATCATGCTAATGAAAAACCGCCATTGAAGAAGAAGAGATTTGAGAGCGGCGTGTGATTATGGAATGATGAAAATAGCCCTAATCAAAAGGCTTTTCTGCTTCGCCACTCCTCCCACTCTGTCTAGGGAAGTAGTTACTATTTGAATGGGACTAGGATTCCGAGTCACGACCCGGCGGGAGTCACAAATTTATTGGCTTAATACCTTAATCCCACTTACACCCTTCAACTATAGTATTTTAGCACTTTGCACCCTTAAAAAAAATTAATAGCAGTTTGAACCCATGAAGCGCAATAATCATTCAATGCATCATAAATTAAATATTTAAAACTTTATAAGGATAATAATTTGATATTTTGCAGGTTCTTTTTTTTTTTTTTTTTCCGAGATCAAAAATGATAATTTAAATTATTATTTTCTTCTACCTCCAACATAATTTGAAGTGTACCAAGTGCGAATAATAATAAAAAATCACACTGAATTACTGAAAAAACTATATGTTCTTACAAACGAAAAATAAAATAAAAATTTTCTCACTAAATTATTCGTTTGATGAATCTTTTATTGTACTTGATGAAAATATTTTTTATAAATATTTGTAATAAAACATAATTCAAATAATATGATAACAAAGTAGCTAAAGGAATTTTTTTTTTTTGTGATAAAATATATAATTTCACGAAAGATATATTTAATATTTTTCATTTGGAGATTCGAAAGGATTGATGAATATACAAATTTTGATTTGACATTCGGCATCCTAAAATATACCACTAAAAATATTAAAATTACTTTTGTTAGCTTCAAAAATTCATACAAAGTGCATTATGCATAATTTATCGTGTTTTGAAGGTCTAAATTGATAGTAAAAAAACACCAGGGTGTAGAATGCCAAAAAACTATATTTTAAAGGTGTAAAAGGGAATAAAGCCAAAATTATTAAATATTGTTACCATTCTACAGAATGAATAAAAAAGTAACAAATCTGGAGTATTAATTAGTGCTTATTGATATTGTGATTTTAAAAGTTGGGGATTTTCTTTTATTTCCTAATTAAAAAAGTTTACATCCAAAAAATTCAAAACATATTCGTCTACCTAAAAAATTCTAAAATCAAAATATTAATACCAAATTATCCAATTTAAATTCTTTTTGTTTGATAAAATCTGCCAATTAATTAAATAATTGGACCTTATTGAATGTTTGGTTAGTTTTTTTTTTTTTTTTTTGTTATTGAATGTTTGGTTAGTTGAATTCAATAATTTAAAAATGTAAAAATAAAGGCTAGGTTTTGGCTTTTGCCAAGCGCAGAACAATTATTAAAGATGGCGGGAAATCTGACGTACTCTGCACACTTTCTTCCCCAATGTCAACACATACCCGCCATTCTATTCGTCTAATTTCAAAACCAAATTGGGCACATCTTTTCTCGTTAGGGTTTCCAATTTTCTGAATTCTTAACCCCCAATATGAACCCCTACCCACTGGGGTTTATGTTCTTGAGGTAACCCTAAACCCTCCAAAATCCAATTAAAGGTATTGATAGATTCAATTTCCCCGCCAATTACGGCTTCCTATCAGCGGCCGCAATGGGAAACAAGGCCACGGAGGATATCGTTTCAACGGTCCGGTCGATTGTCGGCGGCGAGTACTCCGACATGGACATAATTCGAGCTCTCCACATGGCGAAGAATGACCCAACTGCCGCAATCAATATCATATTCGACACTCCGAGAAGCTTCCAGAAGCATGATTTCCCTAAGAAGTCCGAACCCGCCGGTAGCAATCCGAACACAGAGCCTCCGACCGTTGATTCTTCGGCGGAGAACAATTACAGTAATCGAATTGCGAGTTCTGATTCTGTTTTGAGATCAAAGGGGAGCTCAAACACTAGTATTGGAAGAAACCAGGGTGAAGGGAATTGTAACGCTGATAGTGAAGTGGAGAAAGAAATGGGGAGCGAGTGGTGGTTTGTGGGGAATCGTGAGGTGGCAGGTTTATCCACTTGTAAAGGGAGGATTTTAAAGCCCGGTGATGAAGTGAATTTCACTTTCCCTGTTGAGAAGAAAATGACAGCACCCTCACCTGGGAAGTTAGGGGGTGGGCGAGGCCGGCATGTGGCTGCATGCTCTGAGATTGTGAGGTTTTCTACCAGCTCTTCCGGAGAGGTATACTTTCTGTAAATTGCTCGAATTTGGTTTATCATTTAATTAAAGTAATTTTTTTCTGCGGGTAAGCAGAGTAGATATAATATTAAGTGGATATTGTAAGAGATACATATGAATTTTGGGAGGAGATGAATCCATCAGTTGCTTTCCTGTGATTGGTCGAATTTCCACTGTTTCAGAAAGCTATTTCGTGATTCTTGTTTGTGGTGGTGCATGACAGTTACATGATATTGAATTAAATTTTAAGAAACGTTGAGTATGAAAATGTTTAAAGGTGTGATGTTCTGCTTCAGCAAATATATCATCCCTTTCTAACACTAATTAGTATTAAGGTTGAAGTGCATTGCATCATCATATGTAGATCTATGTATTTTACTGGTCGCAGATATAACACTGCTGTACTGTTTTGCAGATTGGCCGTATTCCAAATGAATGGGCTCGGTGCCTCTTACCTCTTGTGAGGGATAAAAAGGTTTGTCTTCAGGGATATTGTAAATCTGCTCCTCCTGTGCTGGGGATAATGGATACTATTGTTTTAGATATCAGGTAAGTTGGTAGTGAACGGAATTTTTGTGGTCAAAATGTGAGTGAAAGATGGCCAATATGTATGGTTATGATTCAATTTAGTACTCGATGTGCTGAAAAAAATCATTTTGTTTTGATTTTGTGTTGTTTAGGATATATATAAATAGTTCCATGTTCCGAAAAAGCCAACAAACTTCACTTAAAGCAACCAGTAGTTCAGCAGACGAGTCGATTGTTCAACCCCTTCCATCCCTGTTCAAATTGCTGGGATTTGTTCCATTTACGAAGGTGAATAAGCTCTACCAGTTCTAATTATTACAGACAGTTTTAAGATGTTTTAGGTAATCTAACTGGATAATCTATGAAATAAATTTTTCCATGCTGAGTAATTTGTTTGTTTTCCCTAAATTGTATTGATGCGAACTTCAGCTGTAATCTAAGTTTGCCCTCCTTTTAGGCACAATTTACTCCAGGGGATCTGTACACAAGGAAGAGGCCTTTGAATGCTGAGGTACAATTAGTGAATCTACTGGATGCTTAAAATTAAAGAGTATGAATATTAGTGTTTAATTTTACATGAACAGGATAGCTGTCTTCCACCTCCATCAGTTCTACATTTAAATAAGTTCAAGGCCACATCTTCTGTGGATGGAAAAGATGCTGAACCTGAGGAGACAGTCTCTGAAAGTGACCTTAACAATATTGTTGGTGTTTCCGACAGCTCAGAGTTAGAGGTAAAGTAACCTCAAACATCTCTGCTGCCTGCTTGTGGTAATATCTTTATGTGTTACATAATCTGATACATGAGTTGTGATGATTCAGGAACTGGAACCTCCTGGTACTATGCTGTGTGAACTTCGTCCTTACCAAAAGCAGGCTCTTAATTGGATGATTAAGCTGGAGAGAGGACACTGTGCGGATGACGCTGGAGCAACTCTGCACCCATGTTGGGATGCTTACCGCCTCGCTGACAGGTATGTGAAGCTTCAATGGTAATGGTAAGATCACTATTTTATAATTCAGAAATGGATTTTAGTTGATAAATGTCTTATTGCAGGAGGGAATTGGTTTTGTACGTAAATACCTTTTCAGGTGATGCAACGACTGAATTCCCGAGCACTCTTCAAATGGCTAGAGGAGGAGTATGTTGCTAGTTTTACTTGATCATTATTTTTAAATGACGGCATTCCTTTTTTTTATTGGGAATATGTACGTGAATGGAGAATATTGTTGTAGATTTTGGCAGATTCTATGGGACTTGGGAAGACTATCATGACTATATCTCTCCTTCTCACGCATTCCGGAAGAGGTGGATCATTGAGTAGTGCCTCTACCAGCCAGTCTTCCACTGATAACGGCGGAGCGAGCTCTACTTCAGATAACTCTCCGAAACCTCCAAAGAAAGCATCTAAGTTCACTGGTTTTGAGAAGCTTATGAAACAAAAAGCTGCACTTGTTGGTGGTGGCAATCTCATTATATGCCCAATGACACTTATAGGCCAGTGGAAGGTATAATCTACCCGCCCTTACAATATTGTTTGGTGTAGGCAAACTGAAACAGGCATTGCTCGTATTGTTGTGGAGAAACTTCCCAGGTTGAATATTGACCTTTTTTTTTTCTTAGACAGAGATTGAAACTCATGCTCAACCTGGCAATTTGTCAGTTTATGTTCATTATGGACAAAGTAGATCAAAGGATGCCAAGTTTCTTGCGCAAAGTAATGTTGTACTAACTACGTATGGAGTGCTAGCTTCAGAATTTTCAACAGAGGTACTTTGTATTTCTTGAATATGTTTCGTCATCCTCTTCCATTGCTGTGGTTGTGTCTACTTGTTAGGAAATAGAGTAGCATTGTTATACAACTCTTGCTTCATTTGCCCCGAGGAGAATGCCTAACAGATCGCTGTTTCTTTGTCATTATCCTTTGTAGAATGCAGAGGACAATGGGGGATTATATTCAGTTAGATGGTTTAGAGTGGTTCTTGATGAGGCACATACCATAAAATCATCCAAAAGCCAAGTTTCTATGGCGGCAGCAGCTCTTGCTGCTGACCGTCGATGGTGCCTTACTGGTACACCTATCCAGGTAAATGATTATTGCTTCCTGGTAGCTCTACATGTGTGCTGAATGATTTCGATGAAATACCAGTCCTTATATTGATTGATATCATTTTTTACCTTACCCCTTGGAATTCTGAAAGCATAGAAATTTCAAAATTAAAGCTTCTTGACATCTTTGATGGAATTTCATTTGCGATTTATTGTGTATGTCACTTTCTTCAACCAGTTATTTTTCGAAGTTGCGTGTTTCAGCCTTTCCAATATCAGTTTGTGGTTTTTTATGAATTTTTAAAGATCCTCGCTTATTATCTATGTCATTTGCTTTATTTGAGTTTCTTCATCAGCAAAATCTAGTTATGTTTCTAATTGTAAGTTTCTGTAACAGAACAACCTGGATGATGTATACAGTCTTCTTCGATTTTTGAAGATTGAACCATGGGGAAGCTGGGCCTGGTAAGGTGCTAACCCATCTTTTGGAAAATGCAGTTGACCTTAAAGTATGTTTATTTGGATTTGTTTGCATATAAATACGTAATATCAAGATTTATTGTCTTTCATAAACACAATTATGTCTTGTTCTGTGTTTCTTTGAATAATTTTGCAGAGTCACAACAAGTATAGCTGCATTAGTTTCTCTTTGTAATTTCTAAATATATGTATTTTTTTTCCCTGGTGCCATAACCTAATATATAGTCTTCAGTTTATATATTCTTACTCAAAGACTGACTTTTTAATTTTTGATTACTGATTTCCAGAAAAAAAAATTACTTTTATGGAAAGTACTCCCACTGCCCCCAAATTTCTCTCTCTCTCATCCTTTTTCAGGGATGTTTCTCTTCGGAATGTATGTTTGTTTCTTTCTGTTTTTCTAATAACCATTCCTAAGGATTCTGACTAGTATATCCAGTACATGTCTAGCCGTATCAAGACGCTAATAACTTTTCTCCCCTCTTCTGTATTCCGTCTTTTAAGATATTATCTTAAATAATTGGGAGAGACTGCAAAATTTATTATCTGATTTGAAATTTTGCAATTATAATCAACTTCCAGGTGGAATAAGCTAGTCCAGAAGCCCTTTGAAGAGGGTGATGAGAGGGGGTTAAAGTTGGTCCAATCTATCTTAAAGCCAATCATGTTGAGAAGAACCAAGTCTAGCACTGATCGAGAAGGCAGGTGGGTATTTTAAGCAACTTTCTTGGTTATTGTCTCTGCTTGCTTCTTACTTATTGTGGCTGTCCTGGGCTTATCTTTATCCTTACTGGTGTCCAGGCCAATTTTAGTTCTGCCACCTGCAGATATGCAAGTGATATATTGCAATCTTACAGAAGCTGAGAACGACTTTTACGAAGCATTATTCAAAAAATCAAAGGTACCAATTTGTACGGATTTTGTATGTGGATTTTTCACCTTTGGTGTATTGCTGCTTGACTTAAATTTCATTAATACATCTTTAGGTGAAGTTCGATCAATTTGTAGAGCAAGGCCGGGTTCTTCACAACTATGCTTCAATCTTGGAACTGCTATTACGTCTTCGTCAATGTTGTGATCACCCATTTCTTGTTATGAGGTGAAACTATATACGTGTAGATATATTCACCAAAGGCACACACGACACGTATTACTTGGTCAGTTAACTTGTTAGTTTCTGCTAGTGATATGCTTCTCTATGTCCAGTCGAGGCGATACCCAAGAATATTCCGATTTGAACAAACTTGCAAGACGTTTCCTCAAAGGTGGTCTGGACAATGTGGACGGGCAAATTACAGAAGCGCCATCACGAGCTTATATTCAAGAAGTTGTGGATGAGTTACGCAAAGGCGAACAAGGAGAATGCCCGATATGCCTCGAAGCTTTTGAAGATGCAGTATTGACACCTTGCGCCCATCGACTATGCAGAGAGTGTCTTTTGGCAAGCTGGAGAAGCTCTGCAAGTGGCCTTTGTCCTGTTTGTAGGTAGCAATATACTGTCTTGCATAAAGCAATCTTATCCAAGGAATTTTTTTATAAGATGTAGTGAATGCTAGTACTGAATGTTTTTTCACAGGAAGACCATTACCAAGCAGGAGCTTATTACAGCCCCGACTGATAGTCGGTTCCAGGTTGATGTTGAGAAAAACTGGGTGGAATCTTCGAAGGTTTCTGCTCTTATGCGTGAACTAGGATCTTTACATGCAGGGGGCTCAAAAAGTATTGTCTTTAGTCAATGGACTGCCTTTTTGGATCTATTGCAGATTCCTCTTTCTCGGTAACATCTTTTTTTTCCCCCTTTTCTCACATTCTGACCTCGAATAATATGCTATGTGAGTCTATATAATGCATTTGACTGTATGAATGAGGTCTTTCTTCTACATTTTTATGTTGCTGGTCTAAGTTATATTTCCATGGAAATGAATTTGTTGATAGTCTTAAGTTTTATATCCAGGAGTCAAATCCAGTTTCTTCGTCTGGACGGGACTTTGAACCTGCAACAGCGTGAGAGAGTAATAAAGCAATTTTCAGAGGAAGATAACATCAAGGTACGTCTTTTTTATTAAGTCGTATTTTCTCAGCTTGTTCATTCATTCATTCATTTATTTTATTTTTTCACACTCTGTGTAACTATTTATATATATGTCGTCACAGGTGTTGCTCATGTCACTGAAGGCTGGTGGAGTCGGAATAAATCTCACAGCAGCATGCAATGCTTTTGTCATGGTAAGGCTTCGGATATATCTCAAAATTCCTTGATCTAACATAATGGTGTATTATTGACATGTTCTCTATAGATTTATTACCGATTGGGTGTATTTATCCGTGATCCCAAAAATTCCTTTTTTTGTAGGACCCGTGGTGGAATCCAGCAGTCGAGGAACAAGCAGTCATGCGCATTCATCGTATAGGACAAACTAAAAAGGTGACGATCAAACGGTTTATTGTTAAGGTACTTTCTTGGTCATTTTTTATTACATTATTATTATTATATTATTATTATATTATATTATATTTGAAATGTTATGGTTACGCGAAGATGGTTATTATGATACGGAACAGGGTACAGTTGAGGAAAGAATGGAAGCCGTTCAAGCTAGGAAGCAACGAATGATATCTGGTGCTCTAACAGACCAAGAAGTTCGAAGTGCACGACTAGAAGAACTTAAAATGCTCTTTACTTAGACTCGTTTCCCACACACGGTGCGCCCTACTCATCATCTCGGTTTTTCTTTAGTTAAGACGTATTATTATTAATATTATTATTATTATCGGAAATTCGTCTATGGATTCGTGCTCTATTATCAGAAGACCTTTGGGATTTTCTGAAAGCTTCTGAGAAGTTAAAGCATGTAGAAACCATCATTTTGATCTCAGGTGCTACCAATTAAACTGAAGATCCAACTCCAATGATTAACCGTGCAGCTTAAAAGTTAAAAGTTGCATTTGAACTTTTTTTTTTTTTTTTAAGTTTGTATTTATTTATTTGATTACATGTAACATTTTTTTTTGTAATTATTAATTATATTATAGTCACACTGGAGAAATTTCCATTACTCCTGTTATATCTCATTATGAACATATACAATCTCTCAATGTACTTGACATACAAATCGAATTCGAAGATTCGAAAGCGATAATTTTCAATTTTCCTGATTCGATAATCGATATTAGCTATCTGACAATATTAATTCATTTTTTCCTGATGGTAAATTTAGCAATCTGACAAAATTTAATATATTCTTCCAACTTATAGTATATATTAAATTTAATTTCAAAATCAAGTAGTCAAATATTTGAACACAATTATAGGGAATAATAATTAATAAAATGAAATACAGGGAATATAATAAAATATATAGCTGTCAGATTTAATTACGAGTATTGAATTAGCAGAATTGAAGTCCTAATTCTGAATAATAATAAATAAATAAAATATTGCAATATCCGAAAAATATTACTGGAAGGGGTAGTTTAGGAATATTAAGAAGATTCTTTCCTATCTGTGAAAAAAAAGACGTACATCTAGGCAACAGCCGTTTCTCATCATCAAGAATTCTGCGAAACTCTAAAACCTCCAAAAACTCTTCTTCTTCTTCTTCTTCTTCTCGTTTCTTCTTCTTCTTCTTCTTCAAGGTTAAGTTCAGAATCGCCGCTTATACAAATATATATATATAGGTACATTTTTTACACACACTTATGTGTGTTTGTCGGTGTCTTTGCATGCACAATTTTTTTTCTTTTTTTCTCTATTTTTCCATTGATTAATAGGAGGGTTTCAGGGCTAAGGAGATAGCAAATGGAGGGCGCCGGAAACAACGGCGGCGCTGTTTCTTCTACTGTGGCCGCCGCTGAAGCGGCGGCGGAATCGCAGGTTTTGCCTGTTTCTGAGCGGATGGCGGGCGGCGGCGGCGACAAAAACGGCGCCGTTCCTTTTACGGGGGTCGCCGCTGAAGCGGCGGCGGAATCGCGGGTTTTGCCTGTTTCTGAGGCGGTGGAGGTGGCGGTCGGCTCGGAGTTAGAGGAGAAGCTGATATATAGTGGCGGCGATGGCGGTCATGTAGGGGTGGCGGCGCCCCTCAGTGGGAGCGGCGTCGAGGCCGCCAAAAGAAAACGAGGAAGGCCAAGAAAAGATCCGCCGGCGGAGTTAGGGCGAGAATTCGCGGCGGCGCCGGAGTTTTCCGCCACCCCGCTTATAAAGCGAGGGAGAGGCCGCCCGAAAGGCTCCGGCAAATGGCAATCCTTGGTGGCTTCTTTAGGTATTTAATTAATCTCCCTTCATCATCGAATTCACTATTTTTTAATTAATCTCCCTTCTTTAGGAATATTCTTCTTCTAAACAATGTCTTTGTAAAGGTAAAACTACAGTGGACTCAACTGGAAGCAACTTCACTCCTCACATAGTTGCAGTTCAAGCAGGAGAGGTACCATTTTAATTCAAAATATATACATTACAACAAATTGTATCTATCTATATATATGTATTTTGTTTCGATTTTGCAGAATATAGTTGAAAGAATATGCTCCTTTTCTCAAAGGGCTTTCGAATCAATATGCATTCTTTCAGCTTCCGGAATCGTCTTAACCGCAGAACTTCTCCGACCTGGTTCCGCTAGCAGCATTCTCAGATACGAGGTATAGTCGAACTCAAGATCCTTAGATTCTATTTCGTTCGATCAAATCTTGCAGCTGTGGATAGGATCACGTAGTATATCGATTATCTGCTGAATGTATTTTTCGTTGTTCTTGCATAGGGCCAATTTGAGATTGTGTCTCTGAGTGGATCACATTTAAATAACGGTGGTAACGGCAAAATATGCCGTTTAAGTGTTCAACTTGCTTACCCTAACGGCACCCTTTTCGGTGGCGCTGTCGCAAATTCACTAATCGCCGGAGGCCCGGTTCAGGTAAACCTCAAGAATTTCCGGGATTCGCTTTCTTGGCGAAACGTATATAATATATACTTCTTGAAAAATCAAGATTCGTATATCGATAGAGAAGTTAACAAAGTAGTCGATTCTTTGTTTTTTTCTTATGATAGATTGACATTGTGTTACATACATAATGTGTATATATATATATACTTTCCAGGTTGTGATTGCTACATTTAGAGAGAATTTGGTGGGGGAGCAGCAGCACCTGCCAGCAAGGCGTTTCGTCGAACCTTCGGATCCTAATAATGTTTATGTGCCATTAGTACAGACATCAAACGGCCAAGTACAAGACGGTGAACAAGTTCCTCCGGTCGATGCTCCATCGTATAACGGTGTGGATAGACTCACCAACCACCGTGATGTGAACCGCGCTTCTCCTCAGCAGTTCGATTGGAACAACAACTCCTCCTTGCAATCCTGTTCAACCATGTCACAACATTTATTCTCCCGTCTTAATAATACAGACGAATAATACCGACCCCGTGAGAAGAAAAAAAATAAAAATACTACATGTTACAATTTTTTTTTCTTTTTTCGATTCTTCATATTTGAATTTTGAATTACAGCACATTGATTGAAGCTATTTAGCAAAGTGCCTTATTTCATGTTACAAATTTCGATGATTTAAATATTGGCGAACAATCGGTAAGTTCTGGCATCGAGACTAATCTGTCTAACTGCTGCAACTGCTGCCGTAACTGCCAACACCGAGAAAACTGTAGCTATAGTCGCGTTGAGCCAAAAGAGTGGACCCCTCTTCGATGGTTTGAACGTCAAGTTGAAGAAAACGAAGGGTAGTACGAAATCGAGCGGCATGAAACCAAACGCTCCAATCAGAGCATTTATGTCTCCGAAAAACGGAAGCATCGCAGCTACCGTGGTTGCCAAAACGACCGACATCGACCGCGAGATCACTCTCGGGACCACGTTTCTTGCGGAGAACTCCCCCTTTGTGGGGTCCGCAAACGTTCGTTCGAGAACCTCGTTCGTCGGTTGCAGGTACACCACGGCGACAGCCGACAGCTGGAGAATGGTGAACACATTGGTCATCAAAATGAACCATTTGGGAACCAATGGTGTGCCATCATCCAAGAAATTGGTCAGAATTAAGCCATTGGCTTTATTACCAAACGCCCAGTACCCAGAAATCGACACACTGAAAAAAGTAGCCGTTACAATTGCATAGCAAACAAACAGCCCCTTAAACATCTTCCCCTTAACTGGTGCTGCTAATGTTGCCTACACTATAGTAAAGTGTACAAAATTAAAATTAATTTCCAATATTAAAAATTACATAAGTAAATCAAATTCACAATATATATTATATAATAAATTACCTGTATTTCTGGAATAATACCATTGCCAAAAGTGGTGGCAATTATAGCTAATGAATTAAAAATACCGAATATTCGAGTTTGGTTATTGCTGTTGAGAGAATAATCTTTTTTGGGTCCCTTTGATGAGCTTCCTGAAATATTTAATATTTAATATAATTGTCCAGAAAATAATAAAAAAAAATCATTTTTTTTTTTTTTTTTTTTTTTTTTTACCAATGTAGATGGAAGCAGCAGTAGCACAGGCACTGTAGGAAAGGCACAGGACCAAAGAAACCAAGTTGATGTGCCTCAAGGAATGAAAAGATGGGATTTGGGCTAAAATTAACATTAGCCCACCAAATATTATTACAAATTCGTACAGTTTCATTTTTCCATTTGGATCCGACACCAAGTAAATTGCCTGGATCAAATCAACAATTCAAAGATAATTAATTGTTGGGCAAATTACGGCCAATCCCCTGAGGTATACTCAAATTACAAAAAAATCTTATGATGTTTGGGTAATTGCAATAACCACTTTTACGGTGTCAAATTTACCTATTGAATGAGTGATTTTTTTTGTAAGATAATACATAGTTGAGGGATGGTTGTAATTACCTAAATACAGGGTTTTTTCTCTTAATTTAAGTTTACGTCACGGTGGCCGTAATTGGCCCTTAATTGTATGCAAGTGTGATAAGTTTTTTTTTTTTGGAAAATAATTCTATAAATTTGACATGAACTTATACTACAATATGAAATTAAGTACAAAATTAGAAAAATAAATAAAAAGTATGAGGATGAACCTTCATGCACTGTCCACCCAATAGAGTGGAGCCCACCACTGCACCGTAGCACACTAGGAATTGAATTGGCCCAACATAATACATTCCCCATTTTGGGCCTGAAAATAAATAAATAAAAATTAAACAAAAAAGAAAAAGACATAACTACTTTGAGTCCAGCACAAACGCCATTAATTATTATTTGGTTTCGTGTCACAAAGTTGTGGAGGGGTTTAGTTTGATTTTCCCATATTTGTGGGGTATTTATATAAATAAAATAATTGCCCAAGATTAATTGTGTCCACACAATATTCTTCTTGTTATTATTTTTTAAATTGCATTTACACAATATTCTGTCCTACGTGATTCGTTTGGATCCAAAGTTGAAATGGTAGCTAGAATTTGGCAAATATTCATATGCAATTAGGAAACATTAAAAGCTAATATTTGACCAATATATTTTGTGAAATAAAGAAATCTCACTCCAATATGTCTCCCATGGGAGAGCTTCACTAAAGCTCGTGAGCTCCCAAAGGAAAATAGATTCAGTCCCTCATATTTTAACAATTTAAAATAATTAGTCATTTATGTTATTTATCGTTAGTCCGTTAGCTAAGTTACTGGCGGGCACGTGTTAGAGTTCGTCGGTATTAATGAAAAATTGACGAAAATAATCAAAAGTATTAAACTTTTGAGACTTGAGGGACTAAATATGTTTTCTTTTGAGAACAATGATGACCAAATTTGAATCGAGATAAACTTATAAGGACAAAAATGTAAAAAAAAAATCAGTATACATACCTAGTATATCATTGGCCATATCTCGAAATCTGAGATGGCGATGACCTAATAGGGCGTTGTGCTCAAGCACAAGAGAGAGCAAATTATAAGAGTAGAAAGTGACGACAGCACCGATGACTAGACTTACAATCCCAGCCGTCCATCCTAACGACGCAAACGCAAACGGAAGGCTCAGCAACGGCGGCGCTACTATCGACGTCGTCAAATGGTATCCACTGTGTATCCATGATCCTATAATAATTATTCATTTTGAAAAATTAATTATTATATTCTTCTTCTTAAGTACTACTTATTTAACAAAATAATAATTAAAAAAAGGTAATTTACATGTACATATATAAGCCAATAATTGATACAAATCGATATGGATAATATCTGATATAAAAAATACAGCCAATAATTGCAACAGTATCCAAATTAAATACATACAAACATATATATAGTATGTGTATGAGTGTGTGACAGTGAGTGTAATATTGTGATGAGTTATCACCTCTGGATTTGAGAACAAATTGTGCTCCGGCATCTAGTTCAGGGCGGAGCTCCGGCGCCGCTGGTGGAGGAGATTTGCCATCGTGGAACTCTGGTCCAACGCTTCCCATATGGCCGGACACCTTCCACTATGTGTGTCTGCGTGTGTGTGGGTGGGTAGGTGGGTTTATTAGTAGAAACTAGAAAAGAAAGGAGCTGCGTTTAATTTTCTTAGAGTGAAAAACATGTATTACTATATACAATTCTCTCTCTCACACACACATACAAATATATAATATATATATCAAGATGAATATTAATATATATATTTTTTTATCCCAATGTAAAAAAATTATAAATACCCTGTGACAAAGAAAGATAACAAACTCCAAACCTATCCTATAGTTGTGGGATATGTCTTCAAGATTATGTAACAATACATTCGAATCAGCCTACACCGTTATCTACACATAATAACATACATTCATGTGTATACGTGTTTAGTGGCTAATTATTTGTATAGATCTGAGATGTAAAATCACCCGATATTTTACACCAGCTATAGCAGTTCATAAACCACTTTTGTATTTGATTGGTCTAACCAATTTATAAATAAAATTAGTAATTTAAAAGGATAATTTAATTATATAAAAAGGGTATTTGAGATATCTCAAGAGATAAGTCAAGTTTTATCTCTATATCCCAACTTTATGTCACTTTTATTAATTATTTTGTAGATGCATCACAATTAACACATTTATGTCATGTGTAATGAATGATATTATCACACACATCTCAGCCAAATTTATTGAATTGAAAATAGCTAATTTTTTTCTTGATAAATATGATATTAAATTTGAACCCAATTTAATTAACAACCAAGTCAAACTCAAATAATCGAACTCGAATAGCTTATTTATTAATAAATATTTTATTATTCTAATTCTGATATTTCAAATCGAGTAGCTCGATCTCTGAAATAATTTGTTTCAGTTTGGAGTGGGCCGACCCGACCCGACCCGATTAAGAGGATCTGCATCTTTTTAATCCATTAATAGCAGGCCGTATGATAACCCTAAAGGAGCCCAACACTTCTGATTTTGGCCTTTATACAAAATTCATGTATTCCACAAATTAAATATATCTATATTAAAATATTTTTTTATAATTAATAATTTGCTTACTTAAGCCAAAAAAAAAAAAAATAGTATAGCTGAATTTATTTGGATTAAATTGGTATAAATTAATTGAGTTGGATTTATATTTTGCTGCAAAGGTCCAGCTTTTTCACTGGGGCTGGGCATGTGTATGATTTCTTCTTGATGAGGAAATAATGAATGATTAATGATTGCAATAGGATTTTATAGAATAACAATCGTCACGTGATAATGGTATTCTCACGTGCCATCAATTATTAGATAAACTTTTCAAGCTAGGCATAGATAAATAAACGGCTTAATTTCACTTTGCACCCTTGAAATATACCATTTTGGCACTTTGCACCCTCAAAAAATAATAATAGCACTTTGCACCCTCAAAACATAATAAATCATTCACAATGCACCCTCAATTGAATAATAAAGGCAATTTCATTTTTCATTGGTGTTTTTATTTTCCGGGTACAAAATAAAAAAAATAAATTATTTTCTTGAACTTCAAACCTAATTTCGAGCGGACAAAGTGCGAAAAAATAAAAATTACACCGGATTATTAAAAAAAACTACATTTTCTTACAAAAGAAAAATAAAAAATAATCTTTTATCACTAAATTATTCGATTAATGGATCTTTTATGTAACTGTTTAAAATTATTAGGTGAAAATATTTAGAAGGCAATATGATCTTCAGATAACGGAATAGCTGAATGATTTTTTTTCGTAAAATATTTTATTTTGATAAAAAAAATATAATTTTTAAATATGTTGATGAAATGTATTTTTATTCTTAAACTTTATAGTTTCAAAATGATTGACGAATAAAAAAAATATTTGACATTTGGCGTTCTAAAAAAATATCACTAAAAATATTAAATTTATAATTTTTAGCTTTAAAAATTCATTTGGGGTGCATTATGTATGATTTATTGTATTTTGAGGGTGCAAAGTGCTATTAATTTATTTCGAGGGTGCAAAGTGCCAAAATGGTATATTTCAAGGGTGCAAAGTGGAATTAAGCCATAAATAAACACAAACTAAATTAGCTGTCGAAAAAAAAACACAGGGAATATAATTGTTTGTACATTATTAGCAGAGCCACTTTGATTGCGACAGGTGGACAACTCTCAATCACGGCCTTTTTAGCTGGAAACTTACACCATTATTTTATGGCTTATTCCATTTTGCACCCTTAAAATGTATCATCTTGGTAGTTTGCACCCTTAAAAAAAATTAACAGCATTTTACATCGTTAAAACATCATAAATCATTTATGATAATTTCAAGTTTCATTAGTTTTCTTATGTATAGGGTACGACATTAACAAATTAAATTGTTATTTTCTTTTACCTCCAACATAAATTTAGAGCGTACAAAATACCAAAAAAAAAAATTAAAAAAAATCACAACAAATGACTGAAAACATTATAATTTTTTTACAGTTTTTCCTTTTAACTTCGCAAAATTATATGATTGATAAATCTTTTATTATAATTGGTGAAATAATTGACTTCGTCACTACCCCAAAATATCAACTTGTTATTATTTCATTTTCTTTAATATTTTAAAATATTATTTTCAGATCTAATTTCAGCACAATTAGAACAAAGAATATCATACTAGAGACACATGACTAAATAGTACTCAATTATTATAAAAACTTATACGAAGGCATGTGAATGGACAAAGATATTTAGGCAATAATACTGAACTCTCTTTGCGTCATTTCGTCACCGTACCTTCTACAATCTCGAACTCTGTTTTTCATCCTACATAGGCAATTAAACAATATATTAACGCATTTATCGTATCAAATCACACAAAAGTACAACCTAAATCACGTGTAATTAAATGTACTCTTTACACTCAACAAAAAACATGAAAGATGACCCGTTCTCTCATGTGTATTCCAATTCCAATGTTCTTATTTTAAGCTAATGAAAAATTAAATAGACATATTTCTGTTTTTCGTGAAAAAAGAATTTTAATATTTATTAAACAAATTATAGAGGTGGTCCCGCAGTACCTATTTAGAATATACCGTACTCATATGCTTCTACCGTCCACGTCAGCATGCAACGGACAATTATTTAAGTTGGCTATCTAATTTACGGAACTAATCTCCAACAGAAACCCAATAGAGCATGCATCAAATGACTCAACCACTATTTTGATTCATAATAATTAAAAAAGAAGAAGAAATTATTGCATAATAAAATAAAAAATGAGAAAATTAAAAAAATGTTAAATTATGGGGCCAACCCATGAGGTAAGGTTAAATTACGAAAAAAAATTATATCATGTTTGGGTAATTACAACCGCCCCCTCCAGTTAAATATGTTCAATGAAATTTATGGGCATGTTTGTTTCTATTTCCAAAATGAATTTCCAATTTTATACTATACATAAAACTGGGATTATGATTGTTTGAGAATTTTCACTTGAAAATTCCTATTTTTCTTAAAACAATTTTCAATAAAAATACACTATTCATACAATAATAATAATAATAATAATAATAATAATAATAATAATAATAATAATAATAATAATAATAATAATCACCGTCATCATTATATTATATTTTTGCACGTACTTTCGTAGAGAAAACACACCACAACCATACATATTCTCATTTTTACACCTATATAAAATTAAAAACACCTTTTCATTCAAATATATTTTCATTTTCTACACAAAAACCAATACATCTACTTTTTCCATCAGAAAATTTGAAAACTAGAAAATTCCATTAGAAACATAACCAAACATCCCCTATGTAATTCGGTTATTTACCGTATATTTTGGTTCCGTAAACGGTATGAAATTATAGCGCACCAAAATTTCGGTATGAATTTATCGAATGAACACCCCTAAATTTACCTACTGGAGGGGTTTTTCGCAGGTCGAACTATAAGGATTTTTTTAGTAATTTGACCTTACCTCAGGGGTTTGGCCGTAATTTGCCCAAATTCAAAACACTAAATCCCTAAATTAATTTAATTTTCCCCCAATTATTCACTCTCTCTCTATCTATAGTGAAATACTACTCCGCTCCAAAAGTTGGTGTGGGGAGAGCAGAGAATGGACTGGAGTGGATTGTGTGCAGAAACAACGATCTCCTTCTTCACCTCTCTGCCTGCACATTCTCTCTCACTCCTCCAAATTATTTCTCTCTCTTCAAAACCACATGTAAATGTAGCCGAAAAATTCAGCTCCTTTTCTCATACATTATTACTGTAGTGAACACAAGTACAGAACAGAGCAAAACAATGGCTGAATTTTCCGTGAAGAATCTCGCGGCGGCGTGGCTAATGGGCACGGCGGCGGACATGCCCGCCCAAATCGGGCATGTTTGGGTGGTAATCAGAGCTTCGTTTCTGGTTCCCCTGCTCAGGTTTTCTCTGTACATTTGTTTGGTCTCTTCGACAATGTTGTTCCTCGAGTGGGTTTACATCGGAGCTGTTCTTATTTATGTGAAACTCTCCGGCAGAAACCCTGAAAATATTTACAAATGTGACCCTATCTCGGAGGAGGATCCAGAAATCGGCACCGCCGCTTTTCCCATGGTTCTTGTCCAGATTCCCTTGTGCAACGAAAAAGAGGTCTTTTTTGTGTTTATTCTCTTCTTCAATTCTCACACACACACGCACACACATGGGTGTGTGTGTGAAACAACAAAATTGGGTGTTTTTTTTAATTGTTTTTTTTGTGGGGGTGTTTAGGTTTACAAGCTTTCAATTGGGGCAGCGTGTAATTTATCTTGGCCTGCTGATAGGCTACTCATTCAAGTTATTGATGGTTCAAGTGACAGTTCCATTAGGGTATTAATTATTATTAATTATATTTTATAATTATGATTATTAGTGTTTCGTAATGCAAGAAATTAATAACCCGTGATTAATTGAGAATTTTATTTGTTGGTAGGATATGATTGAGAAAGAATGCATGAAGTGGTTGAGCAAAGGTGTAAACATTAAGTACCAAATGAGACAGACAAAAGGAGGCTACAAAGCTGGTGCCCTGAAAGAAGGTTCCGGATACGACTACGTTAAAGAATGCGAGCATGTCGTCATTTTCGATTCTGATTTCCAACCGGGCTCCGATTTTCTCAGACGGGCCGTCCCTTTTCTCGTTCACAACCCTGAAATCGGACTTGTTCAAGCCCGTTGGAGGTTTGGTAAGAAGGGAAAAAAAAAAGATATAGCTCTAATAATGTTTATTTTCTTGAATTTTATATTTTATCGAAATATGAAGTTTTTTTTTTTTTTGTAGTGAATGCAGATGAATGTTTGTTGACAAGATTGCAGGAAATTTCACTGGACTATCATTTCATGGCTGAGCAAGAAGTCGGATCGTCCGCTCACGCCTTCTTTGGCTTCAACGGTAAGTTTAGTTTATGTTAGCAAAGTGATTAATTAAATTTAAGCCGTTATAAGATGATTGATAAGCATTGATTTAATTTGTTATATATTGTCTATCAAATAATATCATAATTTCCGAAAAAAAATAATAATAATTTAGGAAGTGCTGGAATATGGAGAATTGCTGCAATAAATGAGGCTGGAGGGTGGGATGATAGGACCACTTCAGAGGACATGGATCTTGCTATTCGGGCCGGGCTCCTCGGATGGAAACTCGTTTACGTAGGAACCCTCCAGGTACATGCAAATAATTGTAATATACTTTGCATTTAAATTGATTTTATTTATGAAAAAACCATTAAATATTGATGTTTGTAATATAGGTGAATAGCGAACTTCCGAGTACTTTTAAAGCCTTCCGTTCTCAGCAGCACCGTTGGTTTTGTGGTCCGACCAATTTATTCAGGAAAATTGTGATGGATATTTTTAAGAGCAAGGTTTGTTTTAACAATGTTTTCTTAGTTAAAAAACGAATAAAAATGGAATTCTGTAAGCTAAATAATTGCCTTGCCTATTATTTGCAGAAAGTATCACAATGGAATAAGGTTTACATGATCTACAATTTCTTCGTTGTCCGTAAAATCATCGGCCACACGTGTGTATTCTTTTCGTACTGTGTGGTGCTACCTTTGACGGTTCTGTTACCCGAAGTTGATGTTCCAAAAGCAGGAGCGGTTTTCGTTCCGTGCATCATCGGCGCTATAAACTCGATTTACGCAACTCCAAGGTCTTGTATTATATTAAATCTTCAATTAAGTACTACATAGCAAGTTCACTTTTTTTTTTTCCGTTTTTCAATTTTTTTAAATTACGAGCATTGTTTTAGGTCACTCCACCTTATATTTTTGTGGATCCTTTTCGAGAGCGCCATGTCATTTCATCGAACAAAGGCTATATTTACGGGCCTGCTCGGTTCAAAGAATGCTAATCAATGGGTAGTTACTCAAAAACACGGAGATGCTGCAGAAAACAAGGCCAATAATATTATCGAAGCAACTGCACCAAAGGAATCAAGATTTAAGATTCTCCGAAACAGGTGGATTTTAATTTAATTTATTTTATTTTATTACTGAATCTGGAAACGTGACGATAATTTTTATTTTTTTTCCGGAAATTGCAAGAATATTACTACCGGAGCTGGGAATTGCCGTTTTTGTTTTATGGAGTGGATGCTATGGATTTCTCTACGGTAGGGATTACTATTTCATATACCTCTTCATTCAAGCAATCACCTTGACAATGGTGGGATTTGGCTTCATTGGCAAAATTTTGCCAAATTATTAGCACAATAAGAATTAGTCCAATTATTTTTATTTAATTTTTTATTTTTATTTTTTATTTTTGATATAAGCAATTACAATAGTTGACTTTAGTAGAGATTTTTCTTTGTCAACCTTGTTAGAAAAAAAGATTTTGGTATCAATTTCTTGATCTTGCACAATTCTTATTATTGTCAACTTAAACTACATTTCTTTTAAAGTGGTTCATTATTTGTCCTCCAAAGCCTTGTTTGGTTATAAGATAAATGATTAATTGCATAATTAGTTAATTTATCTTGACTTATTAAGAGATTGTATATACAATTGGATTCTTGTAAAATTATATTGTTGGATTCTCTTGTATTATTGCAATAAAAAGAAGCACTCGAATAGTATATGTATCGTAATTTTTGTACAAATGCATTCGGATTGCAGAATATACGAACTTCAAATCTCCGGCATTAATTCAAACAAAGAGCAAATTAAAATAAGAATTCCAAGTTTTCTTCCAAAAAAATATTAAAAAATAAAAATAAATAAAGAATTTCAAGTCCAATACTAAGAGAGATAATCATATACTGTACAAACATATTTTAGTGAAAATTGAAGAAACTATGAGCTACCAGTCAATTAACTAGTACCTAACTCTAATAAAATTGACTTTGTTCACCCCCAAAAATTCTCCTTAAATCTTGCTTTTGCCGACAGCTGAGATTCATTAATTTTGCTTTTAATAAATTAAATAAATCAATTGATTTATTACAAGAAAGCATGATATTAGATATATAAATAATTGGTACGTGGACAAAGAATGCCCTACTTTGGACGAAATTTTGCAGCATGTGGGCTGCTTCATTGCAATTTGTTTTCATTTTCCCATCCTTCAATTATTAAGTTAGCATTGGCTGGTTTTTAATTTAATTTACAGCCTTTTTTTCTTTCTATAGTTATATTTCAGTTTTTATATTTCATATATATGTTAAAGGAATCCTATGGCTATGATTTTTATTTTTTTTATTTTTTTTGTTAATAAAAAAAATGCGTTGTTCATACTATACACAATGTTTTGCTGATTACCTATATGATGAAATATTTATATATATAAAATGGACTCCTTAATTTTTTTTTATTTTTTTTTTTTGAGTAAGACTCCTTAATTACAATTTAGGGCCATTTTGCATAGTAATTAGGCCTATAAAACTGAAAACAAAATAAAAATGAAAATAAGATAAAAATCCAAAGCATGAATGAGCAAATGATGTCATTATTTGAAACTATAAGCTTCCAATTAATTAATGACGTGTATAAACTTAATGAGTTGCGCATGTTACGGTAGTCTATTATATTTGCTTGATTAATTAATTAATTAATTAAAGCCTTAATTAGTTGCCTAATTAAGTCTTCCTGCATGCATTAAATTATTGTTCTTGAACGTCTTACATCATATACAAGAACTGCAAAATATTCTCATACTATATTAGTCTCTTACTAAACATTAATTAAATAAATAAACATTAAATTTGTCAATTAGTTTTTTTTTTTATTTACCATATAACATTAAAAAAATTATGAACATAGTGTAAACTTACTATAGATTATATATAATAGTTCAATAGAAAAAGATATATATCGCTATATTTTTGTATAATTATCGCAATTTTCTTTTTTTCTTTTTTTTAAAGTAGCATGATTATGAATTATCATTTTTAATTTTAAAATAAAATGATTATATTTGCACAGCAGATACTTGAGGAAAAAATGAATGTGTAAACGGTTCTCAATTATCAGGTTGTAATTGATTGCAAATTGCAATTAATGAAAGCACAAACATTTAAAGCTATGGTTAAATATGTACACGTGTCGCTTAGTCATTGGAGTCCGTTTTTTGGTGGTAAATGGAACGTCCGTTTTTAATTTAATCTCTTAAATTATTGTTCTTAAACGTCTTACATCATATACAAGAACTGCAAAATATTCTCATACTATATTAGTCTCTTACTAAACATGATCCTTTTTTTTTTCTTTCAATTTTAACTACTTAAAAGTGTCAATCTTATCATATATAGTATTTCAAGTTAGATTAAATTCAATTTATTGTTTTTTTTTTTTTTTACAATTTGGTAAATTAATAATAATTTTTTTTACAAGGGCATTATAGTAACTGTTGGTGTGCATGCTCTTGTGCAATAAAGATGATCAGATTCTTCCTTCTTTATGTGGCTAGTTTTCATTTAGCCTACTCAAAGCCTGGCAGCTAAGCTACACATAATTTTTCTCTCTCTAAAAAAAAAGCAATCATGGTCATTTTTGTCATTTCACAACCAAATGCATGTGCCTCCCCATATGCTAACATGCACGTTAGATGTCCTCACGTGTCCCAAAGTATACATACATTATACATATATATGCTTCTGATCCAATCTAAATCTTAGACATTCATCATTAAAATGTAACATAAATTGGCATATATATGATAAGTTTGATTAATTGCATTTTCTTGAATAATAGTACTATGACTGTATTTTTCTTTTTGTTGAAATAGCAAAATATTTGGGAAAAAATATGTTTTATGTCACATTCCCTAATAATTAATTCTAACACATTTGTTGACCAACGAAATTGCACCAGGTCAATCATTAATTTACAGGGATGCTTATTTTATTGTATATGCTGCATGATTTTCGAATCGCTTCCTAAAGTTAATAAATGTAGCTTAAGAGAGTGAGTTGTCCAAAGAATAAAATATTACTAGTAGCTTGCAGATATTTAAGTATATGATCATTAATTTTGGTTGGTTTGTGTTGGGTTCAAATTAAAGATAGAATAATTCAATATAACACATAACCTCACTAATATGAATTATAATTAGAGGGATTAAGAGTTAAGAAATAGTGTGAAATAGAAAAGAAAGAACATTTTAAATCAATAAGAAATACCATTCAATCTTCCAATCACAATTCACACACGAGATTCCACAAAAGAATCCACCAACACCATCACAATACCTCAGAAGAACCAATCTCCGATCCACTCACACTCTCTCTCAACTCCTAATTCACCCGAAAACCCATAGAGGAAAACACATATAAGCACACAAGCTCACATGCATACTCACCAAACTGTCCCAAATCTCACATAGTAACTGAATTTAGGGTTTTGTTAGAGCTTAGGTCATATTATGTGTCGAATTTGCCTCCATTCTGCATGCCTTGTATATATATGACTCGAGTCGAAAGTAGTCAGTGAAGGTACCATCAGAGGGTCAAAGTCAGCCGCGTACAGTGGCATTTGACCCACTGGTTGACACAGTAACAAAGCAGTACAAAGGAAAGAAGACACAAAATGCGGCGGCAAAACAGTATGGTTGCGAATGAGAGAGAAGCGAGAGAAAGAGATGGTATTTAAGTGAATAAATAAATGTGTTATATATTTTGCACATATCAACATATACATGTGGATGATTGTATGCGCAAATCAAATAGAAACATTTTCTTGTGTATTTAATTTCACCATATATATTGTATACAAAATTTGTGATTATTTATTAATTAGGACTTATGGAGTGTAATCCCACCTCTTCGGCACATTCATGCTGACTTGTATAGTAAATAGAAATTAATTAATCAAAAATTAATCATGTTGACTTGTATACTAATTTCTTTTTTTTTTCTTACAAAGTCAGATAAATCCCATGAAATCGGCTAAATGACAATAACATGTAAAAAATCACGGTCCCAATTTTCTTGCAATAATTGATTTATGTTTTTTTGCACGTTGTTAACGTTAAGAAAGGCACCGACACTATACCTAAAAACTCTAACATCAACACCCTCACCTTAGGTTAAATTATAAATTACCCCCTAGCAATTTTTCCGTCTTATAATTACACACACACTTACGGAATTACGAGTAACCGAATTTTGAAGATTTTATATCATTTTGAATTTTCCAATCTACCCCCAAGAGGGTAAATGTAATATATGCCTACTTGGCGGTAACTGTAATATTTTGTCTTACTCGTGGAGTATGCGTAATTTATTCATAGTTTATTTGTTTAATAAAATCATAATTTAGACGATTCATTCATTCTGCTAGGATTTATATCGGGCTGTTAGTTTTAGGGGGGCTTGTAATTACCAATATCATATGGGTTTGTAAGTTATTTATTCTTACTTTAGGGGTTATCCGTAATTTATCCTTGATTTCATTTGATGCCATGGGTATGCAATAAATTTCAATTTGTGTAATTATGTATAGATATATAGTATAGTGTATTATAATTTATATTGTAATGATCATGTCTAGTATATAACAAGACCTTATCATCTAATTGAGAAAATAATAAACTAGTGGATTTAATAATATATTTTAGGCATTATTTGCTCTTTCATCTCCCAAATGGCCAGAAGAATTATTGGACTATTACCTTTTTAAATAAAACCTTGAGAAAATTTATATGATGATGATGATGATGATGATCTTATGAATTATATGATAGCTTATTGCAACTAATTAAATAAATTACAATAATTAGATGCATTTGGATTTTATGCAAAATTATGGGATTTGGTAGTTAGGAATCAACAGCCTTCACGTTTTACTTTTTATCTATGAGCAATACAATCTATTTGAAAACGATTAATTGTCGATTTCCAGTTTTGCACGAGTATTAAGAATCACATCTTGACTTTAAGAAAAATACACTAAAAAATTAAAATAACCTTCATCATTTAATGATGTGATAAGAGATAGTAAATACTTAGAGTTGAATTAATAAGATTAAAACATGACAAAATGTATTTAATGCAATATTGAAAATTTAAAATAACAGATAATATGAACAAAAATATATATATTTTTTTAAACGGTTATTGTAGAACATATGAACTATTGACAACCCCGAATTAACAAATCAAGCAGACCATTTATGCCGATATATTTTCGGGTAAAATAATTTAAAAGTCACTCAATTATTTTGGAGATCTATAAAAAAAAATATTTTAAGATTTGCATTTGTGCATAAAGTTCATGTTTAACATGTCTACAATTTGTGAATCATTAGTCCAATTTGTAGTAAAATAAATTCACTAATGACTAATGAGAATATTCTCCAAATTCCAACAGCAGCAATATGGAGGATTCGTGCGCACAACTCTTGAAGTTGAGGAAAAAAAAAAATATTTCTCCGAAACGAAAACTGTACTCAATGTTTAGAATATAATCAAAATATTCTAGTTGAAATAATTACTATTTTAAAAATCGGGTCAATTAGATAAAAATCATCAACTCGACTTAAGTATTTTTTTTTTTTGAATCGACTTAAGTATGTTTATTTGATAGAAATTTGGTATTGAATTAGGTGGTGTATGCAAAAGATTTTAGAAATAGTTTATGAATGATTTTCTGCACATAATTTATTTTTAGGTGTTTGTATAACAAGTTTTTGCTTTTGCTTATGTTAAAATAAGTTGTCTTAAGTTATAATTTTAAAAGCACCAATTTAGTTGTTTTTTCTATTTTAGTTAAATTTTCATCTAATTTTCAAACACCCCCAACTTTTAGTTAGAAACTCTTAATCCCAACTTAGCTCACAATCACTAACTTCTGCATTTAAATAATTTTTTTTTTCAGATATCACCTTAATATATATCAGGGTATTAAGAACTCAGGACTAAAATAGCCACAAAATGTTTAAAAGACTAGTAAAAATAATTATAAAAACATTAATAATAAACAATAGGGTTTAAGAGACTTTTAATTTTTTTTTTTTGTATAATTCACCTGTACATTGAAAACTTGGATAGATGGTTGTTCTTTTTTTACCTTACATATGATTGGCCAATAATAGCTAAAGAATTAATAAGGTAAAACCCCACATTTCCAAGCTAGATCAATGGCATCATTTCTTTTTTTCTTTTTGCATGGCATGCATATATATAATTAATCATTAATCAATCAATTATTCTCTTTTCTATTGAAACTCCGGCGCCGGAAAAGGGTTCCGGTCACCGGAAATGTGACTCTATCTTGGGGTTGTTCAGTTAGGTATCCCGTTTTTGGATAAAAAAGGCAGATTGATTTCACTTATTAAGTAGTTGGAACAGTTGGAACTTATTATCACAAGATTTTTTTCATTTTCTGATGACAACTTTTAGTAAGTGTACTTGGATATGATGAATTATATATATATATATATATATATATATATATATATATATATATATATATATATATATATATATATATATATATATATATATATATATATATATATATATATATATATATATATATATATATATATATATATATATATATATATATATATATTTACTCTCATAATTTTGTTGAACGAATTTATTATTTGATTGAGGATATTATACAAAATTATTGACAGTAAGACGATACTTTAATTTGTTGTCCAGCGAATAAATAACCTTTTCTTTTATTTTCTTTTAGTCGGTGCACCAATTTTCTCATTCGTAATTGAGCAATAAATTAAATGTCCCATTTTTGTTTGAAATTCTGTACTTGTTAATATTGGATTTTTTTCTTAAAAAAATTGAAAAATAAAAGGAAAGTTCACAAGGGTAGATTAGGAAGAGTCAACATTTTTCTCGTTTCCTTTCTCAGATGGGAAAATTGTAGTTTTGGTCCTCTATGTTGCTTATTTAGGAATTTAATCCTCTAACTTATCGTATTTCAACTGTACATGGAACAAATTTGCAAATATAATATTTTTAGTCCTATTTTGCATGATTTTTTGAATTTTATGACGCGGCAAATAAACTTAACGTATTTTACTTATATGGACGCTTGGAAGTATTTTTCTTTTTTTTTTGACATTCAATTTTAAACATAATCGCACACATACATCTGAACAAGGACATGATATAAGTTATAACCAGATCCAATTAAGTTCATCGAATATAGCATAAAACATAGCATAAACAAACAATAGTCGAGCTATGTTAACCAAAGCCTAAAAAGTAGCTAGTAACAAAAACTGATTTTTTTTTTTGGTAAGTAAATTACAAAGAATTAATTGTAAAAAAAGAAGACAATTAATTAGTAGCAATTAAAGGAAGTCCAAATAAAAGAGCATATATTGACTATAAAACAACTTCATATTTCTCACACACTGACTCCGCCATAACTTGCTCCCACTCTCCTCACCTCCCCTCTCTCTCCCTCTCTCCTCTCTCTTCTTTCTCTCTCTCTCTCCTCCGCTAACAATGCCGCAATACTTCTCTGTTATCCTTCCACTTTGATGTAAATAGCAGGAAACTGGAAGTTATTGTTTGGCCCAAATCCCAATCTAGAGAGAGAAACAACTAGAGAGAGAGAGAAAGCTGAGAATGGGATGCAATAACAAGGATCTGCAACTCAATTAAAGCACTGAATCAACTCCTTCGGAATCCAATTTCTTCTTCTACATACATCAATTACTCTGTTTCCGAATGCAATTCTGAGATAGTTTAGAGAGAGAAGTAGCAGATCTACTGATTTACATTTTACAATCCCCTGTTTTTTTTTCTCTCTCCGAGAACAGACGAAGAAGAAGAAGGGGAAAAATGGCGGAAGTATCTGCGAACAGCTTCATACCGGAGTCGCTGCCGGGTTACTCGGCGGACATAGCGGGTCAATTAGGGATGCTGTGGGAGCTGATAAAAGTGCCGCTGATAGTGCCGCTGCTGCAGCTGTGCGTGTACATTTGCTTGGCGATGTCGATAATGGTGTTCATGGAGAGGCTGTACATGGGGGTGGTCATCGTACTGGTGAAGATGTTCTGGAAGAAGCCGGAGAAGAGGTACAATTTTGAGCCGATGAAGGATGATTTGGAGATGGGGAGTGCTGCTTTCCCCATGGTCCTTGTTCAGATCCCCATGTTCAACGAAAGAGAGGTCTGCGTCTCTTTTTTTTTTTTTTTACCGTTTCTCTATTGGGCACTTTTCAGTTTTCACACACACACAGACAACACACATGGGTATGTGTGAGGTTTTTTTTTTTGTTTTATAAAGTTGTTTGTATTTTTGTTGTTGGGTGTGCAGGTTTACAAGATCTCAATTGGTGCAGCGTGTAATCTTTCATG